TGAGAGTGTTGTGATAGGATGGTAATATGTAACTTTAAACCTTCCTCTACTGTTATTTTGATTATACACTGTTACATGCAAGCAGTGGCGTAGACAGGTTCGTACACCTGGGGGGATGACTGGGCTGCCAACGCTAGTGAGGGAGCGAAGCGACCGAGCGGGGGAGGGTGTGGGAGGGGGTGTCCCCCCTCCTACGGTAGGGAGCTTTTGCAATTTTGAACTTGAAATCGTGCAATCTGATGCATACTTAATGAGGTAAAATAACACACACAAGCGTGCACGCACACACACACACATACTCACACACACACACGCACACGCGCACGCACACACACACACACATACTACGCCTTGAATGGACAGACATACATTGACAAGATCTACACACCGTGGCATACGAATACAGAATGGACTGACACATAGTATTGCATATTGAACCACACTACGTATTTATTTATCTCTGTGAATTTTGCTGTTACACCTCTTCAGAAAAAAAACCAATGTCAACTGCATGTGTACACGCAGGTATAGTCTTTGTTGTCTTGATAGGGGTATGTGGTTATGAATGAAAACAGCCTCTGTGGCCATTTGTGAATACTAGAACACATAAACAACAAACAAATAACGATTAAACTTTGAACAATATGTCTGTTCATTATAAAGCATAATGAATACGTACATACTATGCTTTTTTTTTACCTCAAAGAAACAGGCATAGTATCCATAGATGGATATTGGCTGGCGGCTCATTAACATACAGATACAAAAAACATAAACAGTATCACTATGATCCATGGAGTAACAATACTGCTTTGTAAGTTTGTGAAGAAATCGGAACCATAACGGCATTGCATCGTTTCAAATTAGGGCATTATTTACTTCTATTTGATCTCAGTCTTATAATAATAATAATAATAATAATAATAATAATAATAATAATAATAATAATAATAATAATAATGATAATACAAATACAAAATAATACTAATACAAATAATAATGCTAATACTAATAGGTTCCTTTTATCTCGCATTTCAAGACAGGGTAAATTCACACTGCGCTTTACATGAAACAAACTTCTTTAAACATTTCAAACTTATGTCTTCATGCATCAATCAACATACTTTAAATGAATACAAAACAAAGTGCATCTTAAATAAAACAAAAATAAATAAATAGTTAACAATACAGAAAAGATGTAGCTGCTGAAAGCTTAACAACAAATGTATACCAGTCAGTCCTGATATCAGTATTAGTGTAACAATAGTCATATAGTGGGAGCATGAAGTTGAACAATTCATGATTACACATAATTATATATGTTTGTTTGAATAATACTTGTTATAAAGATAGTAGTATGGTACTCTCTGTCACGAATTATTATGTATACTGTTGTATCACATTCATTTTCTATTCTGTTTTAGAATTGGCTTTCACCGTGTGAATGCGGCTAACAATAAACACAATTACAATAATGATGAGGATTATTATTATCATCATCATAATTATTATTATTATTAATATTATAATTGTTATCATTATTATTATTACTATTATTATCATCATTATGACTTATTAAGTAAGCAAATATCATTCCCCAAAACCTGGGGGATGATTGTACATGCCATCCCCCCCCCCACATTGTGAGGTGGGGGGATGCATCCCCCTCATCCCCCCCCCCCCGTTGTCTACGCCCCTGCATGCAAGACTTTTTTTTTTTCCTTTTTTTTTTTTATGTTCATTGATTGATGTAACTTATGAAATGTCTTGTATCAAAGATCGTGTTTTATATTGCTTATCTTGATAATTTCTTGTTATGTGAATTTCTTGTTATGTGAAATTATGAGGAAGGAAATAAAATATCATTTAAAATTTAAAAAAAACATGGGGGACGCATGGGGGACGCACGGCCAGCGCTTTGGAAATTTGCAATTTTGGCCAGTGCGTTGTCATTCGCTAGGTGTGCGTCAGTATTCGTTACTTGTTCGTCGCGCGCGCTGGACCAACGCTGGACCAAGGCTGTGCATTCGTCGTCATTCGCTGAGTGCTTCGGGATTTTTTGAGCATGCTCAAAAGTTTTGGAATGAGCATGCGCAGATCGATTTTCATCTCAAGTTACCATCCTCTTTGCCTTCCGTCGTTTTTTGCAAAAGTGCAAACTACAGGACGAATGCATTAATGAAACCTTAGTGGATGCTTATAGTTTCGCTTTACAAAGTGATGACTATAAAAGACACTTCAGTTATTATATACCACCATATTTAGATGATCTCTTTCTCACCTCGTCGAGGATATACATTAAAACGTGAATAGTTTGGAGCGCATGTTCAGAACCATATCAAATTTACAAACCAACCATTCATTGCGAAGGATCTTATTTTGGAGCGCATGTTCAGCACCATATTTAATTTACAAACCAACCATCCATTGCGAGGGATCTTACTCTGGAGCGTCAAACTACTGGGGTCGTGCAAAGTTAAGGTAAAATGCTTAAAAGTTTTCTTCTCCAGTTTTGCTCTATAATTGTGTCGCCTCGTTTGATAATACGTTGTGTGGTCAGCTCATGAAGTTAAAGTTATCCAAAGTAAACTTGAAATTGCAGCCTGAAAAATATCTCATATGAACCTAAACAAAATCACAAAATTTCGTTTACGAAGATATTTAAGTGTTAGTATTAGTAGCAAGTATAGAGGCAGTACTAGTAGCAATATAGTACTCGTATAGTAGTACCAGCAGTTATTATTATTAGGTGTAGCAGCAGTAGAAGTAGTAGTAGTAGTAGTAGTAATATTAGTAGAATAAGTAGTAGTAACAGTAGAAGTAGTACTAGTAGTAGTAGTAGTAGTAGCAGCAGTAGTAGTAGTAGCAGCAGTAGCAGTAGTAGTAGTAGTAGTAGTAGTAGTAGTAATAGTAGTAGAAGAAGTAGTAGTAGCAGTAGAAGTAGTCGTAGTAGTAGTAGTAGTAGTAGCAGCAGCAGTAGTAGTAGTAGTAGTAGTAGTAGTAGTAGTAATATTAGTAGAAGAAGTAGTAGTAGTAGTAGAAGTAGTAGTAGTAGTAGTAGTAGTAGTAGTAGTAGTAATATTAGTAGAAGCAGTAGTAGTAGAAGTAGTAGTAGTAGTAGTAGTAGTAGTATAAGATGATGATAAAGAAGAAGAAGACAACATGCATGAGGCTCTTCTACCAACGTTACCAACGTTTCACAAATTCAGAAAAATATGATTCCTGCATGCTACATTAATCTGTAGAGGGTGCAATCGCCTAAACAGCAAACAAACACAAGATATAACAACTTAGTGAGATAAATTGAACCTTTATGTTTTTCTTTCAGACGGAAATCCAAAATCAGTCATTATGGCTTTCGAACACCGTGTACTCGTTCCATTGATCATCTTCTTCTGTATCCGAACCCTGCATGGAGATACTGTTTCCATAATACCGTGGGATCTGAAGAGATCTCTCTGTCGCGAGGACGTTAAGCTGAAGGAAACCGATTGTGATGGCAGAAATTTGGATTCTGTCCCTCAAAATCTTCCAGAAAACACTGAAGTTCTGAAGCTGAGTTCCAACAAACTCACCTCTCTCTTAAACTCTACGTTTAAAAGATACCCACGCATTACCAAATTGGATATTGCCAAAAACGACATCAGGATGATTGAATCTAGGACTTTTTACCCTCTTAAAGAATTGCAGGCTTTAGATTTATCTTTCAACTTTGATCTTGTGCTTCCCGACACAGGTCTTTTCAGGTGGGCCAAGAAACTGTCTGTTCTAAACTTAGAAGAGACAACATTGAAATCACTACCCAACGATACGCTAAAATGGAGCCCGGATTTAGAAAGTGTAAACCTTAACTTTAACAATCTTACTTTCATTAACATCAGTGATTGTGGCAGGGTTAAGCGTTTTGAATTGTGTTGCAATAGTCTTACGCACATCACCCAGGAGGATTTCGAATTTTCATGTCATAGTGAGACTTTGGATCTAACTTATAACCCTATATCATCAGTCGATCCCAATGTGATAGCATCATTGAATGTCAGCTCACTGTTGTTTGGGATCTCTCCTTTGTCATTCAAGTTGTTGAGAAATATATTCATTGGCATCTCACGGTCGACTATAGAGCATATTAGACTCGCGTATATTATTAGTGAACTTCCAACAGATTTCTTTGATCCGCTGCAGGGTCATTCTCTTTCAGTGCTTGACATCTCTTACAACGAAATACGCGCCCTCTATCCATTCGTCTTCTCGAACTTGACGCGTACCAGATTACTTCATGTCAGTTACAACTATATCGAAACGATCGAACCAGATTTTTTTGAAAACATGCAGGATATCAGGGTTTTGAAATTGGAAAAAAATTTAATAAAATATGTAAACACCTACCATCGTCCATGGAAAATAGACTTAACTGAGTTGGATCTCTCTCGTAATCGTTTGATTAAAGTTTCCCCATTCGCTTTTCTCGGTTTGAAAAATTTAACGTTTTTAGACATGCACTCAAACATATTTCTTACAACCCTGGAAATGGAATCATTTATAGGACTAGAACAAATTGAAACTATCAATTTGTCACAATGTAATATCATTCATATTCAAGTGGTCATTCCGAGCTTAAAATCTCTTTTCCTTAACAATAACCCGTTGTTTTATATGACTTTCTATCCTTTCGAAAGTTTACAATCACTTGTGCATTTGAACCTCAGAAAGACCGAGCTTGAGAGCGTTCAAATTTTTACAAATAGCTCTATTTTCGATGGACTGGTTAGTCTGACGACTTTGGATCTGAGTGAAAATTCAATCGGCTCTATATATGACCGTGTAGATTATTTATCATTTAAACCACTGTCTGCTCTACAAAATCTCAGTTTGGAAGACTGTCAAATATCATTGCTTCATCCATTAGCCTTTGAGGCGTTGAAATTCCTTCGGGTGCTGAACTTAAGGGGAAACAATATAAGCAACTTCCTATTGATATATTCAAACATTTTGGACAAATGACAAGAATTGATCTCCATAATAACCGTTTGACATACCTCGATATAAACCTGTTTCTGAACAATAGCAGGCTGACAACACTTTTGTTATCAGAAAACAAGTTAACAAGACTCAACCAAAGTACTTTCGAACTGATTGGGCCTTCTCATACATCTGTCGATCTTTCAGGGAACCCACTTGAATGCAATTGTGAACTAAGTTGGCTTCTTGCCTGGATTAGCGGACCACTTGTACTCATGAACAAGAATAAAACTATTTGTTCGTCAGCGTCTTTAGAGCCTCTCCGCGATAAACCGCTGTTTGATTTTGAGTCCAAAAAGCTTTGTAGCCCTAACATTGCCCTCTATTCTTTGACTCCCCTTGCCATCATATCCTTCGTAGTCATCGTCGTACTCGTTCATCACAATCGATGGCAGTTGAGGCACAAACTCTTTCTCTTGAAATTAGCGGCCGTTGGGTATAACGAGATGCGAGACGCTCGAGACCACAATGATTATGAGTTCGACATGAATATCATCTTCTACGACGATGACGAAGAGTGGGCTCGCGAACATCTTCTACCAACTCTCGAAGAAAGACTCCCGCAGTTTAAGAGGAACGTCTTTGGTGACAAAGACCTAGTGCCAGATATGCATTACTTGGAGGCGATTGACTACGTGGTGAGCCGGAGTTACAAGACCGTCATTCTACTAAGCAGAGCCGCCGTGCGCGATCGCTGGTTCATGCTCAAGTTCCGCACCGCGATGGACCATGTGAGTGACACCCAGACTGAGTTCGTAGTCGCGGTCTTCATCGAAGACATCCCAGATGATGAGATACCTTTCTTGGCGAGGTTGTATCTCATTGACGGCAGACCCTACCTCTATTGGACTGAGGACGTGAGGGGACAGGAATATTTCTTTGATCAATTGACGAAATATCTAACGATTAATCTCAAAACCAATGACTTGATCCCTAACGAGTAGAAGAATGTGACAATATAACTATGTGGTCGTCAGGGTAAGCAGGGGTAGCCTCAATATCCTTATGAGCTGAAATGTTAGAAATAAAAAAAAAAGGATGGAATTTTTTGTAGAGTGCAACGACCATAATATTTTTTGAGCAATTCCTTTTCCTAGATATCTCGTCTTTGATAAATGCGAGAAATAGCACATTTAACATTTCCGTATGATTGCAAATGTATCATCTGATTAAATCAATGTTTTCTACTACGACATCGTCTAACACATTGTCGTACGAGGCTTATCGCTGTTGGTTTGCGACAGTGACTTAAACAGACTAAGTAATCCTAGATGTATTGCAATGATTATGTACGTTTTTACTATTTCAAATTTACTCGAACGTACCTTGAAAAGTAGAATCACAAATGAAACATTTCATTTATTTCAAGGCATTTTGATGAATCTTTTTACTCTTGATTTTTTAAGCAGTTTAAGACAGGATTATATGAACAATGACAGTCTTTAATAATACAAACATGTCCCTTCAAATGTTATGTAACGCGTATTGGGATGTTTAATAACCCTCTCGTATGTATACAATATTTATTGGAACTTCAATCTTGGCCTCATAAATATATCACTAGAAGTAAAACAATATTCAGTATTGTAAAATTACAATGTTTTATTTTTATATATGTAAAGCATATAATGAAATAAGAATGACAATTATAATAATATTAATAATAATAATAATAATTATATATTTTATAACCTAGGGTAACCCAATCAGTATTAATATTGTTCTCCCTTAGGGCCCTGTAATCATGTTATAACCCCGGCTTTAGCCTAGCTACCATGACAATTAAGGCGGTCAATCATTAAAGGAATTGTAGTAACATTAATGTATGAATTAGTGTACGAAATAATGCATGAATTAATGTATGAATCGATGTATAAATTCATGTATGAATCGATGTATAAATTAATGTATGAATGAATGGATAAATGTATAATGAAATGATATATCTAGTTCACGCACTCTAGCTTCATCAGTATCAATATTTCATTGTATGTGTACATGCTCCAAATAAGGGTTGTCGTAGTAGATGGATAACTCTAGATTACAATATATGCAAACCTTATCATTGATGATTAATACTTATATTGTTAAAACTTAACAATTGATGTTGAAGAGAGATAACATATTTTCTTAAAGGTAATACAAAGTTTTGGGAAATTTTGAAAATTGGGTGAATAGTGATTCTTTACATTTTTGATATATTTGGATGCCCCTGTGGATGCATTATAAGCACTAGAAAATTTAGTCCCTAAAACGCTTCTGCTTTCGAGAAAAATTGAATTTAACAATTTACCGGTGCTCCAGTTAAATTTTGATGAATTTCAAATAGCGCCTACGGCCGTACAATAGTAGCAGCGACCATGAAAATCTCAGAAAATGTAGTTGTGATATATAATTTCCAAACGGGAATAGCTAATCGGTCGATTTTAGTCAAGAAACATTGTTTTATAGCTTACTTAATATCTTTGCCTTGAGAGGGAGCTATACAACATAAAGAGTTCATTATTTCCAAATTTCCTAACTTTAGACTCGATTTCAACCGCGACAACGATCACGGAATATTGTAGGATCGCATATGCTTCTAATATGTTCATTGGAACCAAATTCATGACCCCATACCAAAACTTCGTATTATAGCGAATGAAATTGATTAATGATGTGTAAGTTACAACTTAATGTAAAGTAATAAAATATTATTAAGAGGATATCGTTTATACATGTCGTTCATTCTAAAACCTGTTCTCAGTATGTGTGAGTGCGTGTGTGTGCGTGTGTGCGCGTGTGCGTGTGGGTGTGTGCGTGTGTGTATGTATATGTGTGAGAGAAAAAGAGAGAGAGAAAGAAAGAGAAAGTAAGAGGGTGAGAGAGAGAGAGAGAGAGAGAGAGAGAAGGAGAAGAGAAAGAGAAGAGAAATCGAGGAAGTAAGAGGGTGAGAGAGAGAGAGAGAGAGAGAGAAGGAGAAAGAGAAAGAGAAGAGAAATCGAGGAAGTAAGAGAAAAAAGACCGAGAGAGAGAAAGAGAGCATGTGTGTGCGCGTGTATGCTTGTGTATGACCTGTGTGCAAAGAGATACTTGATAGGGATATAATTGTCAATATATTTTAAGGTGGTTGAAAAATTAATTATTTGAAAAAACGATTCCCTTGAGATCCTGATGGGTAAATCTAGATAGATGTGGTAACAATTTTTTTAAACGAATTATAGAATTAGTGATTGCGGGATCTCTTTATCACCAAATGAAATTCTACGAATGGAAATGTCTTGTTCTGTACCTTATAGTATTCCCCTTAATAGAAAATCAATTGATATAAAATGGATGCGTGAAAGAAGGAAATAGATTACAGCTTCCTGAATGCATCTTAGAGGAGTTAGATTGCTATGCTTATAGTATTTGAAAACAATACTATTTTAAAGAGTGTGGTAACGTAACAATGAAAAATCATGAGAAATTGTCTCCAGATACGAATACCCGAGTTTCGATTAGTTTCACTTCTTTAAGTATCTTGACTATTGAATTGATGATATTAAATGGTTTCATGTAGGCTGTATGCATGTCCAAAGGTTATATACTTTCCGAGGTTCGTTCTCCCCGTACGTTTCTTGTATTCGGTACTGCTTTTCCTCTACGCCCTTTACTGAACATTAATCAGACTGTATAAGCTTTACTTTTTATTAAGGCTCCTCACATTTTACATGGTTTTTAAATTGCCCTGTCATATCTACACTTCCCTCGTAACATCTTGATGTTTACCATATATTATACTTCAAATAATAATAATAATAATAATGGTGGCTATATAAAGCGCACCAGGTCCGTCAGGCATGACGCTCATGGCGCTATACATGCAAATCCATATACGAATACACAAGAAGGTACAATAAGATATTGAACCGAAAGCATTAGCTAGAGGAAATATGAAATCAGGGGCGTAGACAACGGGGGGGGGGGGGGGGGGGGGGATGAGGGGGATGCATCCCCCCACCTCACAAGGTGGGGGGATGGCATGTACAATCATCCTCCCCAGGTTTTAGAGAATGATATTTGCTTACTTAATAAGTCATAATGATGATAATAATAGTAATAATAATAATGATAACAATTATAATATTATTAATAATAATAATTATGATGATGATAATAATAATCCTCATCATTATTGTAATTGTGTTTATTGTTATTAGCCGCATTCACACGGTGAAAGCCAATTCAGACGGTAAAAAAAGAAATCTTACAAGTATTTTGTGGTTATCTTGTGGTTTGGAAACCACAAGATAACCACATGATTAAACAGGCGCGGATCTACGGGGGGGGGGGGTTAGGGGGTTTAAACCCCCCCTTGGGCGGCCAAAAAAACAAACAAACAAAAAAGGGGAAACAAAGAAAGAAAAAAAAGAAAAAAAGAAAGAAAAAAGAACGCACGCTGGAGAGAAACCCTTTCAAGTGCAAATATTGTGAGAAGATATTCAACTCATCTGGTAACTTAACCAAACACATGATAACTCTGGATATAACTGTGTATTTAACTGTTACTTGATTTAAAAAAACGTTATCATGCACTGCTTTTTAAGGTCTCCATTGTGTTAATAGATGCCAGGAAAACATCACTTACGGGGTTCAAATAAACACCCCAAAAAAAATCGGCTCGCCGCTTCGCGGCTCGTGCACGATGCTCCGCATCGTCATTATTGGTCAACCCCCCCCCCTTAGCAAAAAGCTAGATCCGCCCCTGAGTCATCCCCCCAGGTGTACGAACCTGTCTACGCCACTGTATGAAATACAAACGTATTAATATATAACGAGAGGAACAAGAACAAGAAGTAAACAGAATCGTTGCTCTATTTAGAATCGGTAATTTGTTTAATATATTGTTATAATGATTGTTATTATTCCTATTACTACTGCTATTATAAATATAACGATGACAATTAGTATTATTATCAGGAGCGTAGACAACGGGGGGGGGGATGAGGGGGATGCATTCCCCCCCCCCCCCCACCTCACAAGGCGGGGGGGGGTGGCATGTACAATCATCCCCCCCATGTTTTTGGGAATGATATTTGCTTACTTAATAAGTCATAATGATGATAATAATAGTAATAATAATAATGATAACAATTATAATATTAATAATAATAATTATGATGATGATAATAATAATCCTCATCATTATTGTAATTGTGTTTATTGTTAGCCGCATTCACACGGTGAAAGCCAATTCTAAAACAGAATAGAAAATGAATGTGATACAACAGTATACATAATAATTCGTGACAGAGAGTACCATACTACTATCTTTATAACAAGTATTATTCAAACAAACATATATAATTATGTATAATCATGAATTGTTCAACTTCATGCTCCCACTATATGACTATTGTTACACTAATACTCAGGGGCGTACGCAGGGGGGGGGGTTTGGGGGTTCAACCCCCCCCCCCTTTGGTATTTTTTTTTTTTTTTTTTTTTTTTTTTTATTATTTAAAAAAATGAAATTTAAAAAAAAAATTAAAAAATTATACCCACGGCTAACCTAAATTAGATGACCTTACCCCCCCCCCCAACGACAAAAAATGTCAAATTATGAAATTTCGAGACTAAAAAAAAAAAAAAAATGTGTCCGCTTACCCCCCCCCCCCCCCCCCCCCCCCCCCCCCACTGAGCGACTTTTCGGCTGGCTGAGTCGTTGCGATTTTTTTTGACCTCCAAAAAAAAAAAAAAGTGTCCGCTTACCCCCCCCCCCCCCCCCCCCCACTGAGCGACTTTTCGGCCAGCGCGATTTTCAAATTTTCGGGAGCAAAATATTTAAAACCCCCCCCCCCCCCCTTCAAAAAATCCTGCGTACGCCCCTGCTAATACTGATATCAGGACTGACTGGTATACATTAGTTTGTTGTTAAGCTTGCAGCAGCTACATCTTTTCTGTATTGTTAACAATTTATTTATTTTTGTTTTATTTAAGATGCACCTTGTTTTGTATTCATTTAAAGTATGTTGATTGATGCATGAAGACATAAGTTTGAAATGTTTAAAGAAGTTTGTTTCATGTAAAGCGCAGTGTGAATTTACCCTGTCTTGAAATGCGAGATAAAAGGAACCTATTAGTATTAGCATTATTATTTGTATTAGTATTATTTTGTATTTGTATTATCATTATTATTATTATTATTATTATTATTATTATTATTATTATTATTATTATTATTATAAGACTGAGATCAAATAGAAGTAAATAATGCCCTAATTTGAAACGATGCAATGCCGTTATGGTTCCGATTTCTTCACAAACTTACAAAGCAGTATTGTTACTCCATGGATCATAGTGATACCGTTTATGTTTTTTGTATCTGTATGTTAATGAGCCGCCAGCCAATATCCATCTATGGATACTATGCCTGTTTCTTTGAGGTAAAAAAAAGCATAGTATGTACGTATTCATTATGCTTTATAATGAACAGACATATTGTTCAAAGTTTAATCGTTATTTGTTTGTTGTTTATGTGTTCTAGTATTCACAAATGGCCACAGAGGCTGTTTTCATTCATAACCACATACCCCTATCAAGACAACAAAGACTATACCTGCGTGTACACAGTTGACATTGGTTTTTTTTCTGAAGAGGTGTAACAGCAAAATCCACAGAGATAAATTAAAGGAAACCAAAACCTTCATACTAAGTTACTTTTATTGTAAAGTTTAAGATATTTGAAAAATATCAGTGAAAATTTGAACTAAATCGGGCAAGGAATAAGGAAGTAAGAGCTTTTTGAAATGACTAGTCACTAGAGGGCGGTATTCAATTTGATGACATCATCTGTGAACAACTCTCCATGCCTTTTGTACATAAAATTTCACAATTTTTTTGTTTTCTTCGTATTTATTTGTGTTCCTAATCCGACTTCATAACATGTGAAGTAGAATATCCTTTTGCATTCTATGTCTTGCTTTCGGGGGAGTACATTATCTCAATCACAAGAAAGAAGGAAAAACATGAAATTTGATGTACAAAAGGCATGGAGAGTTGTCCACAGATGATGTCATCAAATTGAATACCGCCCTCTAGTGACTAGAATCTTTATTCTATTTTAAGGCTATAATGTGTGTTGCATACATCTTTTCATGGATATATGAAGAACATCTGAACTTTATCTTGAAACTTGATTTTAACAAAATGTATAACTCAAAGGTATTTCTTCCTACAACTTTTCTTTTGTGATTCCAAGTCTGTGGTGCATCTATTATATAAGAACTTATTCATAAACATACTCCAGTACGTATTCTGTAATCATCATCACAACATCTTCTGGTTGTACACCCTGTAAACATGAATACACACGGAAACATCTACTTCATGGCATCACTTCCTGCTCTGTGGAATTCTCAACCCATTACCATTAGACAAATATTTTCTCTCGATACTTTTAAGAAAGCCCTTAAGACCTACCATTTCTTACATTGATTGATTGGTTACCTTTTTATTAATATTCCATGTAAACTTTACAAAGTATAATACATTTTACACAATATTAACGTTTCTTTAAGGAATATGAAAATAAATAATATTGAATCATAGTTGAAAGAATGTTCCGTAAATCAATAAATACGGAAATAAAAAGTTAACCTACTCATAAGCTAGGCTTGTTGCGTGTAGAAAAACCCATAATACACATCCACTAGACTGAGGCAAAAATATGAATGAAAAAGAAAATACAACATGTTGCGATTAAAAGTGGAAGATAAAGAATATGGGGAAGGGGGGACGACAGACAGAAAGATGAATATACTGAAAGATGGATAGGTGGGTAGATGGATAGAGAAAGAGATATATTTATAGAGAGAGAGAGAGAGGGGGGAGGCAGAGATATGAAGCTAGAAGTAAAGCGAAGAAGAAAGATAGTAGTATTATAATGTAAGATGGGACTGGTAAATTCTCGAAATATGCTAGGCATGGGTGCGAGATGGAAAAGCGAACATCTATGAATTGACAAAAGTAAAAAATAACAAACGGTTGTTTATTTCAGTCATTTGTCATATTGCTGGAGAAAATTACGTTTAAATGCATTCCTGAAACCGTATTAAGGTGGTCTCTCTTTAAAATCATCTGGGAAGGGAACTCCAAAGTCTGGGTCCTGTAAAAGTAAAAAAAAAAAAAATCGTAAGTTGGGTTCTCATTTTTGGAAGGTGACAGGAGCCCGCTCAAATAGTAGGGTAGCTGTGTAATTCGATATTTTTCCTTAACATTGCTTAAAGAACTTCCGGTTATTCATTTCTACTGATCGAAAGCATACATATCCTCATAGTATAAGAAAACAGATCACGTATCTGTACAATTTTGTTCGAGTGCATCTGTATGTGCTCGAGAGTCTAAATGATTTATATATTTTGTTTAAATTCTGAAGAAATATTAAAGATTCTGTCCAATAACGAGCATGCATGTTGCCCCAGGCTAAAATTTCGTAATATAAGAAAAAACAAATTTAAAGTAGAGTATAAATTCAATAATATGTGTGACCGAAAAAGTACTTTCAAAAGTATTCCGATATTTCTGGCATATTTTTTACACATGTTATCAATATGCGGTTTCCATGATAACCTTTTTGTAGTAGAAACCCTTTCAATAACAGTGATATCGATTAAGAATAATATTTTTCTAGTTAATTAATCTTTTATATTACTAAACAATATATATTTAGTTTTCAATAAATTAAGTGATAATTTAATAGTATAGTTCTGATCCTATGTGTTATATCTTTCATTTACATATTAATTGTTGTGGGTAAAATCCCAGGTTCTTTGTGCGAAAAGACAATATCAGAATCGTGTGCGAAGAGAATAATAGACAAAATATTTGATGAACTTTAGAAGTAATTAATATATATATATATAATATACAATAGTGGGCCTAGAATTGAGCACTGAAGTACACCGCGATCAATAGAATTAATACCTGAATGAACACCATCGATTACTCCATATTGTTTCCTATTGTGGAGGTAGATCCTAAACCACCCCAAGGCTTTCCTCTTATTCCATAGTTTGAGTTTGAGTTCTCCAAGGCTGGATTCCAACCTCACTTTTGGCTAAATTTGGCCGTCGATGGTCTGACGACCCACGGTGCCTATCTCGATGACATCTCTTTTTCCAAAAAGTAGAGTGTTTTTGGTGGAGTTGCAAGAGAGCATTTCCTTGAGAGCCTCTCGAAACTCGGGATACCTTGCTGCGTAGATGATCGGGTTCGCGCAGGAGTTATAGAAGCCAAGAAATGTAAGCATGGAATGAACAGGACTATTTAGGTAAGATTCAGGAACCCAACCAATGTTATAACCCAGATAGGCAATCTGGTTTGGAGTCCAACAAACAAGATAGATGAGGATGACGACCAGCATCATCTTCAGAACGCGGTTTCTGGCCACGATGTGGAAAGATGGCGTTTGTTTCCCATTTGGGCTGTTGGTCATGCCTCTAAATTGGTTGGAGCGGTCACTAAGCTTGCGAGCGATTAGAACCTGGGTAATTAGCATGGTGAGAGAAGGGACAACGAGGATGAGGCAGAACCAACAGAAAGCTACGATGATTTGTGTCAAGCGGTTTATGTACCGATCCTTGCACGTGTTGGTAAAGGTGTCAACAGTATGAGCGAAGAAGGTGAACAGTTGAGTTAAGATGGAAAGGAACCAGATGATAACGATGAGGGTCGAGATACGTCGTCGAGTGATGAGGCGCTTGAAATGAAGAGGATATACCACTGCTATGTACCGTTCTACAGATATAGACATCAGGAGGTATGCTGATACCGTTATGGAAGCCCAGAGTAGGCTTTGTGTGAAGACAAGTCTGCAGTAGACCTCACCCAACCAGGTCTTAGGAATGTACACTGGCGTGGGGATGGGAATGAGGAATATCGAAGTAAGGAAGTCTGCAAAAGCCAGTCCACCGATCAGGGTATCTGTCGCTCTGTTTTTACTTCTGCGATGTAAAAGAACAACAATCACCAGGAAGTTTCCTACGATGCCTGTGATTGCCGAGATTAGCTGTAGAATGACCAACCATGACCAATCCATCGGGCACCAGGAAAAGTGTACAACGATCGTCGTGTTCTCACCGAATCCTACATGGGTTTCGGAAGATATTCCATAAAGAGCAGTTGTAGAGTTGAATATAACACGTTGTTCCGTCATCGTTTGTGTCTTATTCATGATTGAAAGTGGTGATATACTGTAGATCCGCTTCCCCAAATGACCACTAGTGAAGTCGTCTCTGACCTCAGTGAAGATATAAGCAATGTGACAAGCTGGTTAATGTTTCCCTACAATCATCACGATTATATAAAATGTCACTATGTACGGTATTATAAACTCATACATAGGAAAAAGGGGTCGTCATATAAAAGCACTGCTTGAGCTGAAATGTTCATTCAATAGTCCATTATAATGTAACTGAATACATGGCAAACAAAAATGACAGATTGTGGGTGATGCCTAAATAGATTTTATGTTGATTTATTTTTTACATACGTACATCATCACACATATATAAAATGTCATTTTGTATGGTATTATAAACTCATACATAGGAAAAAGGGGAGTCGTCATAATTGTAAGCACAACTTAATATTTAAAGAATTGTGAAGTGGAGCGGTAAAAGGGAGATAGGCACGAGATCCTATCGAAAAATCATATAGAGAGGAAGGCGTGGACGATAAAATTAGTCCTGTAAAGTTCTAATTAAAAAGGCAATCACATTGACGTTTCATTAGCAATCATAATTTATTGTAATCAAACATTGACCCATTAAGGCCTGTCAAGTACAGCTATAAAAACGTCATTTTGTGTACAATCACGATCGATAGGTTTTCAAAATGAAGTCAAACTGGTTCTGTTCTTTCTTCCACAGTACGGGCGATGGTAAAGAACGTCTGTTAATCAGACACAATGATCAGGGAATTTGATCAAGATAGTCTTGTCGATTCAGGAGGCAGAAGAAGAAGAAGGGAGATCATGAGTATGGAGGACGCGCGACATTTACACTTTATTAAAAGAGATCGGACAATGTTAAGTCGTTTTCGCTGCGGCAATCATCACCTGCCGATTTTATCAGGTAGATACTAAAATGCTCCCAGGAAAATGAGGTACCGTTGTGTACTCTCTGCAATTTGCAATCACTCGGGGACGAGTTTCATTACTTATTTCCATGCCTCTCAGACAGAAATTTTTTCCTCGATAAATATTTTATTGAAAGACCGCATACACTGAAAATGGATCAGCTTTTTAACTCCAATAATGTACAAACACGTTTAGACTTTATAGTAAAATTATGTAAACAAAAAATGCTTCGTTTCCATTATTTTCAGTGTGTGTACAATTTTATGAGTTCAATATTATCTTCATGTTTCTCTTTTTTGTCCTATATCAAAATATTAAATTGATATCAAGAGTGTTTTCAGTAGTTAATTAATTCAAATAACAATTCACTGGTGCCAATAACTTTCTTTTTTGATTGCTTTCAATAATGTTGTCATTAGTTGTTATTCTAATTATAATTATCATTATTATCAATTATTATTATTATTATCATTATTATTATCATAATTTGTATCTCTTTCGTCGTTAGTGATTTTTGTATTGATTAAAATTAGTTCGGTTTGAATTGTATACTGTACGGTGTTAAATTTACAAATTCAAACTGATTGTAAACTTCTCCAATACCCCAATATGGGTAACATGAGAATAAATTGTCATTGTCATTGTCACACTCATCTATATTCGTAACCCCTCTCTCTCTCTTTCTTTCTCTCTCTCTCTCTCTCTCTCTGAATATTTTCTTTCCATTTCCCAATAATTCGAACGCAGAAACTTATAAACTCAACCTGATGACTTAATCTCATTGCACTAATGTGTATATCTTATGAAAAGGGGCTACAAAAATACAATATTATTATTATCATCCTCATCATTATTATTATCATTGCACATGAGTTGATTTTTTTGAAAGCTCTTGCTCTAAGGTTCAGTCATATACCTCCCTCTGTCTTTCACATCTCTACAATCATGTATATCTCTCCCCTTTCTCTCTCTTCCTCTTCTCTCTCTCTCTCTCTCTCTCTCTCTCCCTCCTCTCTCTCGCTTTCTTTCTCTCTCCCTTTCTCTCTCTTCTTGCTTTCATTTGTACGAGTTCTCTTCGCTCCTTCACTTTCTTTGTCTCACATATTTCCATTTTCCTCATTTTTGTTCTCTCAGACTTTTCTCTCTTTCCAATCCTTCTGTGTTCTCTTCGTCTCTTTCCTCTCTTATCCCCGGATTTTTAAATCTTTTCTTCCTCTCCCTGTCACACTTATTGTTATATTTATATTTCCTTTCCTCCTCCCCTTCTCTCAGACCCTGTCTCAAAGTGCATCTGTCTTTTGCAATCTTTAAATGACTACATCGAGTGAACAAGATTCATATGAACTTTTTTTATTAGGCAATAAAGCTGGACCTAAACATTCAATGTCGTACTGTAACAATGTTTATTATCAATTCAAGTAAATAATGACGACCAACGATAGAGTAAACGACAAAATCCATCCACTAATAAACAATCTCACCCACAAAGTGAGAAAATTCGGTTATCTTTTGGAAATATGATATCGAGCTGGAACATCATTGAATAATTGAGCCTAAGCCAAGTGTTCAATATATCTTGATTTAAAAAGAAATTTACCATTAAATCAGTTGGTATTTTCTGAAATCATATTGAATAAATGTATAGCTTTCTTAGTGCGTGCCTTAGGGCATCGATAAGTGTTGTTCTTTCTGATTATCGGGGGGTTTTCGCAATTGAAAACTCAGTTCATAAAACTTTGCATGAAGATCAATCTTCTTACATGAATAAAACAAAATTTAGCATTCGATCCATTTGTTTGTTTGTTTGTTTTAAAGCTAATAATTGGCTTTATTTACTACTTAAATAGAAATATAGTGCGCACTACTCGAGAGAATCTTGCCAATATCTTTCTTTAAAAGTTCATCAGACCTCTCCACGTTGTCAGAACCGACGAGAGAACGTTTTCCTGGCGATATAGAGGGAAAGGTCTGCTTCTGTTCCTCGTGTTTATTGGTGCCTGTCGTCTGCTTCACAGTAACGTCATTTGGAGATTGTTCTGTATTGTCGTTGAGGGCGAGATGATTGGTTGAAAATCCGATGCGGTTTTTGTAGGCTTCCTGGAATCTTTTATTAGTAAGCTGACGTCTCAAGCTAGGAAGGCGGGATGAGTTGGTGGCTGTACGAGCTGCGATGAAAAAGAATGATGGAAAATGAAAATAAAATGGATAAAGTTATATTTAACAGTTCTATAATGATATAATTAATGAACAATGAAACAGCTGGTATTAGGCAATGCACTAAAGAGAGGTATTGAAAATAAGTGAGAGAAAAACTAACTCAGGAGACGGTCAGACAACGGAAATATGTATTCTATGGTGAATGTTTAACCATTGTTTACATCCGAGGAAATACTTTTACGTTTGCATGAATGTTATATTAAATACTAATGCAGCAGGTACATTGCATTTATTTCAGTTCCGTAATAATCTTTCATCTGATCATATAATAAAGAAAATGTTGTTGCTATTCTCTTTGAATAAATGGAATGCCATATTTATTTAAGTAGAATTACTATTAAATGTTCATTAAATTAACCAATGTTTACATGTAAATGAATATTAATCTTCATTTCGTTAATAAATGAATTTTGAAACAAATGTTAAAAAAGGCGACTTACGTGATCCTGAATTCTGTTTGGAGATGTTCTCCCTCTGTTTCCTGTTGGCCTGGACGACCTTTAGAAGTTTCTCTTCCGATATCTCGATGCCCTTCTCTGTTGTGCAGCATTCAAGTTGGCAATTATCATGGTTAAAGTCTCCACTTGCTAATGGTGCCCTGGTTGAAGTCGGCTGGTAACCAGGTCTGAAAGTGTCAGTCAGCTGAATGGCGTAAGCTTGATAAAGCTGCGGTAGATGGTGCTTCTGGTCTGGTTGTAATTGCTTCTTGATGGGGTCGTTGTTGGAGACATCACTGTTATCTGCGAGGCAGTGGCAGCTGGAGTCTTTGCAAGAGGACATCGGTGTTCTGCAAAACATTCTTTGGATGGTTTCTGGGGAAGAGTCACAAGAGGAGGAGGAGGTCTGGCTACTAGAACAAGAGCTCAATGACTTGTCATCGCTGCACACGCTCATGTCGTCACCGTCCAGCTGGATTCCGTCTCTTGCTACCATATCATTTGAATACCTAGATTCGTTGTCTGATGAATCGCTGTCGTTCATGGAAGAAACGGAGATGAGACGACCGCGCCGTCCAGACTTTCCTGCTTTTGGCCGTTCAGTCTTCGATTTCTCTATCAGCGGCAGGAAATTAGTCTTGATGTGGCGAGTGGCCTCTGCCCAATCTAGAGCACTTCGACGGTTATTGTCCCGAATAGATACAGAGGCCTTGCCTTGATGAAGGAGTATACTGGCGCAGACATCGTTGCAAAGTCGGATCGCCTGCATGAGTGGTGTGATACCATCTTCGTTTGATATGTCAACGCTAAGGTCATACCGGCGGAGAGCATCTACTAGCAGTTTTGTGGTGGCTGCATTGCCAGATGTTGCTGCGTGGAAGAGCGGAGTGCAGTCGTTTACGTCAGAGTCATTCAAATTGATGTCTCCATCAGTCTTTTTGAGAAACAGTTCTACGACGCAGTCCAGGCCACGCAGGCACGCCCAGACCAATGCACTACGGCCAAGACAGTCTCGGTGCGCCACCACTGCTCCCCGACGAAGTAACATACGAATTATCTTCATGCGATAACGGGAATTCTCAACAAAAATGGATCGGATGAGAGGCGATTGGCCGTTTGCATCTGTGTGATTGACTCCAATCCCTGATCCCAGGAGAAGCCGTACCTGTCGGGGCCGACCGGCTGACACTGCTCTCAGCAGGGCAAAGTGACCGTCTGTATCAAATACCATAATGTAATTTCGGTATCAGGAGGAGGAAGTATATGAGCTGTGTTGTCAGGCAGAAGTCTACAGAAACTAATGATTCGAGCACTGAGTGATGTCGACATTTAAAGTATCGTGCACCTTGATGAACTTGACCTAGTGAACACTCCTCTGCTTCTCAATGAGCCTGTCAATTAACCTGAGCTAGAAAGAATATAATAGCGCTAATGGTCTAATGAGACAATGATGTGTTACAATGGATGGCGCACGAGTGCCTCAAGTAGAAGAATAGCTAGGAACACTCTAAAGAACTCCATTGTCGGAGTGTGTATTGGTATTGTAATAGAAGAAGCAACTGACAGGTAATCACGATTATATTATCTATGGCCTGTATCGGGGATAGAAATTCGACTTTCAAAGTATAAGTTGCGGTAATGAGAGACATGAACAGATGTTTGTAAGGGCGAGACCAACCGATATACTGTTATGACGTGGGTTTGTATTTCCTAGGCCTGTAATGATGATGGGCATGTTGATTCCATGTTACTTAATTAGCCCTACAGCCTGCGTGTGACGTAGCTTTCCAAGAACGTCAGTGAAAAAACGCTATTCAGTAAATTTTGCTTTTTCTTTTTTGAGGTGAATGCGTACATCTTTGATGGACAGTCAGTTACAACAGAACACACTTTATACTTGAAACTCACACTGTGTCAGTTGCCAACAAAAGATAAAAACTCATCATTCAAAGAGAAATATTTTCTTGAATCGAGGTTATGCCTGTCTGCATTTCAACAATTTCATGCAACATTTACGTGACATGATGCATGTTTTGAAGAAAAAAAAACGTTGCTTTCAGTTGATCACTAATAATTAATTTTCTTCGATATGATAATAATTCTTTTAAATCAAATAACTGTCGATGAAATTCCTATGGTTACTAGCTGCGTTGAACGTGATAATTATCCTTTGGAACCCAATAATTATCATTCGAAATCCAGCAATCATAATGAATATTACAAGTGTGGCATACATTTTACATTCAACCAGCCATTTTTGGAAATTATAGTCGGTATGTTTTATACCGAAATTTCGTTGTCTAATGTAGAGTTTTTTTTCTTCAATAACATTTATTTAAATCCAATTCATTTAAGAAACGCTTATGCTAAAATTACTAAGAAAAAATATTATTCGCGGCTTTATGTCCGAAACTTAATTTCATTTCTTTCTTCTCTACATACTTCTTCTACATCGTTAAAAGAAGAAACAAAATGTCCTGTTAAATCACATCTAGTAATAATCAGCGTTTGGAAAGACTCATTTATTTTAATGATAATAATAATAATAAATACTCATTGAAACCCCAAATTGATACTCTTGCAACAACAATAAAGAAAGAAAGAACAGAAATAGAAGTCAATCAAACCATTGTAAGCCTAACGTACAATTATATCAGTGACGTAGGCCTCTAAAGGCTCTAAATGACAGAATCTGCTCTTCTGCCTAATCAACACAATGCATTTTTACGATGACAGTGGCCTTGACACGTCCATTAATTGATCGTTTCAATAGTTCTTTGTGCCTCTTTGTGCCCCGATTATAAAGGCATATTGTTCACTGTTAATTGTTCATTCTGAAGTGACAGTTGACTATAAATGATGAAGAATGTTTTGTAATGTCAGTCATTGCGAGACCCTATTGAGAACAACACGAAGAATGAGAACACAAACAAGGGACTGGGATAATCTCTTTTATCCCTTTCTTGTCATATCCACCTCATTTTTGCTATTAGCAGATTATCCTGTCAGTTAAAGGCACTGGTCAATTGAAAAGCAATAAAGGAAAGTAAGGATTATGTACGTGGAGCGGGTAACTTGACCTTCCATAGTATTAAATTCAGTGGCGTAATGAGCGAAACTTTTTTTTGGGGGGGGCGCAATCTTTGCGAGAGAGCGGGGGGCGAGATTTTTCATTTTCGACTTGAAAATGTGCAATCTGGGGCATACCTTAGAAGGAAATTTTGACTTGACGACATGAACTAAGTGGTAAGCGTGTCACGATTCGACCGACTGAATATTGAATGGGTTACAACTTTCTACTTTACACTGAGTTAATATCCAATCAATTGTATCGATCAAAGTGTAACATACAGTAAATCATTATACAAACCAGCAAATCCTTCAATCTTTTGTAAATTCTGTTAAATTAGAGTCTCCCTGATCGAACCAAATAGCCGTTCGACAAACACGATGGTGTTCTGCACCATGTTTAATAATTTGCCTACAATGTCATAATGGGACTAAGTATCGTTGTCCATAAAACAGTTACACAAGGTCCATTAGGGACTATAACAAACATATGCTTTCCTGGCTATTTGGGAATTTGTCAGTTTGCAACAGAAATTGAGAAACGCGCATTTTATTGAAAATCATGTGATATCACGAACATTTATAAATCACTTGTATGGAAATGAATACAAGTCATGATTACGTTTTATTTGGCACCCCCACCATTACGCCAGTGATCAAATTGTTGGTATCGTAGGCCCTAAGAAATCATATTACGTCGTAGCACTTGCATAGCTTGTGAGTTGTGAGATTGTGTGCCTCGACGGTTCAATGCGATATTACATAATTTGCATATGTACCACACTGCGTTTATCATGAAAATCAATATAACTATGAATTTATTGCCATAATTATGCTTCGTGTTAATAATTCATATTGTTATGTTAAGTCCCTTTATAGGACGATATATATTACAATTCATTAATTATACCTACCTTAATATCCACTGCAAATTAATGTTAATGGGAAAACAAATGCATTTCGACAACAATTTAGGGATCTATGTCGAAATAGGATAGTTGAAGGGCAAAATCCATCCTAAAGAATAACCAGCACACCCCTTGAACGAAAACTGTATACGAATGCGGTCCGGTAACCAGGTTGAGGTTTGTTGTTTGTGTTATTTATTTCAATACGGTAATAAAAAAACCTGCTTTCAGCCGCTGTCGGACAAATGGGCTCTGTAAACTCATTTATACCTATTTCCATACGAATATCAAATGAGGAAATATGAAAATAATAACGAGGTTGTTATCTTAATCCACATTATGCATGAGTGTTTCAAAGTTTTAAAAAACTTGATATTGAATGTAGGTAATAATAATGACGACAGTAATAACTACAATACTGATAATGATAATAATAATAATAATAATAATAATTAGACTACATAACAATTATAATAACACCATACATTATTGATACTTGTACAAACTTATAATAATTCCACCTCAATTGGACAGGTATAAAATGTATATTATTTTCGATGCATGACTATGTCTTTCGTTGATTGTTGATTGTTTTTGTTTTTGTTTTCTGTCAACTCAAAATTATTTTATTGAATTTGTCTTTTTTGAATGTACATACGACAAATTTCTATAGTTAAATGGAAAGTAAATATTAACCTTATAATTCCGTTCAGGCAGACCATCTTTTCTACAGTATTGAATGAAGACGTCTTTGACCTTTTTTGTTTGTAAAGGAAACTTATTCACAATGTGGACAAGTGCGAAGCTACTGTTGTTTACATTGAACAGCACACACTTCATCAAAAAGTCAATATTACAAAAAAAATCGTAGAAACCCAAAGTAACCTTGTTAGAAGAGGGGTGGTTAATAAATTAAAATCATATTGGTATATATAAATATTATATATATATATATCATACACTTGTGACTAGGAATTTCAAACAAATCAGAGATCATCCTTGACCTTATTAATTTATTTATTTATTTATTTATTTATTAAAACATCTTTTAACAGGATAACATTAATCAGCTCGCAGGCTGTTTTACATAATGGTCCTGCATAAGGATGGAAAATACAGATACAGACTGACATTAAGAGTAGTTACAAACAAAATAGCAGTTTTATACAAATGGTAAAAAAACGAAAACAACACAAATGGGAAAAAATAGGCTTAGGGAAAACGAAAAGAGGAGACAAAATATAAAATAATGCAATATGACATTTAGATTATGACATTTTACATTAGAATTATATACAACAATGCAGTTAATAAATATTTTATGTCGAGATTAAGCCCAATGAGTTGTAAATATGGTTTATATTGCATAATTATAAAAAAAAATGAATATCAAATTTAGGACGTAATGTAGGTATTTGAAATTTCTAGGTAATTGGGTTAGCAATCATTATAGGTTGTTGCATATAATGTTGTAGTAGTGAGGAGAAACGGCAGTGAACAAATTTTATCCATTAAAGGAATATTTTTTATATTGATATTTAAAACTCTCTACTGAATTGGCATTTTGGATATCATTGGGAAGCTTATTCCAATTAACCGCTCCAGCATACTTAAAAGATTGTTTGAATAAGGTTACGTTGGGTTTTGGCAATACTACATTAAGGGAGTTTGCATTTCTTGTGTTTAGGCCATGGCGGTCGAAATACATTTCTATTTCATTTGATAAACGAGGTGGAGCAATGCCCCTTATACATTTAAACATAAGCATAGCCAGAAAATAATCACGGCGCTGATCAATAGTTTGCCAGGACAGTTTTTTTATCAATGTGTTGCCGCTTGCAAGTTCATAGTCAAAGATACCAGTTACATATCTAGCAGCTCTTTTCTGTAATCTCTGAAGGGGCAGCTTGTAGCTGGCTGGGCAATTCCCCCATACAGATATTGCATAGTCTATACAGGGTTGGATTACACACTTATAAAGGGTGTTCAATAGTTCTGGGATTACGAATTTACTCAGCTTTCCTAAAGAATAGATTTTATAGGCAATAGATTTACATAAGTCTCTTAAGTATACATTCCACTTCAAATTTTCATCAATCACTATACCTAAAGATCTAATAGATTTTACCTGTTCGATCAGTTCATCTTTTATGTATATATTTAATACTTCAGAGGATCTTAATTTTATTAACATTGTTTTGGTTTTACTTGTGTTAATGCGTAATCGATTTTGTTTATACCAATTATTAAGAGCATTAATATCTTTTTGTAATTTCTTTGTAACATCATCTATCTTACTATCTGCAACAGTGACTACAACATCATCTGCAAATATGTTGCAGACGCCTTCAGTTATACATTCAGAAATATCATTTATGAATATAAGAAACAAAATGGGGGCCAGGACACTGCCCTGTGGTACTCCGATAGAAAGCTCTCTTGTATCAGATAATTTTCCTTTGGAGTATACCACTTGCTTCCTATTACTTAAGTAGTTTTTGAACCATTTGAGCCTGTTTTCATTTATTCCATATTTTTCAAGTTTGAATAGGAGAAGCTCGTGATCAACACAATCAAAACATTTAGAGATGTCTAGAAAGCATGCACCGACCATTTCTTTCGTATTTAAGGCTTCGTAGAAGTCATCTATGACACGATGTAAGCATGTTACAGTTGAATGGTTTGGAAGAAAGGCGTATTGATCGACATTAATCATATCATGTTTTTGAAGGTAGGAAAGTAACTGTAATTGTACTTCCTTTTCTATAATTTTGGGAATATGACTAGCAACCGAAATTGGTCGATAATTTGTTTTTTCATTTTTTGAGCCTTTTCCTTTGAAAATCGGTGTGGTACGTGCAATCTTCCAATCATCAGGTACTATTCCCGTATCCTGACTTGCATTAAAGATGGCACATAGGGATTGAGCAATATATGGTGCAGCTAATTTGAGTAATTTAGTGTCAAAGTCTAAGACATCTAAATTGCTATTTGAAGCTAAGTTAGTTAAATGTTTTAGAATCTTGGAACTAACAATTGGTTGAAAATAAAATTCATAAATACAATGTGGATGATTCCATTTCGGTTTTTCTTTAACAAATGATCTAGAGATATTGTTACCTGTATTAATAAAAAAATCGTTCATTTCATTACATTCAATATTACAGCTCTGGTCCTTAGACTTTGTCACTCCAGAAATCTTATTCAATTCTGTCCATAATTTCTTCGAATTATTCTTATGTTTATTATGTACATCCCGAAAATATTCCTGATATTAATTGTTATAGTTTTGCAAAAGGAAGAGAACAAATAATTTCCTTCGAATTATACAGCGTTGTGAGAGGGTTGAAAGTGTAAAACACGAGGTAGTGAAGATTAGAGAATGTGAGAGTGGATTCTAAAGATCTTTGGCACTGGGGTCGGGATTATGTTCAAGAAAGGGCAATAATGCCCCCCCCCCCCCACCCCTGGATCCAGATCATTTGAAATCACTTAGTCTTTTTATCTTATTATAGCAGTACGTAGATGTGTAGATGTGTAGTGGTGTAGTGGTTCCTTCACTTGACTCTCATGCAATCACAAGGGTTGATGGTTCGAATCTCTACTCGCCACTAACTTGGCAAGACATTAATCCACATGTGCCACTCTCCACCCAGGTGTAAATGGGTACCATAGAGATATATACTTTTAGTAGTATATATATCTCTATGATGGGTACCTAGCTGGTGTTCGCGGGGGTAATCATAATTGCAGGGCTCCGGCTCTCAGGAAGAACAGCCGAAGAGGCGTCCCTCCCCCCAAACAAAATAATTTTTTAAAAAATAAAAAAATAAATAAATGAAATAAAATAAAATAAAAAATAAAAATAAAATGGATAATAATAATGTTAAAAAAATAAAAATAATAATAATAATAATAATAATGAATACATAAATAATAAATATTATTATTACGATATTATTTTGATATTTCAAATGAGCTTATAGTTTACATATTGCATTTTGTGGTGGAAACTGTAACATTCAACTTCAATTTCAATACGTCCCTCCTTTTTCACTTTATTTTAAACTCTAAGATACCATAAGCTTTAAGCTTCTACAGGTGTAGAAGAAGAAAAATATACGTTTGTTATTCTAAAGCTACGTAAATTTTCAAAATTTGGCAGGAGTCACATATCGATTGAATGGAATCCTCACAATTTTCTCTGCCAAAGGTAATGTATTTTGAATTCATAATATGATTAATGTGAAACGCAGACGAATAAAAGTTAGACTTGGTCAAACAATTTAATGCATTGTCCCATATGCTGATATTTATGTTATCTTTTTCCTGTTCTCATGGTCTTTCAAAATAACGCCAACTTTCAGTTTCACATTTTGAAATTTTCGGGAACTGCTCTAATCCTTGATTCCTCACATTCGTAACAATTATGGAGTTATTTGCATGGATTTATAATGAAATAAAAGGTGAATTCTATACGAATGGGCGCTGGGCGAAAATTATGCCCTCTGCGGGGCTGGCTCTGGCTTAGATCCTTCTAGACCGAATTTTCCGTCTCTTTCGTTCGTTAGCCTCTTATTGGGGTAGGGTCGGCCGGCTCTCTCTTTAGAGACGGAAGCCGTCTATACACATGTCCTTGCTAACGCCACGACCAGTTCTGGTCGTAGCGTTTTGCCCCCAAAATCCCCCAAAATGTCATTTTACCTCATGCATTGATTATTTAAAATTAGGAGAAGGTTTTACTACCTCGGTTCCACTTACCAACTTGACTGTATAATCCGTTTAATGGTCCCTTTTAAGGAAATTACGGGTCTAAATTGACAGCCGTGTTGAAAATCTTGCAAGGTGTGTTAAACTCTCGCTGCCGGAGTCATCTAAATCAATCTCATCCCTTCTAGTCTACGCCGAAGGCAAAATGATTATGAAGGAAAAACTGTGCGCCATCTACACGTTCGTAATGGCGTTATCACAGTTTTTCCTTCATAATAATTTTGCCTTCGGCGTAGACTAGAAGGGATGAGATTGATTTAGATGACTCCGGCAGCGAGAGTTTAACACACCTTGCAAGATTTTCAACACGGCTGTCAATTTAGACCCGTAATTTCCTTAAAAGGGACCATTAAACGGATTATACAGTCAAGTTGGTAAGTGGAACCGAGGTAGTAAAACCTTCTCCTAATTTTAAATAATCAATGCATGAGGTAAAATGACATTTTGGGGGATTTTGGGGGCAAAACGCTACGACCAGAACTGGTCGTGGCGTTAGCAAGGACATGTGTATAGACGGCTTCCGTCTCTAAAGAGAGAGCCGGCCGACCCTACCCCAATAAGAGGCTAACGAACGAAAGAGACGGAAAATTCGGTCTAGCTCTGGCTCTACTCTCTAGAATAGTTGGCCGATCTGCTCAAGTGGCTTCGAATTTAAGTGAAAGATGGCCTACTTAACTTATCGCAGCTCAAGTTCATTATACGGAGAGAGGCTTTAAACTTACATCCTAACGTAATGAACTAATCGCAACTAATATTCAACCACTTCAGCCTTTCCTTCCTAATGAATTCTTTAAAAATAACAAGCTGCATAACAATACAGAAAATAACTACTGTGGCGTAATTGCGTAACCGGGCTCTGCTGGGGTAGCGTTCTGCCTTGCCACCTCTCAAAACCCGGTCCACGCTCTCGACAATCATTCATCAACTATTTTTCAGTGGGCTCTCACAAAAGTATATCGTGTAAGAAATAACGTGGAGTAGCTCTCATTCACTTACTCCCGCAATCACTGAATGTCTGACAGGACTAAAGAAACAACACTTGCACAGTATCTGCAGTTCAAGTAACTTTACTCATTCCTTGTGACGAACCTGTCGCAACGACAGCTCGACGCTGACTCACTGACATCTCACGATGTACACATATATATATTTCACAATTAACTGTAACGCCCTCTACATCTTACTAAAATACTGGACTAGTTATGCTACACTACTAATAATTTACTGACATTAATTGCACAAACACAACGCCACTAGGCTATCGTCGATCCAACAGCAAAAGTACTAAGAGAGGACCAGTAACTACGCCCTCTCACATTGCCTGGCGGAAATCATCGAATGACTATGGAAATGCCATTAATCACAACAACAACATTCAATGGCAAAGTCAATACGTAATATTACGTCACACCACAGAAATGTTGACATGTCATGCTTTAAACTGGTGACGCACTTCAGACACAACTGACGCACACACAGCATTGTACACACATAAAATAGAAAAATCAACAAACATCGAAGAATAAATTTCCAGTTTGTACCTTAAATATGAAAATGAGGATTGTTCAAACTTAAAAAATACTTAAGTGAGACTTAAATTTAAGTAAATACTTAAGTGAAAATATCATAACAAATCTAGAGGGTTTGACTAAAATATCATAATTTTGGTAATGAAAAAAAAAGGAAATCGCAAGCTTGCTCGTCGCACAAATATCTTATAGCATTGAGTGAATGGAACCTAGCGATAGCCAATAAGAAGGGACCTTGTCGGCACCAATTTAGTAAAATGAGGGTGCAATTTGCCAAGATCGGATGAACGATTTGTGCATGCGCTATTGCGCTAAATGTAAGCTAAAGTTCTAAGTGTCTAGATCCTAATTCCTACTCCTAGACCTAGACCCTATGTTATTTTGCTTTAAAAAAGTCAAGAAGTCACTCGAGTTGAATCTTGATCTCAGAGTCATGATTCATAATTGAGAAGTTTTCCACAGCACTGTCCTTATAACTGGACAAAGTACGAAGATGCACTGATAAGTAGGAGAAGGAAATTCAAAAGAAGTAGGAGAAGGAAATTCAAAAGAAGAAGAAGAAGAAACCTCAGAAATAATAAAAAATAATAAATAACATATGAAAACAAAATGCCATGATGTAGTCTATTATGTAAGCTCTCATCAAATGTTTTATTGAAGTGAGTTTATAGATGATATATTTAAAGTGAGGATAAATCAACATTAAGATATTTCCATGAAAATTATAGGTAAGTCAAAGTTGATTTAGATGGCCAATGTCATTATCTCTGCTAGAGTAACGGCTAGACAAGGAAAAAAAATCAGACCTTTTGGGAAAATGTTATGTCTTTAAAATGAGCACAAAACTTTGATATGAAAACTGTTGATCATCTGGTAGTAATTTAACAAAAAATCCAACTCAAGCCAGGTAAGTCTTCCTATTTACATTTTAGTGGTTGCAGATGTATTATTATGATTATTTTACAATTTGATCTACATGTACATCTAAGCATTGTTATTTCTTAACAGATGTTCTGCATATCTACTATTTCAGGAGTACCCTTGTTTTGAGAAAATAATTAGTCATTACTGTACGCCATGTTTTCAATAATATTAACAAATTTAAAGGAAAAAATCTTAAACAAAATAGATATATCTACCCAAGCACTGGAATACTTCAGTTAAATCCTGAATGGTATCAATGAAATTTGGCTTCTGAATTTTTAGATTAAATATATTTTTCAAAATATCAATCGTTAAACATAAATAATTTGTCATTTAATACTGTACATGTACATGCCATGCTTTCAATAATAATTGCCCTTTGTGTTATGAAAAATTCTTGACCAAAGTTGATATCATATTTTGTGTAAATATCACCCAGGCACTGGAGTACTTGAGTGAAATCCAGGAGCATATCAATGAAGTTAGGCTGCAGAATGAGTCTACATGTCGTGACATCAACCAGCTCCTCAACAAACCCTGGCTTGGTAAGACTTCCCCTGCTTCTTCCAGCCTCGCAGGAACTCAAGAAGAGGGCAGTAGAGGTTCAGCCAGTGCTCCTGAGCATTTGACCGATGGTAACGTGTTCTCTGTAGAAGAGCAATCAATGCTGGCTGAGGTAGACGGCGTGCTGGCCCAGGCCCAGAAACTTAGGCAGTTCCAAAGCAAGGTCAGTGTGGGAAGTTCTTGTATGTCAATGAATTATCAGCAATTGTCGACATGACGATTCCAGTGCTTTCTGAAATTTGATTCTTTCCATTCAGCAAATTTTGCAAACTTTTGAAAATGAAAGGGGAAGGAGTTACTGTGGAAATGTTAACTTTGCTTTGTAAGCATTGAAATTTATTGATTGTAAAATGCAAAGTGTGTGTATGTTGTTTGTGTGTATTTATGGGTGTTTAGACATTAAATAGTGATCTGCTCATTACTAATTTCATTACAGCTAAGTAGTATCTGGGCTACATGATTAATTCAAATGAAAGTACACATCCCTGTTGACTAAGTTGTTGACTAGGTCCGTTGCTTTATACTACAAATATACATCATGTTAGGCAAATCACCAATAATTATTTAATAAAACCCTACAGATAACAATCTTTACTATTTCTCATCAAATGAAGCTTATTGTATTTTCCTGGTAAAGTTTTGCTTTATAGTGGAACACTAGTTCATATTTGTATTTAATTTCCTTTTTTCCTCGAAGGTGAAAAGCAAACAAACCAGCAGCAGTAACCAGGACAAAAACTCACCAATAGCTGTAAGTGCTCCTAACCATACTGAACCACCCAAGTCTACCGAGGTTGCTGAACCCTCTACTGCACCAGATCAGCAGAATAATCAAGAGAGCCAGGGTGAACTTACCAACCAGAACACCAACAACTCTGGAGGGGGTGCAACCGATGTTGCAGTCATATCCGCAAGAGATCTTGATAGGCTTCTGAAGAAAGATCCACTTACAAGAAAGGAGCAAACTTCAAAGCTGACTCGTCCAACGTCAGGAACGACTAAACTTTCCAAGCAACCTAAGTCAAAGAGAACAGCTTCAGGTACATCAGGTGTCCACGGACAGGCATCAAGGAAAAATTCACAACTCGGGACATCCTCCGCAGAAATTGGAAGACACATCTCAAAACCAGTATCTCGATTTGGAAACGCTCAAAGCAAGTACATGCAATCAGCTAAAGCAAAGACATTAGCTAAAGACAATTCAAGGAAGATAAATATTCAAGGTAGTGGAAATGGCCCCAGTGTAAGGCAGAGCTCGTCACAAGGACAAACAAAGCGGCCATCATCAGCGAATAGGACATCTAATGAAGTGGCTCGTGTTCCATCAGGAAAAAGTAATGTAAAGATTGAACAACCAAGTAGAACTCAAAGAAGTACTGATACAGTTGACAGAGTAACTCAGTCAGTGGCTCAGTTGGAGGTGTCTAAAGCACTTGAAACAAGATCGGGTGATACTCACCATGAAACAAAGACATCACCTTCCACAGAAGCTGATCTTACACCACACAGAGAGAAGATCCCTTTTATGCTGAGGAGAGATGGGTGAGTGCTTAACATATTACATTATGAAACAAAGTTATCATAGATTCTATAAACTCACAAGTAGCAGGGTTAATAAAATATTATTTTGCTATCTGGGCCAGTCTTAAAAAGAGTTGCGATTAAACGCAACTATGTACATAAGAGACAGGAGACTGCAAACTGGGGATTATTTGGAGGACTTGCGATTGATTTGGATAATGGAAGTGTAATCGATTTGATGTTGCAACTGTATGACGCCTGACCAAATAAAAATTTAACAATGCTTTCATGCGATCAATTATTCTCCATATTTTCACAGATCAAGTCTTACAGTTCCATCAAAGTTAAAGAAGCACTACCAGACCGATGCCAAGCTCAGAGACAAACTGACATCCCTGATACACGGTGATGGCTCCAGTCATTCTGAACATTTCCTGGATCTCTTTGGCGACAATGTATCCTTTATATCTGTAATGCAGATATGTTCAGCTTTACAAGCTTGCTTTCATGTACATGTAGGTCCCATCATATTTCTCTCAGTTAAATCAGTGCATTATATTGACCACTTATCTTTATGTTATTTATTATGTATTATTGATTGTTATTTTATTACACAAAAAACAACTTTATTTTGAAATGTATTTATGTAACATGAGAAATTTGAAAATAAATAAACGAGATGAGATAAGATTGGTGAGGTGTTGTATAGTCAGGTGGTTTAAACATTTGACTCAAGATATGAAGGTCATGGGTCCAAGCCTATTGTCCTTTAGCAAGACATTATCACTCAGGTGTATTAGTACCTGGTAAAAAAAAATGAGCTGAAGCTGGGATACTTTCAGCGCACCCTGCATACAAATATCTGATATTATTGTTATTATTATTTTGATTATTCTTAACAATTCTTATTCTTTTTTGGGGCCCCAACTCCAATAAGCGAGTTCGTAAATAGCTCTGGAACGCATGACCCCAAAATATCCACAGATCTTTGACATGATGGATACTTCCCACGTGTGTATTTTAGAATAATCACTGCCGAAGTGATGGAGGTGCTTCATGAGTTTTGTTTGCCTCTTGAGAAGAATACTTCCACCTGTGTATCAGATAAATATACTGTTGGTGTATAAATGAATAATGATTACATAACTTTCATGAGCACGATCCGAGTATTCGTCTCAATGGTTTTACAATTTAGGTACGAATGACCTTTATCTGCCAATGCGCAAATCGTAATTACAACCTCGCTTATAGAGACAGGGCAAACAACATGAAGCTCTTTAATCAAAGCAGTGGTCTTGGAACTGAGAAACCCCATATATAACCTATGTCAATAAGTCAATGAGCCAATGCTGTTGGTTACACCTAAATCACAATAAACCTAGACCATTAAATAGGGTATGAAACTGCAAAACCTCCGGTTGTGTAGCCAATCCAAATGAACATATGTATTCTTACAATCAGATATATCTAATGGAATATTTGAAAATGTAATGATTTAAACTAAATCAGATATATCATCTGCTTAGAGCCAGAAGGGCATTAACTTGTATCAAAGTTTAAAGTCCCACTGCACTACTTATAGATACTTACGCCCTCTATATAGCAAACAATGCCTAATCGGTGCCTGTTGATCCCCCATGATCCCCTTTTTCTTATGTTAATTGAGAGCTTATTTGATGAGATAACCACCTGTCAGTGACCTTGCAGGGAGGTCTAATCCCCCTGGCCAAACTAGTACAGACAGGCTTCAATGCCCTTCCTCCTCCTCCTCCAGGCTTTATTTGTATGATCTTTCCTCATCCTGGCTTCGGGCTAGATTTGTGTAGCTTTCCTCAACCCTAGATACCTTAGCCTTCATACAGCTTACATCTTGATGCTGAGCTGCAGAGGCTTACAGCAGAGTACCAACACCTGATACAACTCACTAGGGATTTGAGAAAACAACTCCATGCAATACATGGTAAGCATATGTAGGAAAGGATCCCAGGCTACCTTGGCACTAGGGACTACCCTTGGCACTCAGACTCGGTGAACAATCTTGGCCAAGTTATTCAAGAGAGCTGAATCAATCACAAATAGTTTGTTTTTTAAATATTCTGTTTGGATTGAGTAACGCTCTAACAACATCCACATTCAAGACTTTATATAAGAAATGTGTAAACAAGTTACTGAAGGGGTAACAATGAAAGTTTCAGTAGCTGAAATTTGACAAACATGAATCTGATTGCTGTTTTAGCGATCCAGTGTGTAGCCTGCTTTTCAACTCTTGAAATGTTATTACCAATCAATGCCGAGTTTCACAAAGGTGCTAAGTAAGTCTAATGGAAATTATAGTTGTTGTTTTTAATGATAATTTTTAAAAAATATATTTGAACAAATTTGCTTTTTGATAATTTGTGATATTTACCGATATCTTAAATTGAAATTCACCTGTCATTTATTTTGTGCAGGTAAGACTCCTTGGGAGGATGTGTACTATCTCCATGCTATATCAGAGGTCATCAGACAGCGACAAGCTGAGATAAGTCAGCAGTTCTGTGAGCTGAAAGACGGTGAGTACCCCAGCTTTGCAGGCTTAAACCCCTCAGTGAACTGTTTGGTGAATTGCATTTTGGTCTACATCCATTTCGTCTACTATCCACATTGTCTTATAATCATTTCGGCCTCTTATCATTTGGTCTAATAACCATTTAGGCTAATTGCCATTCGGTCAAATTTCCATTTGGTCTAATGTACAATTAGTCTATGAACCATTTCGTCTATTATTCATGTAGTCTAATAACCAGTTAATCTAATTTCCAGTGTGTCTAATGCCAATTTCATCTTCTATCCATAAGGTCTAATAATCATTTAATGATTATTATTACTTATGATTAAATGATTATTAAAGGTAAAGACCAGTATTGGAAACGCCCCAATTTCAAAAAATGAAATGGAAGCTATCATTACCAATCATGTGAAAGAATATGTTTTGACTAATACATGATGATAAAAAAATTGCCGGGAAACCGCCTACTAATTCATATATTTGGTAAATTTGTTTCTCTCATGGTCTGTGAGAGATATAGGGTAGTCCATATACATCTTTCTGTGTATAGTGCTTGTAACTTTACGAAGAATGGGCCAAATTATTATCATTTTGATGATTCCAGAACCTTGCAGATGCTAGATGCTAGATGATCAACCTTTTCTGATCGATTCCACAACGTTTCTTTCACAATGCAATCGCATGACCATAACTGGTCTTTACCTTTAAACCATGTGGATAGTAGACAAACTGGTTGTATACCAAACGGTAATAAACCAACTGTTTTATCATCTGAATCGCCTGAAACAGCCTGTAAACTTGTCATACAATGTACCTTGCTTCAACTAGAGCTCTAGCGCCATCTAGTGGGCGTCATACTAAGAAGTCCTCAAGTTAATTTTGTACAGAATTTTGTTTCTAATGTCATGTGTGTTGATCAGAACTTTGTCCATTTCAAGAATAAACTTGTAAGCCTAATTTTGCCATGCCCTTTAGCTATGATGTTTATGAAATGAAGCATTATGTAATCTTACAGATATGTTAACGTTTGTATTTTTCGGAACGGACAATAAAAAATAAGCTGAGAGTCCTCAAGTTTGGATGGGAACAGTAAACTACTTTGCATTTTTTATGAGGCTATTTTTAATCTTCATGTATTGCTGTCTTATGCAACGGTAAATTGATCCTGTATCGCCTCCTCTGTAGGTCTGAAGGATGGAACAGATGTCACAGTGTCAAGGAGCAGTCACAAGACAATGAACAGCTCTCCATTTCTATGGCATCAAGTGAACAACTTTGAAGGTAATATTTTCATATGGTAGTCATTTTAATAATACAATTTGGCAAGACGTTTTTTATATTTTTTCTAAAAGTTCACACCTCTATAGAATGAATTTTCTTTAATCAACATAATCTTTTCAAGCTTTATGCAATAGATTATACTATATTATGCATTTCTTAATTGCTGTCACTTGTTGTCTCTCTGTGATAAAGACAAAATGTGGTTTTCCAATTATACACATGTAAGTTAAAAAGTTACATTGTAAGAAATTTAGGCTTCATTATTATTGCACATAAATCATATTTTCAAAAAATTCACCACTTCTGGGCCCTGTCTTATAGAGAGTTTCAATTGATAGCAAGATGCAGTAGGTTTGAATCAGTTACTGTACAACTGTTTTTAAGATGAGGGCGTAGTAAGAAGAAAATAATATATGATTAGATGATTGAATGAATAACTTTTGTTCTTCTGTTCTTGTATCTCAGATGAGTTGCTTTCTATTCCCGATGGTAACATCTTACAGTACTCCTCTAGAGCAGAGTTATTGGAATGGAATCAACTAGTGTACAGGATTCAGCATATACAACAAGAAAAGATTATCCAGGAGGTAAGCTCCTCTACACTGCCTCCATTTTTGTCTAGGTCTATTTTTTGTTGTTGATTAATACTCGCTTCTTTTATAGTTTGGTATGATTACAATATAAACCACTTTATTAGAAACTTGAATGACGCCCTACACAACATGCCAAAAAGAGAGAAATCTGTGTAGAAACTTGCCACCAGTCTGTATTCAGGAATGAATTGAAGTCCAGAGATATCCTATAAAATAGCTGATTTAGTTAAATTTCTTCTGTTTTTGAAGAATAACCTTGGTATGAGCTTTTAAATTTGTATGCCAGGTAAACCTCAAACCGACGACGCTACTTCTGATTATCTCGGTTATCCATATTTACCATTACAATATGAAAATCTTTTAATCCTAGACATTTAGATGTAAAATGATCCTTCATTAATGGATCACATGTATCCTTAGCAAACCTTTTGATTCTGGTCAGACAGAGTACAGTCTGTGGTTTCCATGAAGTGAAACAAAGATAGGTTCCTGTTGTGTCACCTGATGTGTGTATAAATGCAACACAGGGCAAGAAATATTATTATGGTTGTGGCAGTCGAAAATCAAGTCGTGTTATTATTTATTCTGCCTAAATTAGAATTAAGATGAATTTTGTTATATCATGAAACATCGCTTAACTCCAATTTAGTGTATAGTGGTAGAATCAGTATCAATCGTAAACTGTAGTACTATGATAATTGATACAATGTATATTTCTATGAATAAAATGTATATCAAAGGATCTTAACAATGCATTCCTGCTTTTTCTTTCTCTTATTCTCTCTCTCTCTCTCTCTCTCTCTATTTCTCTCCCTCTCTTTTTCGCTCTATCTCTTCTGCCTCACTCTCTACGTTTCTCTCTTTCTTCATTTTCTCTTCTGACCCAACTTTTTCTATCCATCCCTCTTTTATCTCTTTCTCTCCCCCCCCCCCCCCCTCTCTCTCTCTCCCTCTCTCATGGCCTTCTATATCCATCTGTCTGTCTCTCTGTCTGTCTGTCTCTTTCTCTCTCTCTCTCTCTCTCTCTCTCTCTTCATCTCTCTCTCTCTCTCTCTCTTCATATCTCTCTCTCTCTTCATATCTCCCTCTCTTCATATCTCTCTCTTTCTCTCTCTCTCTCTCTCTCTCTCTCTCATTGTAGGTTGCAGGTGATGCAATATTGGAGCTGTTATCAGGTATTGACTACGAAGACCCGTCCTATCCAACTCTCTATCGGATCACCCATGGTCTGATACTCAACTCAGGCTCAGTCTATCCATCCATGATATCTGATGAAGAGAGAGGTATAACGCCTGGACCAGAGTTTTAAAGCCCCACTGTACTACTTGTAGCTACTTGCTCCCTCTATATAGAAAACTTCCCCAATCTGTGCCTGTTGGTCCCCCGTGATCCTCTTTTTCTTATGTTAATTGAGAGCTTAGTTGATGAGATAGCCACCTGTCAGTGACCTTGCTGGGTGGTCTGGTCCCTTCTGGCTGAACTAGTACAGACAGCCTTTAAACAATGATTAATTAATTGTACCGGTATCCTTAAATACTTAGCATTACGCCTTCACATCTGTATCATAACACACAGATAAATGAGTATGCATAGCTCTTTTGTCATTCAGAGCTATTTTGTTTTGGTCATTCCCTCTAGCCATTTATTTACACAAGAAAACATATTGTGGTTTATGGTGTAGTAGGTGAACAAACTCCGACTATCCGTCGTCAGGAGTAGAGAATAGCTGGCATGCGTGAGCTTAAGTCACAATGGTGCGGACTTGGGAGAAATATACATGTCTGTTATATAACTCAAAGTGCAATATTGCAAGTATTATAAATTGCTTTGTAACTTACATGTATTCCTTTTTTTATGTAGCTGATGTATTTCTAATCTCTTCAATTGGAAATACACCCCAAAATCAATTTTGTATTTATTCATTATTTTGTAAATGTGAAACTAAAAAGTGACAGAGATTTGTTACATTTCAAGTTACTGTCTTACAAAGAGGATGTCATTTAAGACACACTTCTGCAAAGATTTCTCCCTCAAAAATGTGTTTGAAGACAAATATTGATAAAAGAATACATAATTTGGATTATCTGTTATATGCAGAAAACTTAAATTTTGTATTCTTTCATTCATATTTGACTTCAAACAAATTTGTTTTGAAAATCTTTGCAGGAATGTGTCTTAAATGATATCCTCTTTCACATTATGATACAATTTAAGTGAAATTTTGTCATCAAATTTGTGGGGCTCCCAGCACTTTAGAAGGGCTTTAATAAAACAATGTAGAAATTCTATTTGTGTGTACCTTGTTGAAATCAAGGCCGTGACAGTGCAATCGTATTGTTCTTGGTTTGCCAGTGACCACATCGGCTTAAAGGCTTCACTAATCTGTTGTGATGGTGTATTGATCCAGGGTAGTCGTCATTTGACGGTTTCATTTCCTCTTGGAGTGTGAAGTAGGGCAGTGCTATGCTAATAGTAGTGTTCAGACTAAGGCAAAGCAATGATTCAATGAAGATGTTCATTGGTTTTTACATGTAGGTTTCACCAGTATATTGTGATGGCATTTAAGTCCAGGGTATTGTTTGATGGTTTCATTTTCTCTTAAAGTGTGAAGTAGGGTGGTGCTATGTCCGTAGGAGTGTTCACATTATGGCACTCATGGGACATGTAGTGGGTTAAAGGTTTCACTATTCTCTTGTTATGAAAGTTCGATCCAGGAAAGATAATAATAATAACTAAACCTTTTTGTATAGCGCATGTTAGACACATAGGCATAATTACATGTCTCTATGTGCTTTACAGAACAGAATACAGAAGGAGAGGAAATGGTGCACTGGGTTCATAAATCTAAAATGTGAGATTTTACAAAGTGCTAAATAGGTATGTCATGTAATTGCCGCATTTTCACATTGAGTGTAAACTGGACCAATGTTATACCAATAGGAGTATTCATACTAGGGCAAAGGGCAAACGCAGTGAAATTCTCATTTGTTTACTTGCTATCTATTTATTGATTCAGGGTAGGGCCGGTAGGTATCATTGGATGGTTTTGTTTCCCATTATGTATAACAGTTTGAAGAACAAAAGTGACATATTTCTGCAAATGTGAAAATAGCAAGTTCAATGGAGGAGCCTGTGCATTTGAATGTACTTTGAACAGAAATATGATTGCATATAAATGCTCAGAATCATCATCATCAAGAATGGCAATACTACTACTGTTAAGCAGTTCTACTTTTCATGCTCATAGGGTGTGTTTTTATTTAAAAGAAATATGGACCTAATTAAAAGTAGTCTAATAATCTATATCAGTGTTATGTTCTTAACATGCTATATCTTCAAGGGTAACATTTTTTTTTGTCCACTTTCAAAATTTGTATCTATAAACTTCAGTTCTACAAAGTTTCAGAAATTGAAAGATAAAAATGCACATCAGTCAAATGGATAAAACATAGCTCTAATAAAATCCTACATTTGACACGTTTCTTACAGTCATCTACAAAGCATATCATTGCAAGTGAACAAAGCGTATTTAATCAGAAAATGATTATTATATTTCTTATCATACACAATGTTAAAGCTTTAGAAATGTTCACACTGGGACAAAACATTAATCCTCTGAAACGTGCAGTCTTCTTTTTTTCTTGTTTTTTAAACGTTTTGTTAGTTTTGTCCAAGTGTTGGATATGCATTTCTCCATCGTGGAGTTACTGGTGCAATAATGCGATGAGCAGCTTTATCACGCTAATAGAATTATTTGGATACATTCCAAAAAAAAAATAGAATCTAGAAGATACAGGATAGGTCAGAGTGGGATTGCTTAATGATAGGTGAGAGTTGGTCCTACGCATTAAAAATTCCATTTTAATTTCATTATTCGGCCACTGTAATTACAGTCTATCACTGAGGTATACCTAAACATTTTGTTTTCCTTTGTTCAGAAAAACTTTTGATATGAAATATAGTCTTTGGTTTTTATTTAGAGGAAATGAACTTGTACATGACCTTGTTAACTCACTTTCATGACGAATCAAGTTGTGATCTGTCTGTTTTTGAATTTTCATTGTTTTGATTTGTTGCCTAAGACTATTTTTAGATGTGTACTTCTTATAAGTTCACCCCCCCCCCCCTTTAAACAAGACATAACATGCTGCATATTTGATTTATCATTGTTTTTCGTGTTCTGTTATTGTAATGGTTAAGAATGGAAAAGTAAAAACAAACCTTGTGAAATATTGGCACATTGCCAAATTTGTGGACAAGAAAGTGACAGTACAGGTGACAGCCTGTTTGAACAAGTTCCATAAATACTATTAAACTGGCCTAAATTTAGCTCTTGTTATGGTAAATGTATAATTATGAATGATGTCATCATCAACAAAGATTTCATCATTCAAACTGGGCAATCGAAGGACACAGACAAGTCTACTACCTTTGTTTTCATGTTGTGGTGAAATAGTGGTGACCTGGTATCAAAACAAAAGAAATCTATAAAAAAATTAAGTGAAGTAAGTGATTATACAATGGAGCACTAATGGAGACATAACATGTGTACTTTTGATTACTACCCTATTTTTATGAGTTAATGAGAGAGCAGAGGGAATATTCTGCTTTACAGACAAATTACTTTGTTATTGGTATTCTAAACTGAACAAGTCTACTGACTTTATTGAGATGTTTCCTAATATCAAGAAGTATATTTGAATGCTTAATCTAATCATGAAAGAATATACCTGTATGTTACATGAGAACATAGATTTGGAAACACAAACAAATTCTGCTAAAAGTAATTTGAATCCTGTATTTCTCAAACCAGGAGAAATTATTGTAAACCTACATCTTGTGACACTACTTATTGAACATTCTGGAATCAACATCGTCTTAAAAAAGAAACAATACATGTTGATATATACTTCTGTTGAAAGTTATATAAAGCTAGAATGTTAGCTTGTCTTGAGCTAATCTGATAATAATCAAAATGCCTTCATTTTTTGGCACATTGCCAAATTGGTCTTTACTATAATAAATATATATCTTCATGATGAACATGAATTTTAATATCCCTAACAAGTTCTGACAGGTCATTCAAAGTCTTCTTTAGATAAATTTCGGTCAAAGTCCTTGAATATGGACAGTACTCTCAAATTTAGTTGATGAAATGCAAATTAGTTACTTTTCCTAATATGTCAATGATTAAAATAGAATGAACGTATGTAGATTTTGAACTATGTTTTTGCTGCAGTTTCAATCTAGGTTGAATTTGTATGCAATATTTTCTGTATTCCCTGCTTTTGATGATTTATATGTGTTCATGATGGATATGCCTTGAAAGCTTGGTCACACTTATATATTGAGAGTATATTTCTTGAATTGCATTATGCATATTTATGAATGAAATATTCTGTATGATATGTACTTTTATGATTCATATGGTATTGAAAATAAACAATATGACATTCGGGTAGACTATTATGATTGCATATTCCCTGCGTTGTGTTTTTGACCATGTGTTATTTAATTAATTTTGCCCACTGGTTATTGTTGGCTGATTTTCCAGTGAGGCCATCATGTAGTGATTTTTTTTATTGATTGATAATTGATTTATTGGTTAATTAATTGAGAGATTCATGAATGGATTGATGATTAACTGATCGATGGATGGATCATGGATGACTTGAGTGTGGAAATCAACATACGATTGTTTGATTGAGTGACTTGTTGGTGGCTACAGTGAGTGAGCAAACTACCGATTAGATACATGAGTGAAATAACGAAGGGTTAATTTATTGACTGATTGGTAGAATGATTTGACGATTTATCTCATTTTATTGATTGGTTTATGGATTGAATCACGTGATTAGTTGATTTGATAGTATAGTATTAATGACTGCTTTGAGAGAAATAGTTGTTTTTTATACGCTCAAGGGAAGGTTAGAATTGTGCTATTGCCCCGAGGCGTGCCGAGGGCAATAGCCCAATTGTAACCTTCCCGAGAGCGTATAAAAAACAACTATTTCTCGAATATTAAAGCAGTCATTAATACTTTTATATGCCGAAAACAAAAGAGTCAACTAATGACACCACCTTGGCCTTTCTCTAGTTTATCTGCACGGTTGTTTTTTTATGAGTGTATCTTTGAGAGTAGACTAGATCTAGATTCTAGTCTAAGCAAGATATTTTTACAATTTTGGGGGTGGGCCGGCCCTGTGGGGAATAGAGAGAAGAACCTGCGCTTTCATATGACACCTCACTTATTGAGTATCACCTTCAGGATCACAACAGATAAAGGTTTGAATCTCGACCAATCAGATGGCTGGATTTCTTAAGTGAGGTATATAATTGACTTTAATATATATTGAGTGACTGTTTTCTAAACGACCAAGGAAATCATTTATACGATGGGTTAATGATTAAAAATCCTCTTACTTTTGAAAGGTAACAATCGTATTTCTAACTAATAAATGAAGAAATCTATTGAAGCACAAGATGCAATAATATATTTTTTTTAAATTATCTATATATAAATGCAAACGGAGAGAGAGAGAGAGAGAGAGAGAGAGAGAGAAAGATGGGGGGGGGGCAGAACTGGTCCTAGCTACTTATCGGCCAAAGTATCTATTTCCTTTATTTTCCTGATCAATATCCGGACTTCTACAAAAAGCTTTGTCCCTCAGAGAAAATGTAGGAACATTAAACATTATACACGACATTGAATGATTAATATTTATCTTGTTAAATAGCCATGCATAAGGCAGAGAGAAAGAGAGAGAGAGAGAGAGAGAGAGAGTATTTAAGAGAAGATAAAGAGAAACGAGAGAGGAGCGAGAAAGAATGTGCGAGATGGGGAGCATTATAGTGACTGGTTGAGGGACAGAGAGAGAGAGAGAGAGAGAAACAAATAAAGCCTGTCATAGCTACCATAATATTACATCCTGACACATCACGTTTACCAATTGTTTAAAAGCTAATAAGGATCTCAGTCGTAGGATCTGTTTCCTGATCAGTTTCCCGACTTCTTCTAAAAGCTTTGGTGCAAGGAGAAGCACATCGGTGTATGAAACATGAGATTCAGTAATTGTAATTTCTCTTGATTGTTGATAACCAAGCATGATCAGAGCAGAGAGTAAGTGAGTGAGAGAGAGAGAGAGAGAGAGAGAGAGACAGACAGAGACAGAGAGAGAGAGAGAGAGAGAGAGAGAGGGGGGCGAGAGAGGGGTAAGGGGGGGGGGGTGGATAAAACCACTCCTAGATAGTTATCATTATCTTGGCTTGCACATTTCGTTCACCAATCGCCAGCTTATAAGGATCTCAGACGGTTTCCATCGATTTCCTGATCAATTTCCGGACTTCTACAGAAGGTGGCTTTGTTACAAGGAGAAATATATAGGTGCATTCAGGTGAACCTAAGTAGCAAACCTTGACACATCGAGGGATTGTGAAACTTTAAAGCCTTCGTTTTGAGATCCATATGAGCCATGAGTCCATAAGGGGCTGGATCGAATATATATCTCCAGAGTGTGTACATTGATTAATAAGACATTTTGCGTTATGGTTGTTTCTTATGTTGAATCTGCTATTTCTTACTCATTCAAATTACTTGTAGGATTAACGAATTCGTGCATTTTTACACTTTATGTCCCCCTCTCTTTCATACTCTCTCTCTCTCTCTCTCTCTTTCTTTCTCTCTCTCTCTCTCTCTCTCTCTCTCTCTCTCTCTCTCTCTCTCTCTCTCTCTCTCTCTCTCTCTCTCTCTCTCTCTCTCTCTCTCTCTCTCTCTCTCTCCCTCTCCTCCTCTCTCTCCCTCTTCCCCTCTCTCCCCTATCTCCATCCATTTTCTCTTTCAAATCCTTATACAGTTCTGTTTTCTAATAGAATTGTTCATACTAAAATATACGATATACATGTTCTATCAGCTATCTATGTAATTGATATTAGATTTCTCAAAGTTGACTCAAAGTTTTTTGATAATCATAATCTCTGTAACCCTTTATTTAAACATAGAGTCTATAGGGCATTTTGTAGGCCTAAAGAAAATTGATTCCGATAATTTATTTGTCTCTGTTATGCCTGTTGCATAATTTGGTATACAGTATATCCCCTTTTGCGTTTGCTCTGTTTTCCTTGGATTTAAAAAAAAAAAACTAACGTTTATGTTCCCTTATTATAGGCCTAAATCATCGCTATTGTCGTCCTCCTCCTCATCGTCATCATCATAGTCATCATTCCCATCATCATCATCATCATCATCATCATCATCATCATCATCATCATCATCATCATCTAATTTTATAAACTTGTCGATAATTTACAAGTATATTAATAAACATTATGTTCATAATTCAACTTAACATGCGGTATATAGCCTGGCCGTGAAAGCATTTCGAGTTTATTTCATTTAAACACATTTCGTTCTGATTTGATCATTAATTCGTAAACTATTAAAACAAATGGTGTATTGATATTCAGTTGTGAAGATGAAACTGGTAGCTATAGGGGTTACCTTGTTGGGATGTATGCCCAGGGTCCATCCCTTTATTTCGGGTTGGGCACTACTTCTGGTTCGGTAGTGGGTCTATTTTCCACATGAATTGCAATAAACTTTTCCGGAATATTTCGAACACCTGTCAATTTCACGTGTTTGCCCGGGTCATGGGCACGAGCAGTGTGTTTTAACGGATCATTTATCTCAAACGAGTCCTTGATTTCCTAAATATACACTCTCGATACCCGACGTTCAACTCATTTTTGTTCTCTCTCTTTCTCTCTCTCTCTCTCTCTCTCTCTCTCTCTCTCTCTCTCTCTCTCTCTCTCTATCTCTCTCCTTTTTTCCCCTTTTTTTTACACACACGGATCAGTAATGTACGTGGGATACCAGCGTATACCAAAGTATTTGTCAGGTTAGCTTCTTTAGATTTATTCACTAGATTGCGTTTACTCGATGATTTCATGATGGGACCATTTTATTCCTATTTTGGATTTCAGCTGCACTCAGATGTCTAAGTTCAGATCCTGAATTGTTGAAATGTGTTCAGATGGCAAAGTGTTTAAGCTCTTTTATCATATCATTATCTCGAAACACAGAACATTATCGTTCCAGGGGCTCGCTTGAAATGTTAACGTGGGTCATCATTCAGTTGCTCCCATTCTCAAGTGTGAACTTTTCAGTTTTGCTGCATTTATATATTACTGAATGTAATGCAACTCGCTTATAATGAGATAGAATATTAAAGAGTGTTATGATACTCGTCTTGTTTAGGCCTATCCCGCTTTTATTCAATTACATTAAAGGTAAAGACCAGTATTGGAAACGCCCCAATTTCAAAAAATGAAATGGAAGCTCTCATTACCAATCATGTGAAAGAATATGTTTTGACTAATACATGATGATAAAAAATTTGCCGGGAAATCGCCTACTAATTCATATATTTGGTAAATTTGTTTCTCTCATGGTCTGTGAGAGATATAGGGTAGTCCCATATACATCTTTCTGTGTATAGTGCTTGTAACTTTACGAAGAATGGGCCAAATTTCTTATCATTTTGATGATTCCAGAGCCTTGTAGATGCTAGATGCTAGATGATCAACCTTTTCTGATCGATTCCACAACGTTTCTTTCACAATGCAATCGCATGACCATAACTGGTCTTTACCTTTAAACGAATTAAACATCGGACAGAAGCGGAGCCACATTTTTTTCTTCTTCAGGGTGACCATGTTTCAAAAGGCACCAGCAACCAAGAAAGACGTTTCGAAGCGTTAGGTGTCGGCACAAATCTCCGACCGGTATTGCAAGCAGCAACTACAAAGACAGGGCTTAGTAATACACGATTCGTGACAAATCATTGGGGGAACAATCGCCCCCTGCTCCCTCCAACGCCACCCCTGATCTAGAATTTTGAAAGTAATTGGGTTTTTTTTTCAATAGTGTTCCCGATTCCAAGTAAGTTGATTGCACGCTTTACCACTTCATGAACAAGGAGTGGAATTCTAGCTTCTGATTGTTTTTCAGGTTTCCCTTTCCGCACTTTCATCTCTGCAAATCTGATTAAAAGGTCTGATTAAATGGTATTACGATGAGTTGTCAATTCCGGGAGGACTTAAAAATGTAGGTCACTCTCTCGATATCTCCTTTATACAGAAAAGAAAAAGACAGACGTGTATTATGACCACAATTAGTGTGACTGCTTTTTGTTGGAGGAGGTTGGCTATTCGTATATAATTATAATTCATGCAAAAAACTACGCATTTTTTAAAACAGGTATGCGACGGGAATGTCTTCAAAATTCTGTTTCTTGCAAAATCTTCACAATGTCTCCTTTTTCACTCTTCCTATTTTCCTTCCAATGCTGTCGTCTTTCTTCTCTTTTCTTTATTTATCTTCTTTATTTATTCCTTTCTTCAATCTCTATATCTTGCCCTTTGGCTCTCCTGAGTTTCTCAGGAGCCCCCCCCCCCCCCCACCCCCTCTCTCTCTCTCCCTCTTCATTTTCTTTGTCTCTCTGCCTTTCTCTCTTTTCTTCGTTCTCTCTCTCTCTCTCCCTCTTTTTTTCTATAATTATGTCTCTCTGCCTTTCTCTCTTTTCTTCGTTCTCTCTCTTCTTCGTTCTCTCTCTCTCTCTCCCTCTTTTTTTTTTCTCTCTCTCTCTCTCCCTCTTTTTTTTTCTCTCTCTCTCTCTCCCTCTTTTTTTTTCTCTCTCTCTCTCTCCCTCTTTTTTTTTCTCTCTCTCTCTCTCTCTCTAAATTTACACCCTTCGCATTTAAACCAATGATAAGTGGAAATATCTAATTGCCTTTCTTTCGTACTCAGAAAAGCCAATCCATATACAACAGTTCTAATTTTCCGTCTTTGATTGTTTAATCTTTATAAGATTATGTAACCGTATTTTTACAATACTCGATATTTATTTACAACTATTTACATGTATTAAATTAGAACTATCATTATTACACATTGTTGACCGGCAACATTCATTTTGAGAGCAAAGAAAATCTTTATCACAAGTTGGAATATTTACATTTCTAGCAGACAAGTATAGATAAACTAATCTTGTTTAAGGAGTAAAATGACATTAAAATCACTTAACAAACAATTATAATATGGGAGCACGACTGTCGATGATCTCATAATGTTCCTCTCTTTGCGTCTTTTTTGTTGTTGTCTTCTTCTATACATTATAATAAGGTTTCAAGAGCACAACGATAATATATACCAACATTATATTTTGGTGTACACAGGAGAAGCAACTAGTTCATATTATATGCAAATACAATCATTCTGACATGATGTGATATATAACATTTTCATACTTGAATATAGCACCTTTAGCGACATAATCATCTATGCTTTAGATGGAGAATTTTTGCAATATATCATTAAAAATTATATATAGGAGGTCCCTCCTTATAATTCTTTATTAATTATGAATTGTAATATGTATATACTTGTACTGGATATTTCAAATATACATAAAAGTACATATATCCTACAAAAGTATGAATGCAGTGCTTGATAAAATTGCAAGTGTTCTACTGACTCTATTATAACGAAGGCAATTTCTTTTCTGTTTGCATATTGGGAGATCAAGGACAATAACAGCTTAGATTTCTTGTCCAAACTTAGCAGTTTATGCTTGACTGTCTTTAATGTTATTCTTGCGTATAATATAACGTTATTAACGGAATTTTCCCCAACAAAACCAGTGAAACAATCAGATAAGAGTTACTACAACAAGAACTACTTATGTTACACATTGTCTACAAAATATATGTTAATGTTGTTAATATAGGGCGACTGTCGCTATAACGCAAAATGTACAAGGATAATACTCCAACTCCAGCTCCATCAATAAAATCTGTTACATAGTAATATTTGTCTTTGTCACAATGTCTGTATGCCTCGTACTCTCAGACTCTCTTTCTCTTCGATGAAAATATTATGATAGCATATGATTTGCATATTACACAAAAGGCAGGTATTGGCATTTATAACTTACAATATACAGTCTATAGATATTTACATTTCATGATGAGCAATTTGACTTGCCGTCATGTTTGAGTCTTTACACATAGTATGGATTAGGCTTAGATGAAGGCCAAGCCTGCTCAATCTTTGTCACAAAGTTCTGATTGTCCGAACAACATGAGCATCCCCTATGCGAGTCAAGCGACTTATAGTCCCCACACAGAACGCATACGAGAACGGAGCAGACGGACAGTCCTAGGTAGGCTACATAATTTCCCGCCAACCGGAGAGCGGCGATGTTGATTGGTTGGAAGTCTTCGGGTTTGAAGTACCCCTCGATCACGCGAACGCTGAGATAGAGAAGCCAAGTGAAGACGAAGGCGATGACGGTGACGATCATGACGGTGGCCAGATTTCGACGTGTGGCCCGTTGTCGATGATTACCCTTTGCAGCGAAACTGTCCAGCGATTGCCTGCTCGAGCATGAGATCAGACGACACATGAGGATGTTGTAGGCAAGAGAGAAGACAAGGAGAGGCAAGAAGTAGACGATTGCGGTGTGGACGCCGGTGTACACGTCGAATGGTCGCAGGGAATGGTAGGTGGAGTACCAGTAGTCGGTCAACCCGGCTAGGAAAGGGACGGCGAGTAAGAGAGCGAGGAGCCAGCCAGCCAGGGCGTAGCAGCAGCTGACACAGAGGCTCTGTCTCGGGCAGTATGACGTCACATTAAAGATGGCCCTGTAGCGATCGATCAGCACGCCACCGAGCGAGATCGCCATCGCACCTCGAGAAGCGAACTCCATGAAGAGATACCCGTGCGCGATCACGTTTTCATACTGCTCCGGCGTACTGAAGAAATAGCGATGGTAGTGAGCGACTAGCGTGTTGAGGGCGTAGAAGATCTCGGCGATGAAGAACGAAGCAGCGTAGATGTTGGACCTTGTGTTGCGTTTCTTTGGGTCACATGACACCATAGCCAGGGTGATGCAGTTGATGACGATGGCCAAGCCAAGCATTGGTATGGTTGTCATGGTGACGACCTTGGAGCACATCACGTCGGGAGTAGGCGTTGGCGATATGTCGGGAACATCGCTGACGTTCATAGAGAGAGTTGGTGAAGTTGTCAGGATATCTTCCATCATGTCTGTTGTAAAGGTTTCAGTCGTTGTCAGGTCCATGTCTATCTGCAAAATATAAGAGAGTATGTGAATTAAGAAAATGCTTCACCAACATACTTCATCAACAAAATTAATATACTACCATATTATATTAACCATTCTAACAAACAGACTAAGTAAACCTTTCCCAAATGCACTTCATTTAACGGTCTAGTTTCCCCATTATTTCGCCGACCATTTATATTATGGATTGTAAGCAAACAGGAAAATCAATATAAGGATGAGTAAAAGAAAGTACACAAATTGTATCATCAAAGAATAATAAGAGAAAGGTAAGCTCAGAATAAGAATAAAACGGGCACGAAATGATTAAGCTTGGTGCATAAGAATGAATAGCGATAGATCATAAAGCTTTCATCTTTAAGGAATACTTTCGTTCACAACTGCGACATTATTTTAATGTAGGCCCACGTAGGGTAACACTTTACGTGGAAAACAATAAAGTCGAGGAAGTCAACAGTCTACATGTACAAGGATCGTTCATGAAAACAAAACACTTTTTGTCACTTCCGACACGAACATGTTGCACCATTCATAGACATCAGAAGACAGCGCATACGAGAGATCTATCGATACTTCAACACCGAGATTAACGTCATCATCCTACTGTGTTCCCTGATCAATCGACATAAATTTTCGCGCGCTTTCTGTTCGCCTGCGCGGCATCACGTAAACTCGATGATATCATCCAGATAGATCAAAGGAAGAACTTTTTAATCTTGTCACATCTTCAGAAAGATCATGATGATATCATCACCGAGGAATTAGTGAATCAGCTGCTCTATAGGCGGGGATATACCAAATATTCGTCACAGCTTGTCTTGACGACCCCCCCCCCCCCCCCTCATGAATCGCCTGGGTGTCTAGATTGTACATTTCCGGAGTTGCATGATTTATGTGAGCTCATATTGCGTTTGGTTGGACTTAATATAAATAAAAGGAAATTCATGTCAAATCTTAGTTGGAGTACTTAAGATCAGCAATCTGACAAGAATAAAAACGACGGAAAACAACTCTCTTTTTTTAGTGCCAAAGACTTTAGTGCCAAAGATTTGTTTAGAAGTTAGTGATAACTAACACTTTACAAATAAAGCAATTTAGTTTTCTTGAGTATCATAAACTGGGTAATAAACCATTTTAAAGCGAGAACGTTATAACTATTTGAATGGAATATCTAGGTTTCAATTGCTGACCTCAATGTAAAATTATTCATTTTTCCTCCATATTATACATGTACGTGTAAACCTTCAGAACAAAGAGAGTATTTAAGTGTTATAACATTCTATTTTAAGGATGCGAACGCGCCAAGAATTCATGAGTCAAGGGACCTGAAAAATAATAGAGGTAACCCAATATCGGTGTTAGCGTTTACATATTCACATCTTCGACTATACGGTCGTTTCCCTTTGCAAGAAAGGATGGACAAATTAACAAAGATCCCACTAAAATGTCATCACATCAATGTGATATCATCTGCCTTGTTTTTACGATTATGACGACGATTGCGTGAAATGTCATGATAAAGCGCGACACCAAGATTTTTTACCAAATCCTCATCTTTCTTCATGGAGACGCATGAATAGAATTTGTCATCTTTGGTGACAGGAGGGCGGATCGCTAAAAAGTTGATATTTTGGCTCGATGATTGAATATATTTAGAAGAAAAGTGAGTAACTATATACTAACTACATTCTTGGGATAATAAAGACTATATAATCTTGATTTTGTGTGTGACATTTTAGTCTATGTTCTGTAATCCATTATTTCTGTTTTTAGTTCACATTGCACATCACTAATCATTTCCTGTCTGATAGATGCAGTTTCGTTTCATCTATAAACGCTTTATTGATATAATTGTAGCCCTATAATATATTCAATTATTCCATAATATCATTTGTATTTACCTGATACATGATTTCTATCATATTGCATTAACAACGATTAACGGAGTGAGTATACATGAATATTTAAAGTAATATTCAACAGGAATCTATTAACTCCCCTTGAAAATAATTCTGAATTCTATTCGGTCAAATATTCTTACTTACAAAATATTGTACAAGCATTTCACTTCATTTCACGGTGTTTTCACGGTTTTCACTTCATAAAGCATAATTTCATTTTTATTCAAGCAATTTCAATGTATGTAATTTAAATCATGAACGTATCTATTTATTTCGTGGATTGGAAGAAATCTGCATGGAAAATAGAATATTTCTATTTTGGAACGAGGTCATCTTTTCCACGTCAGCTGACAAAAATATTTCCGATGTTTACTGTGCATGGAAAACATTTTGTCCTCGATTCGCATTTTAGCTGATATTCCTTGCACCTGAAACCAATTAGCATTGACATTGAGTTGTTGGTATCATACTAGGATGATAATTCACCTTGAGGCTTTATCACGCGCAAGCTATATAGTATGTTACTGCCCGCCAACATGACCAGATAGTGACAATACGGTTGTGCCCCCCCCCCTCAAACATTTTTTAAAATAAAAAAATCAATCAATCAATCAATCGATCAAGACATGTTTTATAAGGTAGATATATTTAATGTAAGTTCGTGAACTTGCCCGAACAAGGCGGGCATGTCTAGACTGATAATAGTCGTCACTTTCACTTAAAAGGAATACCGTTTAGTCTCTGATATTCGAACTGCCCCTCCCCCTCGCCGCCCTCCCCATTTTGACTAAAGTGGCACATTAAAGCCGCAGTGGTAGCTCTATTATGGGCGCATCCGTTGGACGGATGTATGGCTTGTTGGAGTGTTTCACTTCCTGGGCAAGTTTCCTTTTCATCTCCACCATACCCCATTCGTGTCTGGCCAACCGCGGGCTAATGAACTAAACTACTTTGTAACGAATTTAGGGGCGTAGCCAAAGGGGCGGTATAAGGGTTTACCGGGCCAGAGTGATGTGAAGGCGTGGTAGTGTGATCAAGGCACTGGTGGAAGGGGTTCAGTTTGACCGAGATCATGACGAATTACATAACATTAATGATTCCTCGAAAAAAAAGTAATAAACCCGTGTTTTGCAAATCTACAGTGATAATTATTGCGCATTCAGCTGAAATGGCAGATGACATATAGGAACACAAAAATCATGATTGCCACCACGAAACATTTTAAAACATCTGAATTATTTTGCCCAAACTCTTCATGCATTGTATTAACTGGTAAAATATATCTCACGTACAAAAATACTAAAGCCTTCCTTGAAAGAAAGAAAAGAAAAAGTCAAAGATACACCTCTAAAATATTCACCCCTCCAACTTTAAGCCCTGTCTATGTCTTTGCGTGGTTGAGCTATCCTACCATTACGCTAGTTTCCTGTATCGCGTTTCTTGCGTTTTCCCGCTCAATTTTCAGACTTTTATTTTGGTTTAAAGTAATTTCCGTCCGGTCAGATTCTTGCGAAGATCATTGGGAAATGCCTCATTTAACGGTATTTCATTGTTTAAACAAACATGATGATGAATAAATGGGAATTAAAGGAACAGGTAAAGATCACCATATATTATTTTATACGAATACCGTTGATGGACAATTGGACACGTTGGATGATGCATCGAGCAAAATCACATTCTCTTTTTTTTCTGCTTACCGTGCAATTCTCTTTTTCTTTTTCTTTCTTTTTTGGTGTGTGTAATGATCATTTACACACGGTTAAACAATATCCTTTACTGCTCCATCAATACATTAAATAAGGTAATTAATCTATAGAGTAACTTTGATTTTATAAAGTGAATACTTGGACTTTTGGTGAATAATCTACTTAATAGTTAAACATAGAGTAAAGTACCCGGTAATCGGTCAGCTCCGGTTTTCGGCCAATTGGTTGGATACATGGTAAAATCACTTTAAAATACATCGCATAATAGCATAACACATATCCCACACATACCATACCATGCCAGTGTCACTGAAGAACCACATTTGCAATGAAAAATATATCCTAAAATATCACATTTTAGCGATGTAATCGGCGGTCCCGCTACCCAAATCTGAAAAATCGAGTTTCTTACGCGTGTATGTAAGAAATATGGGTACCATAAAATGAGCTTTATTTCAAGTATTTTTGAGATATAGAGCCCGATTTTGTGCTGGTCGCAAGCTCAAAAGTATCTCATCGCATGTATTAAATCAATGCAGCCGCACACCGCGACGCACACACGATATGTCCGTCTAATTCAGATTCCAACTTCCGATCACCGCTGTGCCTGTATTCGGTCAGGCGAGCACCCGGGAGCTCCGGCGTGGGATACCTGCTCCGCCCGCTTGTGCTATACATCAGCGCAGAAACGCACGGCGCGCGCGAGCGCTTCCTATTGACTTTGTACATGCGGCCGTAAACTGAAACGCTTGGCCGATAACCGGCTCCAAAACAGTGAAAATTGAAATGAATATTGTCATGGCAATTCGTGATTTTTTTTTTGGATTCTTTTTTTGTTTAAATAATAATAATATTTGCTTCATGATTTGAACAAGAAATGATAATAAATAGGAAGTAAAGAGTCCAATAAATAGGATTTTGTCTTAAGTGGCCGAAAACCGGGTACTTTACTCTATTTTGATACAATAAAAATCAAGAACATAAATCAGTAAGGATCTTAACAATATTAGAAGTACTTCTCACACTGATTTCAGTAACAATCAAACGAAATATATAAATATAATAATATTTACATAATATACTAATAATGAAGTATACACATCGAAAACATTTTACACAATAAAAAGAAATCATTCACATTGTCTATAGTATGTATCAAATATGATATATAAACTTATACGGAATGCAATGCTTTAAAAAATAGTGTCCACATGGAAATATTGTACAATTAACTATTATCTAACACTGTCTATACTCGAGCTTTGCAAAACTAAGAAGAGTTAAAAAGGAAACAAAGGAATTATTTAAACTCACCAGTATTACAGGAGCAGATAAACAAATTAATAAATTTCTTTCTCCTCTGCAGATATAAGTCGATCAGAGAAGGCAGGATGCTCCTTAATCACCAGGAATGCAACAAAGAATTGAATTAATTCCGACAACTTTGATTTCGAGGTTGTTCTTTTACAAATGCTGGCAGTGAACTGAACAGACAACGGACGAGACCTGCGATTTATACAAACCCCGCCAACGTGTTTTCCCGCTCAAAACAACAAGTTACTGTACGTAAAAAACTCGACGTGCGAGTGACTCACATCTGCATCATAAAGCTCGCCTCCGATTGGTCAGTCTGAATAATGCAGGACAATAACACATGTACTAACTTGCACAGGGTTGGCTGAGAGTTTGAATATTGTTTGGCGTTTTGAAACAATCATCGAGCCAACTTCATGGGGATTCCCCGATGATGTAACAACATACGGCCCGGCCCTGCATGCGCCTACGTATATTTCACGTTGTTGTCGTTTGATCTGTTTTGGCGAAATAACATTATGTGGTTTGTAGGAAAATATGGCGGTGCTTAGTGTAATTAATGATTAATAGAGCAATTCCGTTGAAACAGGGATAAAAACAGCCCCTTCTGCATTCATGTGATCATACTTATTTCATCATCATCGGGAAAGTTTTCTGAGCTGGCTAAATTTGTTACTTAAAAATGCTGAATTAATCAATTGATATATTATTTTCCTTGCACAGAATATAAACTATACCCTATAACTTTTGTAATATTGATGGTAGACTTAAGACGCACAATAAAATGTATGCCAATAACATTATAGAAAGGCTGCGATTATAGATAATGTATTTGGGCCTATCTTTTTTAATAGAAAGTATTCTAAAAGGCACAATCCGTCTTTCTTTAAATAAATATAATGCTCAGGCATCATCAAGCCCTAAGCATGTTATGAAACAATATGCGATGGCATTCACCTTCTGTATCTACCAGTGTTCCCTATTTCTTGTCACATGCCCACGATGTTGAATAAGTAAAGAATTAAATGAATATATGCAAAATAATAATATTATTATTATTGTTATTATTATTATTGTTTGTAGTAGTAGTAGTAGTAGTAGTAGTAGTAGTAGTAGTAGAAGTAGTAGTAGTAGAAGTAGTAGTAGTAGTAGTAGTAGTAGTAGTAGTAGTAGTAATATTTGTTGTAATAGGATAAGTAGCAGTAGTAAAAGAAGAAGTAATAACGATAATAATAATAATAATAATAATAATAATAATAACAATAATAATAATCACAATAATGATAATAATAAGATTAGTAATGATAATAATGATAACGTGGCTTGTTTACCCGAGGAAGCCTCGTCAATTTTAATGCCGTTCTCCCTGGAGCCTTGTAGTTATATCATTAAAGATGAAATTGATTGATCAAATCATTTTTCAATGTGTCAATAGGAATGTTTATTCTATTTTGCACCACATCGTTGTGATTAAAGGTAATTGGTATATCGTCATGAATTTGGTTCAAATGAACATATCGGAGGCATATGCGATCCTACAATATTCTGTGATCGTTGTCGCGGTTGAAATGGAGTCGAAAGTGATGAACTTGTAAATAATAAACTGTTTATGTTGTATAGATCCCTCTCAAGGTCAAGATATTAATTTATCTGTAAAACAATTTTTCTTGACTAAAATCGACCAATTGGCTATTCCCGTTTGGAAATTATATATCACAACTACATATTCTGAGATTTTCATGGTCACAGCTACCATTGTTTGGCCGTAGGCGCTATTTGAAATTTATCAAAATTTACCGGGAGAACCGGTTAATTTTTATATTAAATTTTTCTCGAAAACAGAAATGTTTTAGGGGCTAAATTGTCTAGTGCTTATAAAACATCCACAGGGGCATCCAAATATATCAAAATTGTAAAGAATCACTATCCAGCCAATTTTCAACATTTCCCAAAACTTTGTATTACCTTTAACCTTGGTATCAGAATGACCAGGCTTATACCCAGGTCAACAATCACGTGGAAAGTGCCTTACTTTCAAATGGAAAAATTCAGTAATATTACAATAATATTTTGTTATAAACCATGCAGAGGAAAGTGAAAGTTGGCAGCTTCACATATTATGAGCGTATGACTACTGCGTTTATCATGGGACCAACTTAAAGGGAATAATTATATGAATAATCAAAATCGCAAAGTATCTAAGAGAATAAAAAATGTTTATAATGTCGGGTGGAAAAATGAAAATGATTATAGCCGGTAACACTGTATACAGTGGTAATTATAGGTACGTCACTCACGCTCTTGGATTATTTCAGCGCTTTAACCCTCTTCGCTTTTCTTCCCAAAAGTGGTCAAGTTGACAATGACTAGCTTAAGGACAGTATTTCTCGGCTGAGGTTCGAATTCCTAACCTCTCAACTAAAAGTAAACTAAATGCAGCATTGTATACCGTGACTCTCCCCGGGCACGGATCCAGGATTTCTCAGGGGAGGGGGCCCAACTTTTTTTTTTTTTTTTTTTTTGCTCCCGAAAATTTGAAAATCGCGCCGGCCGAAAAGTCGCTCTGTGGGGGGGGGGGGGGGGGGGGGCTCTCCCTATTTATAATGATGATTGTGATCTGTGGAATATGGAATCCCAGCTATTGAAGAGGCAAATGAAAGCAATCGTCGTCTTTTGACCCTGTCTTTCCCTTACCTTCTCTGCTCGTTTTGACAACCATAACGAAAGCGACACCAAAGAAAGACAAAAAAAAAAACCCCAAAACAAAGAAAGCAAACATGCAAACAAACAAATACAAAAGGGGGATTACGTAAATAGAATTATTATGCAATCAACCGTATTTACCTGCGCAACAAAAGTAATGAGAAAAATTCTTCCACAGATCAACATCTCAATCTCTATCACATGAAGGTAAGTTGCTTTAACTAAATCAATTATATTGCTGGAAAATCACTTAAGAAAAAATAATACTCTTTTCACATGGCAGAAAATTAATGACACGCGATTGTTGTATAATGTCTTTCCAAGTCTTCCTGTAGAACTGTGCTGTCACTTTCCATTTCTAAAATATGATTTTCCTGCCAAATAACATGACAGTCACGAGAAGCATAAACTCCAAACAAAATTCGTTTTAAATAAGAATGTTTGTCATACATGGCATGGTGAAAAAGAAGAAATAAGAAGCAGAAGAAGGAGGAGAAGAAGAAGAAAGAAGAAGAAGAAGAAGAAGAAGAAGAAGAAGAAGAAGAAGAAGAAGAAGAAGAAGAAGAAGAAGATGATGAAGAAGGTGAAGAAGATGTAGGAGGATGAAGAAGAACGAGAAGAAGAAGAAACACATGGTAAAAAAAGGGCATGAGAAAAAATATGGTGGATTATGTACCACTTGAAAATTGATTAGATATTGATAAGCTTCTTAGGACTGTATATGGTGTTATTTCTGTATTATGCTGTTATTCTCAAAAGTATTAAAAAATCTATCTTGTTTGTGCTAATATTTCTTAATTTTTTAAATAGGCTTTTCAACTTTCATGTGTCATCCTGTTAAGTTATTATTATTATTCTTATTTTGTTTTTAATTTTATGAAATCAATTTACTCTTAAATGTGTCTATATGTTACATTGAACTTGACTAACAAATCAAATGAAATCGAATACCAAATTCTTTCCCCAAACTATGATAGATTGTATACATGTTAATGTGTATGGATGCAATCGTATCCCGAGATTGAAAAGAAAAAAACTCAAACACCACCAACAACAACAAACCCTAGATGGCAATCCAAATCGAGCATGCAATAGCACAATGATGTCTTCTTCTATTTATTGCCTGTATCCTAATATCTTTTATTCTGGAACATGATAAATGACACTGTCTTGTGCAAGAATCAACTTGTTTACCCGTCGTTACCAGGGCAGCCCACTGAATCAGTGACGTAATGGTTGTAGTAAAAGGAAATGATTTGATATGATGGCTGGCCGCCCAGGTACGAGTCACAGGTATACACGAAGTTGTGTAACACAAACTGAAATACAGTGTACCGGCAAAATAGAGTAATGACGACATATCTATTTTTGTCAATCTTATTCTTAGGCAATAAATAATGAATGCAGGCCTATATTGAGATTCGAACTGAGAAGGGGTTATTGACCGTATTCATAACAAATTTGCATCTAACTTCGGGGTTTTACGAAGCGGTCGGGTCGTGTTGCCTTAACCGAAATTAGCCTCAATGTTTTGCGTGCATGTTGTGCTATTTCATTATCTAATTATTATTTTGTATTATTAGAATATGATTTATTACTATATATGATGTGTTGTTTAGGGGCAAACTTGAAAACATGTTCATCACGCCATGATCACAGGATAAAAATTCAGATTTTAGGGTTTCAGTTACTCAAGTAAAATTTAAAATTTAAGCGTAATAATGAAAGAATGAAATTGTATTTCATCGTATTGTTACATTGCATTGGAACAAAACGTATCAAATGTAAATTAATCAAAATTTAAATATCACATAAATGCGCATAGAAATGCATGCTTGTTTGAAAAAGACAATACAGACATCAATAAACCAATTATCAAATGTTTTCTTTAGAGAAAGAATAATTTTTGGAATTTGTATGATTTTGCCCAAACATTCACTGATCAGTTGTCCGCCTTAATCAAAACCACTCAATATCAAGGTGGACTTCCCCTTTAAGACGACCGGTGAAAATTCCGAATATGGTAAGTATATTCGGTAGTCAATGCCAAGTAATCATCTGAACTACCCAATCAACAAGTCCTTGCGCAAGGCCGTAATTAGGTAAACTTCTATAGCAGCTTCCCGCTGCACTAACCACATAAGCTATTGCTTCATTTTTAGTCAGGAATCCCGCTTGACTTTATCTACTACCAATTTAAACATTGTTTGGTTGTTGATGATGCATGTGTTTATTTTGTATAGTACATCCCAACTCTATATCTAAGAGATGAGAAGTGGTTAAAGACAACACTTTCTCCCCTTTGTTTTAATGGGGGGGGGGGGGGGGGGTAAAAACAGAGGTCCTATGTCTCGAGACAAAATCAAAACATGTTAAAGAAAGAAACAGTTAATGTTTTTATTAGAACAAAAGAAGAAACAAGGTTTCTGGCACCGTAAATTCGCCAAGTAATCATCTGAACTATACCCAATCAACAATTCCTTGCGCAAGGCCGTAATTAGGTAAAATTCTATCGCAGCTTCCCGTTGCACTGCACAGAAGCTATATATTGCTTCATTCTTAGTCAGGAATCCCGCTTGACTTTATCATCTACCAATTTAAACATTGTTTGGTTGTTGATGATGCATTTGTTTCTTTTGTATAGTAGACAAGTATAAGTAACATCCCAACTCTATATCTAAGTGATGAATAGTGGTTAAAGACATACTTTCTCCCTTTTGTATTTGAAGGGGGGGGGGGTGTAAAAACAGAGATCCTATGTCTCGAGACAAGATCAAAACATGTTAAAGAAAGAAACAGTTAATGTTTTTATTAGAACAAAAGAAGAAACAAGGTTTCTGGCACCGTAAATTCGGAAAGTAAAAGATTTGGCGGACACGGGTATAACAGGAAGGGGTCGTATCAATTGTTTAAATTTCTGACGGGGATGTAACTGACCCAATCAGGCGTGGCCTTTGTGGGGATTCCCCCAATGATGTCACCTTACGTAATTCTTTTGTTTCATCAGACATCATGTTTTTTTCTCAATTATTTGACAAGCATGGACTTGAAAATGTTGATGATGATGACATTTTTGGAGTTTGGAGGGGTGATCTTGCCGGGGGTATTGAGCGAAATATAGGTGAAGAAAGAGAGAGAGAGAGAGAGAGAGAGAGAGAGAGAATGGGGAGGGGGGGGGGGGGTGCCGAGAATATATTATCAAATATCAGAATTGCATAGTGACATAATAATTATGGAATATACTTAACATTAAAATAAACAACAACAATACAGAACAAATTAATACACAAAAATGATGTCATATGAGAGGACGAGATATCTCGTAAATGTTTTCGTACATGCCCAGAAGTACTGAGCATGCAGATGGGACTGACCATTCCCCCTCTCCGAGGGCGCGGGGGGGGGGGGGGTCAAGTATACTCTCGCACAAGTACCCCTTTTTAAATTTCCGTTTACCTTATGCTATATATTTGTATTGCTAGCAAACTATGCAGAGACATAATACAGTACTTACTGCGCGATGATAAAAACCCAACACCACCAACAGAATTACACATGTGGACAAAAAAGGGGGAGGGGTGCATGAGGAAGAAACATTGTAGGCCTACTGGAGATACGTGATATTGTTTACTTTCGAAGAGGGCGTTAGTCACATTACTTTTAGCAAGCTACATACAGTTCATAATTTTGTTTTTACCATGGCAATCGACGCGTCTATGACGTTTGGCAACTGAACTAAAAAATTAATGCATTTCCGTTTTTCCCCCAAACATCAAACTCTGGCTACGTCCCTGCTGCATGACGAGGGGCGTTTTATCGAATAAAATTGATTTCAATTTTCTATCGTTAATGAAACAGGGCCTTAAACTGAAATCAATTTGAGGCCCTTAAAATCGATCGGATCGATTTAAGTTTTTATGAAACCATGCAACTAGCTGGATGAAACCCCCTGGTGGCCTATTTCCCCCCCCCCCCCCCCCCGCGGCAGCTAAAAGCAGTTAGTAGTTATTGGAAATCGGGGTTTTGAAAATGGTTTCTAAACATCAAAATTGGGCCTGAAAATTAGTGAAAAATACCAAGAAATAGGAAAACTGTTGGAATCCTTATTCACGTATATCCCACCTAACTCTCATATCCCTGATCCCACGCAGGCCGAACGTGCTACGCGTGTACACCTGAATCTCTTTGAAAACAGCCTCATTAATTAAAACGTATTCGGAGCAGACAGGCCCAGTGCAGTGGCAGTGCAGTGGTGAAAAGACATGATTTTCTTTTCCTAATGAGTAAAGCTTGCCATTTATTGCGTCACTTTACTTCTCCAGTTCATTTGTAAGTTCTTTACTAATAATTTTTAATTAGATATGTAATTCTAAATGAAAATGAAAACAAACCATTTCATTTGCCATTCGTTGATGTCCGCCATACATTGCAGCACCCTGTGCAGTGCGATAGGGGTACGCCTACCAATCTGTTTAGTGGCGTAGCCAGTTGCACAATGCAGTGTGATGCTGGCGGTTCGGGCCAGTTGTGCTGCGCTGATGCTGGAGGCCGGGTGTAGTACGTAGTGGTGGTAGACCTACTGGTAGAATTAGAAACAACACCGACGGCAGACGTGACGTCTTGGTGTGCATTGCTCTGTCATGACTAAGTTTGCTTCTAGTAAGACGATGATGATGATGATGATGGTGATGATGATGATAATGATGATAATGATGATAATGATGATCTTGAATTGAAGACAGTGAGTGGTGATGATGGTGTTGATGGTGTTGATGACCGTGATGATGATGATGATGATGATGATGGTGTTAATGATGACCATGATGATGATGATGGTGATAGTGATGATGAAGATGATGGTGGTGGTAATGATGATGAGGCTATTTCTTGAAATCTCTGCTATAGCTAGCTTTAATAAACAGCTCTTCTGTCATAATGTTAGTGGTCTTATTTTCCTGCTTAACTTGAAACAAGTTTGATAGGGTCTAATTACTTCAAAAGTATTAGTGTTACTGAATCAGTCAATCGGTTCAATGAGCCCTGACAACTTTGACGTGAACGACATCCCTCTGCCATGCTCTTGTTACAATATTTTTTAGTCAACCTTTCAATTCCTAGAAGTTCTGTGGTAAGGTGTCTACACAGTACATGTATATATGTGGAGAGTGGATTCTTGTTAAACCGTTGTCTACTGGAACCTGACCAGTTACCCCTGTATTAAGCCTGTGACCATGAATGAATTCAGTAGTCAACAGATTAATATCCTTCATGGTCATAATTATACGGATGGTCCTTTTTTGCCAGTAGATGTCTAGTCTGTTCTTGAAGGAGCAGTAACTACAAGTACAGTACCTCCTCTAGTAGCTAGCCTACTCCATGAATCCACCACTCTCTTTGAGAAGAAGAATTTTCACACATCCAGGGCATCGTTTCACGAAACAGTCATATATATATATATATATATATATATATATATACATGTACATGTACAAATATATACTGAAAATCTGTAAGAAACAATTTTCCTGTTATTTGGAACTCTATTCCTCCTTATCCCCATGCAAGTCTTTAACATTGTTCAAAAGAAACTTAAAGCAGCATCTTATTATCAGTGATTCTTTTACATGTACATGTACCAATATTCTTATTATACAGCATTACCTATAACTGTTTTCAAACTTATGATTTTGTAATGATTATTTCCATTTGTATTAACTGCCATGAACGATGTCCCTGTCATGTTTTGTCATGTATGTATGTTTCTTTTTTAGTTTTGTTTGTATATACTGTATGTACATGTAAATCTCTTAATTACTGTTCGGGGAACTATGCCTCCACAAGGCCATTTGGCCTTATTTTTTTAGTTCCCTATCTTCATTATCTTATATTGTAAATCTTATCATATATCTTTGTATTGTTTTTATTGAAAATGGAAATGAATAAAATGAATTGAAATGAAGTTCACCGACATCCCATTCAAACGTGTGTTAATTTTAATACATTTTCCTGAAATGCTGCCCAGATGTCTAAATGTCATGCAAGCCCACGTGGGTGCATCTAATATTCTAATCACAAGTTGCTTTTATGTTGAGAGTGTATTGAAGTTTGCAGTATCTCAAGATTAGCTTAAATTTAAGCTCATATTTTGTAATTATAGGATAGCAACATTGTGGTGGTTGTGGTTATTTACCTTACTGCTAAGAAAGCATAAATGCTTGTTAGTAAGCAACCAGACGGCCAACGGCTTTAGGTTCTCTCCGAGGGACCTGGTAATGAGGATTAATGCCTTACCAAAGGACACTAGCGCATCAAATTGGTTTCGAATCCGGGTCACCGGATTACAAGACCACTGCTCTACCGAAATCCCTGTTCCTTCTCATGCTTATTTCCTTTCTAATGCGCATTTCTCTTTCCTTATCTTCTTCTCAACCCCACATGCAGCTCATCTTTTAGTATTATTTTCTGTACCCTCGATCTCTCACTTCTTTTTGTCATTGTCTACTCTTTGTATTATGACCGTGTTCTTGTATCTTTGTCGTGTATAGTATTGTCTTGTCCCTTTCTCGTCTCTGTTGGCATTCCCCTCCCCCCCCCCCTATTTTGTAGTTTTTTTTTTTGTAGTTACAGATTAGTTAATTTAATTACTCATTATTCCTCAGTTTCATTTGAAGTGTTCACACTTGTGCAAGCATTGCTTTTTAGTGGACTCCTCTGTTTCCAACATGTATTTCTTAAATTTGTTTTAAATGCTTATAATTGATTTGTAATGTTTTGTTGGAAACATGAATAAATTTGAAATCTTGAAATCTTAAACATGCTGAACGAAATTCATATTGGTAAATGGCCGATCCACTCTGATCATTTTGTGCTACAGTATGTGAATATTGCCCTTTCTTCCTTCTTTTTTCAGATGTATACACCCTGTACCTGTTTTAGCAGGATGGCCAGACTAACTTTTAATACTGGTACATGTGCACTACTGGTCTGTGCATTCATCAGTGGGTCTCTAGCTGCCCCGCTCACAGGTAGGATTTAATCAAAATGTTGTAGGGCAATATTTTTATTATGCTTTTATGTACATGGTTCTGTACATATTAAGAGAATCAGCCATTTGTGAAGAAATGTATAATAAAAAAATGTTTAGCATCCTGCCTTGTTGAAAAAAGGAAGGAGGATGCCCTTCTTTTCTTCTTCAAAATGGCCGTTTCATGGCCATTTTCCAAGACGTCTGGCCGGGCTATTTTTCAAGATGGCCGCTAGCTTTTATATTAACAAAGATCATTTTACCAGTATGTTTTCCATATTTTTTTATTGAAAAAAAAAAGCAGGCGACCTCAAAAAAGGTAGCGGACGGGGACGCTAAACAATTGTTCCCTATATAAGTTCAACACATTAAAAGGCGAATTTGGCAAGCAGAAAAATATGCTATCCCCAATGGAAACTAATGTGTTTTGTGATATAAAATGTTTCATAAATTTTGAAATAGTTTTTTTAAGACAATGTACCCTTGACTGAAGGCAATTCCAATACATTAGGAAGCTCATTTGTGGGCAGGTCCAAGCTATTGTCCCCTCTGGGGGTCAAATTTCATCTTTATATATATTTAACAAACTATACCTCATTTTAAAGCTGAAACTATGAATTTTATGAATCTGATAAAAAAAAAAAAAAATTATCAAAATACGAAGAGTGCCAAGGTCACGAACTTCGATTTGTATTAATTAGCGTGACGTACGGGACATTACATTTTTATTTTTGTATCTCATTTGAATTATTTGTTTAAAATTAAATATCTCAGGACATGATGACCATCATGCTAGAAAATAGGAAAAAAATATAAAAACTTTCAAAATTAATTAATTATGCAAATGAGGTAGGTTCCAAAGTGTGATGTCCCGTACGTCACAATTAGATCATAATTTGTTTAATTTTAATTATGAAAATAATTTTTTTTTTTAAAGATATTCTAGGAAGTTCTAATTTAGAAGAATACCTAACAAAAAATAGGTTTAACAAAAATTTCGAAAATTCTGTGTTGATTACATAATCAAATTAAGAAATGTGACGTACGGGACAGGTGTGTGACGTACGGGACAACCCCATATAAAACCAATGCGAGATGTGAAAAAGGAAATGACCAAAAGGAGAATATATACTGTGTTAGGAAACTTGTTGTATACAGGGATATATGAACATTCCAACTGGGTCCCTTCTAGGAATTTACTTGTTTGTACTTTTGTTGTTGTTTTATGTAATTGTTGTTAATGTAATTAGTCTTCAAGCCACACCCCTGGTATTATCAACTTTGGTATTTTGCCAGTTGATGTCTCCAACATTGGCAGGATGCTAAATATGTAAATCATAATAGTGTACTAGTTCCAGGAATGAGTCTAATGAAATTATATGGTAGTGGATGCACCAGAAGCTGGCTTTTACAACTCATAGATGCTGCAGGTAAGAATAGCATACATGTATGTATGCTATCAAGCTCTCCATGTGAGGTTTTTTTATATTCTATTTAAATGTCATATATGATGGTAAAGGATTACAGCATGCACTGTACATTTTATGAAGCCAGCTCGGGAATTCTGATCTCCTAAAAATTAAATCATAACTTTTAAGGAAGGATAGCCTTTTTGAGTATTTCACACTCTCACCCACCTAAGATTTTTATCACTTTTACACCCATGCATTTTTGTTGAGTTTGCTTTAAATTAATCTTTTGAATTGTGGAAAAGGTCACACAAACGTTTAGGGTTTTAATTTCTTATATCTGGTGGTGTTAATAAGATGTTTTAATCAATACGAAATACATTCAAGATTTATATTTTTGTATCCATCTTTCACAAACATGTAGGCTACATTAATGTACATCAAAATTCTTGAATATATGACAGCAACATATACATGTTCTAATCTGTGATAAAAGGATATAAAAAAGACAATATGTCCAGCATTATCTTTGAATTCCTTCAAAATTCTATGATATTACTATCAAATAATTCAAACAAGCTATGAAGAAAATACTTCATATTTTTAATGTATCTTTGTTCACAAACACTTGGAACATAAGAAATGTTCTTTGACAAAATATGATGTGCCAAGTGTGCCCCTGTGTTTCAAACAAGTTTAAATAAAAGTTTTCAAGTTCAAGTTCATCTTCTTCATTAATTATTGTTTAAAAACATTTTGAAATGTTGAATGGAATGGATAAAAGAAATAAAAAAAGCAGCATGACTGCACATGATAGATGGGTAAATGGAATAAAAAATGGTATAATATAGTGTGTATGAATATTAATTAAATTTGTTTTCATTGTTAAAGTAATATTTGTATTGATTTACCTCATAAATTAACACAGATCTAATTGTCACTGATTTAAGTTAAAATTGTTCACATTTAACAAATTTTGACGAAAATTCTCCATTTCAATGCATTTTCCCATAGGGAAAAGTTGTCCCGTACGTCACGTGTCCCGTACGTCACGTGCACACATTTATGTTTTGGTATATTACATAATAACGAAAGGTCAGAAAAATATGGTAATAGTTGTGATTAATGCTTGATTCCATAATGAATTAAGATATCATTACCATAAATCTCATAACTTGATAAATTCAGAGAACTTTTATGATGAACTTATTTTTGAAAAAGTCAGAAATTCTCTGGTCCCGTACGTCACGCAGCACATTAATTACATTAAAAATTAATTTATGAATTGGTCAGAACTAAAACTTTTCACAAATGAACTAGCCCATAATAGCCACAGACTCATACTAAAAGATAGCCATATAAATAATGACATCCATTGTTATTTCTTGTTTAAAGTCTCTGAATGTCCCGTACGTCACAAAGCAAATAGCTTGGACCTGCCCTTGTATATATTCAAAAGGTGGTAGCAAAACCATGTCTTGTGTAACTAAGGCAAAGAGGTTTATAAACCACTTGACTCTGTACATGTATTGTACATGTTTGTATGTAATTACTGGGATTGGTCATCTCCAGCATCATCCAATGTAAGCTTTAAAACAAGAATCTTCTTTTCTTGACAGGATCCGAGGACCAGGAACCGTTCAGCCTTCTGGTCTCTGTGTCCCTATCACTAGCATCTTTCCTAATCCTGGTCCTAGCTGTAGTCGGCTGTGCCTGCTGCTTTGGCAAGTCAAGTTTGCTGGTATGTACGATAATGTACCTGTGTGAATGGTTGTATGATACGTTTTTCAATTCCAACAAATAACATGAAATACATGGGATTGCATTGTACATAGTAAAACAATGAAACTGAACAATATAATAGTATATTATATACAACAGGTTGGTCATAGAGGGGACTGCTGAAAAGCAAATAAAAAAACAAAAAACAAACAAGTAAACAAACAAACATCTTATCCATGATATCGTATGTATGTATTTAAATTTCCCCTGTATTTGTAACCTACATGTATAATTTGTACAGGTCCTCAATAAAAAGTTTTGATACTGCTGAAATAAATCTAATAAAAAAAAAAAAAAAAAGAAGAAATATTTGGTCAACTCCATGGTATCTTGTCCCATACATTACTATCTACATCACTGATTATATCAAGCTAGGTAGCCATGCAACAGTAGAGCTTGGTTTAGACAAAATATCAAGAAAAATTATGCTTCTAGGACCTGGGTTTTTTTTCTTCACACCGTATTGAGCATGCAGAGAAAATTTGTTTATTCTGTTATTTTTCAATATTTGCATCTTTTTTATAACTAAGCAAAATTTTCAGTTATAAGAAACTACATGGTACATACATGTAGATCTATACATGAAGTGGATGCCTCGTATCAAGGTTACTCTTTGTAAATAAGCTGTGATGATGATGAATAGAATTGCAGGGACCCTGGAAAGCTCTTTTATACAAAGTTCCTCTTTTGTCTGGATGTTATGATTATAAGCTGCTGTATATCGTCAGTCACGTAGGAATCGAAGGTGCATCATGGTTATACGTAAATTTGCATCCTATTGTAAATAAAATGAGTTTTTAAATGGTATTTAAAGAATGATATATGGTTGACAATCTTTTTAGAAACCTAGTATTGAGTATTCAGTGAATTTTAGTCCTAAAACTGTTTTTTTTAATTGTAGTATTCTGATGCTGTAAATAAACATAAGAATAGCATGTATGGAGATATCAGTACACTACATGTACAGTCAAACCTGTCTAGAAAGGCCACCCAAGGGAAACAGAAAAAGTGGCCACTATAGACAGATCACCTTTCTAGACAGGTTCTATAACATGCACATATTTCTCTCATGAAGGAGACAAAATACATGGTCACAATAGACAGGTGGCCTTTATAGAGAGGTGGCCACTAAGACAGGTTTGACTGTATTACTTCATTGTGCTGTCAATTGGAGAGACTTCAATATTGATGCATACCTGCCAACCCTCCCGAATAATCTAGAATATCCTGTTTTTCTGGATTTTTAGGACCCCAAAATGTGGGATATCCCAGATTTTCAAAATTTCGATTTTGTTTTTTTTGTTTTTTTTGTTTTGTTTTGTTTTGTTTTGTTTTTGTGTTGCTTAAGCCAAATTAAGCTTGTTTCATCATATGCCGCGATGTGAGTTCACGTATTGCGTACGTTGAAAGGCTGCATGATTGAGCAGCGAATTTGTATTCGCTTTTTGGCACAGATTTAAAATGTTGGCAGGTATGTTGATGAGATTATACTCTATACATTTCATAATTCCTTATGACCTGAATGGCTGTGTCTTAAATATAAAACCAAAGTGAACAAATTTTCAGTGTACACAGTGGTATGAAAAATAAAGTGCTTACCTAATTAGTAAAACCTAATGAGAGAGATTCATACGTGAATGGGCAATACCTTATAAAATGTCAGAACCAGAGTGTATTGTCAATATGAGAATGTGTGTATCACTCTTATGTGGGATTTAAGTTTGATTAGAAATTATCTTTAATTTGATCATGCTGCTTTTATAGCTGAAGGGATGAAAGGCTTTAAATGCGAGTTAAATGTAGCATAATTGCAAGTTATGTTTGTAGGAATATAAGGGGTGAACTCTATTATTACTTCTAAATTAGAATAAAGGTTAAGATTTCATTTCAGAAAAAAAAATAGATCATAAAGGAAAGAATTAAATCAACTACAACCACAGGCTCATCTTGTACAACATAGCAAAATCAAATCATGAATTATTTGTAGATACAAAAAACTAAATAAATGTATCGATTTGTTTTGATAGTGTTTTGGTTGCATGAATAATTTGCGATCAAGCCTTGGCAGCCATGCCAGTTGATCATTCTATCATTAAAACAAAATAATATTAAGAACTGTTTAGGGTACAACAACCAAGCTAATAATCTGTGCACTATGAAATGTTGATACAGAGTACACTGTACATGTACATGTATTGTCAGTCTTATTATTTTTGGAATCATATGATGATGAAATGAAATAGGAAATATGTAATTTTATTTTGAGGTACAAACCATTATCCTCTCCGCCTATGTATTACAGAAGACACTTTAAAAAAGAAACTTAAAACCCAACTCTTTCCATCTTGAATCCATAATGTACGTTTTGAGTATCTAAAATGTCTTTTCGTTCATAATATCTTAATTACTGTTCCTTGTTTGATTGCTATGATTTGTATGTTTCTTTTCTGTTGTAATAGCGCTTTGATCAGTTTGTCTGTAGTAGCGCTCAATAAGTATAAATTATTATTATTATTATGATACAGTAGTATTGTACATGTAACTTCTAATAGCAACGTATGTACATGTACTGTACATACTGGTAATAGTAATGTGTTTCATACACATGTATAGAAACACGCTTCCCAGTCTCCATATAGTATTGATGCACCTTAGCTGTTGAGTCATTACAGATGAATTCATATTTTTCAGTTTCCCACGTGACAAGCCAATATTGACATTGCATTCCATTAATAATACGTAGGTGGATGGTTACACAGATCAGAGGCTTAGAGCATTGTAGCATTTTATTGCAATATGATAGTCATAAACCAAATTGATAGCACTAACAGAACTGCCCTTTCAGTTTAATTATATTTTTGTTCAAAGAGGGGGCGGGTCTGGTTTTAAGGAAACATTCAAGAGAAGTCCTCAGTTTTTCACCAGAAAGTGGATATGAGTGAAACATGAGGAAAAATCTGGTCTTTACCACTTGCCACTATACAAGTGTTAGAAACTTGAATGGGGGGGGGGGGGGGGGGGGGTAGGTAGGTAGGTAGGTAGGTAGGGGCACTTAATAATTTGCCAAAACAGGTAGAATATAAAATCTTAAATTCTGACCTATCCCAAATTCATATTTTACCTTCTGGATCCAAGCTTAAGAAGAACATTTTTTGAGTGTTTGTGAAAATTTTGTAATGATATGTTACAAGAAAATCCCCACTTTTTGCATATCCTTTTTCTGGAAGCAAGTCTGTGAGAACATGACTAAAAATAAACACAGACGGCTTTTCAGTTATATGCTATGTTTTTTTTCTTGGAAGGGGTGGAACAAAGTGTAATGTGCCCTGCCTATGTGGATTAAAGTGGTATTGTTAGTTTCAGTCAATGAACGATGAGGTTACTGAATAAACAGGGGTTGGAGATAAACTTAAAAAACCAAAGGTCAGACTTATATTGGTATGCACTATTTCTCTTTGTTGTCTCCCTGTAAACACTCAGCCTGACTCAGGTATGCATTTTACCAAATATGTGTAGACCTGTGGAGAATTTGGTAATATTTAAAAACTATAGCTTCTTATTCTTATGTTAATTACTTCTACAAAAAGTCTCAAGTCTCAGTTTTACTTCTATGATAGAACGATGTGTGCATACAGTATATTTCACTGCTTCCCCTATGAATAGGGTTAAATCAGATTTTCATGGTTTTTAGATAATACTTTGCTGATCACCCCTTGTTACGATTAACCTCCACATTTTGAATAATGATTTTTGTCTATTTAACTTAATACTTTCATTGCTCAGAATTTAGAGGCAAATTTCTTTCACTTTGTTTACCAAACCCAGATTATCATGATAATGTGGAATTTGATCATAATGTTTATGATGGGAATAGCAGATTTGTTCGTCATGGGCTACCAGACAATGCAATGAATGCAGCCCCCTGCTGTATGATTAATTGATTACATGTATATTTGCATAAATATGACTAAGCTTCTCAGAAAGAATGCATGTGGTATATAACATAATGTACATGTACACCACCCATATCTACTGTAAGTTATTGTGCTTTAATTGCTCAAATTCATTTTTTTGTTTGCATTATTACTAATTTACTATGTGTACCATAATTTTATCATTTTTTACTGTAGTTTTTTTTCAGGGGGTGACTTTTTAGTGTGTAAACCTTGCTTTAAAAATGAATGTTTGGAAAATACTTCCATCAATGACTAATAAACATGTTCACATACATGTACATGTAAATGTTGTACATGGTACATGTATGTAATAGACACAACGGAAAGAAGAAGTGCAAGATGCATTCAGAATAAAATCAACAAGTATTTTCATTTTATTACTATCTTTTTAAATATTCTTTTAGAAATACGAGGAGTCTGTAGAGTATGAAGAACGGAACCCCAACCAGAGTCATACCAACGATGGGTTTGCAGACTTCAGCCCACCCACACAGAGCACGCCTTCCTTCCCACCGGGCGGGGTCTCAGAGACGGTCAGTATCGAGGCCCTGCCTGACCTATCATCCAGGCTGCAGACTAGCCATGGATTACCACAGGTAATGTATTATTTGGTATCGTATCTGCCATGCTGAGATGAATGACTTCCAAACTGAAAATGCAAGAGAGTTTTAACAGAAAAAATACCCCAAAGATTTTTTTTTTTACCCTTTAAAGATATACACCAGTTTTGGAAACGCCCCCCTCTCAAAAAATGAAATGGAAGCTCTTATTACCAATCATGTGAAAGAATATGCTTTGACTAATACATAATGATACAAATTTTGCCGGGAAACCGCCTACTAATTGATATATTTGGTAAATTATCATATCGATCCAGCCTGGATAAATGCACTTTAACATTGAACATTTGGGCATATATTTCTGCTTTTTTGCAAATTTAGGTTGAAGTATTGCCATCTAAACCTCTGAAGGCAATATTTAAACAATTTTGAATGGATATTTTTCACCCAATACCCTTGAACCGCATTTTCACCACTACCGGTCTATATCTTTAATAATAACACACATGAAATTTATGTTGAATCATATCTTCCCATGTACTGGTAGCACATCTGATGAAATTAAAGTAACAAAACAAAAATGCATTTTTTAAAAAAAATGATTTTATTTTTAATGAAGGAGATCTGGAAAATTATGACTAATGAAATGTCAGTAGGAAGATACTTCTGTTTGTTTGTTTGGATTCATTTCACATTATTAGACATTTACTCCCACTTACATATGTCCTCGTACTGTTTGAAGCATTTATATCATTTACCAGGAAATCAGCCTATACATTGAGTATTGTTTGGTGTGAACAAGGAAACAAGCCTTGGGAGTAAACACCAGGGACCCGTTTCACAAAGCCTTCTCTCAATGACAAATGACAAAAAGCAGTGACAAATCTGCTGATAACCAATCAGGAGGGAGGATTTCAGTAGCTTATAACAACAACTGTCATTTGTCACTGATGACAAGTTTTGTGAAACGCCCCCCAGGAGGTCAGACATGAAAAGGGAATGAAATGGAACAGGGAAAGAAGATAAAATGACTCAGCTCACTGTTTATATTAGCCTTGTTTATTCTATGCTCCTCAGATTAAAGTGAGAAGGCAATTTATATATCTATTACAGTAAATCAGCATATATACATCTATGTATACCTACATGGTCTAGCATATGCAGTCTAAAATGTTATTATATGTAACCCTTTAAATGTACTATTTTAACTACAACCTCGCAAAAGATAATAGTCTGAGTACTTTTAATCCTGTTGAGGAGACAGTTGAAATTGCTAACATTCCTGAAAGCTGCCCAAGTTGATTCAGGCCTGTACATGTAAATTAGACCATTAATTTATGAAAGCCAAATCCCCCAATTTCTGTATGAATTTCTGTAAGTGTGTATTGTAATCAAATTTGATTTAGTCATGAATGAAAATGATAAATTCTTATATTTTCATGTATTTACAAACTTATGATGTATTGTACAGGATGTAGAGTTTGCCATTTGGCACTCCATAAATCGGTGGACTAAATGTTTGCACTTTGTTAGGCAGGTTTTAAATGACCAAGAGTTAGTCAGACGGCTGTCAATATTATGGACCAATATTGTGAACGACCAATGATTAGTTGGTTGAGTGATAGATGATATTATGAATGTTTTACAGGTGAGCACAGCACTGTCAGATTGAGGTTAAAACCTGGCCTAGAGTTAGTCAACTTTCAAAAATACGGGTTAATATTGTTCTCGTCCACTGACAGGTTGATTAATTGATGGATCATATGAATGTTTTGCAGGTGAGCACAGCACTGTCCAGTGATGTAGGTAACCAAGATGGAGAACTCAAGCACCTGAAATCACCCAGATTTGTGTTCCCAAGAGATCAACTCAACTATGTGGATGAGCTCGGCAATGGCTGGTTTGGAAAGGTTAGATTCAGATACTATGATGCTACAGTTTTCATGTTTTCTCCCCCCTCCCCCACCCCTATCTCTCTCTCTCCCTCTTTAAATATTTCTCAAGGGTAGAAAAAATGCCCAACTTGTAACTTTATCCAAATTTTACTAAAAGGCATATATGTCTAGCCAAAATTTAATTGATATTTGCAGGTACAAGGTAGGATTTCAGGAAGCAAATTTCCCCTACGAATGGAGGGGGTAGGGGGGGGGGCTGAGAAGCCCCTTTATATACAAATCTTTGTATTTTTATTCCCAATTTTTTTTAAAATTCCAAGCCATGTCTATTTTCTTTTATCTTCTTCATGTTTTGACTTCAAATTAGAATATGCTGTTAGGGTGGCCATTACTCAATGCTCAAGGTTCATGCAAAGTTGTGCAGCACTCGATCAGGAGCACAAATTGGCTCAGTAAAATTTAAGACAAAATGGATTTAGTGGGTGATTGTTGTAAGAAATGCACCATGTATGGTAATGAAATGATTAATTAATATAAGTATATTAATATGAAAAATTGTGAAAATTTGTGTCCTCTTTCTAATACATGTACATAATGATTTAATCATTCAGCGTCTACCCGATGATTGATCAGTCCAACATTTCTCTCCCATTATTCTGTAGGTGCTGCAAGGTGAAGCACATAGATTACACCCAGGGATGCGTAAGACACGCGTTGTGATCAAACAACTCAGAGACACCTCTACTCCAGACGAACAACTCCTCTTCTTACAAGAAGTACAACCATACAGGTAATTCCTGATAGACTGTGGAGGGATTACATTGGGAACAAGAACAACTTTAGAATGAGGAAAGACCCTGTGGTGTGGACAAAATGAAAAGAAGTGATTTAAATAAAGATGATACATATATTAAGGCCATTTCTTGATGAGGGGAGGGTTTTAGTATCATGAAACTATGGGTGCGTTTACCTTTTTTTCCCACTCAGGAACAGCGTTTCTATACATACATATCAAACCCCACTATACGAACGTGATTTGCGGGATGTCGCGTTTATCATCTTGTTACAAGGTCTTGTCTCTGCGCAACTGCTTTGCGCCATTTGACCCGGGAGCAGAGAGTTGCTCGGAGGTCAACTAGGGTACAGCACATGGTGCGCGCTATTTCTTTGAGCCGGAAATTAGCCTGGGAAGGACCGATATGTACATGTATTTGTGTTTCAAAACAGCTTTGCGTTTATCATCTCTCAGAAACTTAATTCTGGCTTATTCTCACAATAAAAACGCACCATTTTTGGCATTCCAATATACCCCTATCTAAAGATGTTTGAAAACAGGTCTGCGTTTATCTCCATGCAAATTTGCCTTAAACACATTTGAAAACGCCGATTCTAGGCCAGAAAAGGGATGATAAACGCACCCTATCACACACCCGCCCATGTTTCTTTGTTACCGTAGCTCATCTAACTTCATTATCTGAAAGAGAATCTGAAACCTATATACACTGACCTGCTTGACAAACTTACTTACTCTCTCTCTCTCTCTCTCTCTCTCTCTCTCTCTCTCTTTCTCTTTCTCTCTCCTTTCCTCTCTCTCTCTCTCTTTTTCTCTCTTTCTCTCCCTCTTTCTATCTCTCATCCTCTCCTCTGTCTTTCTGTTTGTACCCACACTCTCTGCTGTATCTATCTATCTCTCCACCTTTCTCCCAAGTTTATCTTTCTATCCTTCACTAAAAAAACATCTTTCTTATATGCGCACGATTCCGCGCTTTCTTTCTCTCATTTTTATATCCATCTGCATGAATTTTTAATACTTGTGGCATCTATCCCTAACATCTTGTTTATTTGCTTCAATCTTTCTCTTTCTCTTTAGGGAAGTAAATCATCCCAACGTCTTGATGCTACTTGGTCAATGCATTGAAAGCATACCTCTTCTGCTCGTCTTGGAGTATGCTCCATATGTAAGTCTGTCAATTCCAGCTTGGCATTGGATGTAATCCATTCCATGAAACTATATGTACAGTCTTAAGTTACAAAGTACATTATTGTATCAACATATGGATATGACAAGTTTGGATAGAATACTTTTATGTTTAAGGTTTAAATTTATTTCATATTTGCCTGGAAGCCAGGCTTAGCTACAGTTCATTTAAATCTTATGTTGCACTGTGGTTATACCACAGTATGTAAACTTCAAAATTGGGTCTCACAAGAAAGATCTTCTGAGATCAAACATGTCCCTTGTTAAACCGATCGTAGACCCAGGATTAAGTTTAATTTGACATAGTAGAATATGGATCCATGAGTTTGATGGATCGCTGCATCTGGATCAGACCTCTTTTAAGACATTGGGCTCTGGTTTAAAAAAATATTGTTGTGTCCCTGGCTTACTCTAAATTCTCTGGACATTTTTCTTTGATCAATAGGGAGACCTGAAGAACTACCTACGCAAGAACCGCGGCATGGTGGCACAGATGGCCCAGAAGGATGTCCAGCTTCGTATGGCTCATGATATCATCTCAGGGCTACTCTGGCTCCATCAAGCCGACTTCATTCATATGTAAGTAGCACCTAAAGATGAGCGGTAGTGTTGTTGGAGGATGGCCTTTCACCTCGTAGATCTATCACAAAAGATACTTATCCTGCTTGTGAAATTGTTGTATAACTGCAGTCGCAGGAAAAAACATTTTGGTTGGATCTCCTGAAAATGTAGGTATCCATAATAATATAACAACTTTTTAAATGTCAGTATATTTAAAGAGTGTTGAAATGGTTAACAAGTATTATCTCTTTCTTAATCTGAAGAAGAAAAAAAATTGTTTTTAATATGGACAGGGAGATGTTGCTGTCATATTTATTTTTTGTCTACATAAATCTGTATATTCTTCTACACATTCCTTGAATTTGTTATATATTTGCCATCTATTTCTATTTGTGGAACCTCTTTCCTTCGTCACGCTAGTGATTTTGCAGCAAGAAACTGTCAAGTGTGTGCAGATGCATCAGTCAAGATTGGTGATTATGGACTGGCTCTGGAACAATACCCTGTAAGTTTTCACCCTTCATCAAAAATTCATTCCATCCATGGTATCAATATACTCAGTGAGAACGAGTTTTTTTAAACTACCTCAATTACCAAAGTTAGGCCTCATCAGAATCATCAAATAAAATTTTGAGTTGATGCAGATACTAATATTCATCCACATGTTACAACATTAATTGTAGGCTGTACAGTGAGTAGTAATGTTATGCCATTTAATATTGAAGAGTGTATCAAGAGATTCAAGTTGACGTTTCTCCCCAAATGTTCTTTTACAAAAGAGCACAAATGAAAAAAGGAAAAAGGTTTTTTCCTTCTACAAGTAGTTCAGTATTGTCTAGTGCATGCTTACATCAGCTAGCTACATGTAGCTTGTGGGAAGATGGAGAAGAAGAATCTGTTATTTGTCCGGTTGTGTTTTCTTTAGTAAAAAGTTTAAGAGGATTCATGCTATATAACATGTAGTGGTAAGATCTAATGCCTTTGTTTCCTTGCTTGGGTTTCCAGGAGGACTATTACATCACTAAAGACGAGTGTCACGCAGTGCCTATCAGGTGGCTAGGACCAGAGGTCATGGAGATCAGAGGTCAAGATATCAAACCCAAGAAAATCACCAAGAAATCAAATATCTGGTGAGTCTGCAGGTTTCACAAAGCCTTTTTTTCAATGACAAATGGTAAAAATCAGTGACAAATATGCTGATAACCAATCAAAAACAAGGAATTCACAAAAACTGTCATTTGTCATTGATGACAATTTTTGTGAAATGGGGCCCTGATGAACGACTGCTCCCAATCTTTGAAGATGGGGAATTTTTATTGCAAAGACAATCCTAGCTAAGTTGGAACTGCTGTGGAGCACAAACAACTTGACAAGTTTTGGATGGAGGAGAGTTTGTAAATAAAGCAAACTTAATACCATGTAGAGTTCATCCAAATACATGAGAACAAAATTAAGGTACAGTATGAATGAATGTGGTGGTGGTTATTTTACCTGACTGCTAAGAAAGCATAAATGCTTGTAAGTAAGCAACCAGACGGCCGACGGCTTTAGGTCCTCTCCGAGGGACCTGGTTATGAGGATTAATGCCTTACCAAAGGGCACTAGCGCATCGACTTGGTTTTGAACCGGGTCACCGGATCACGAGACCACTGCTCTATCGACTGAGCTATGTTCAGACAAATAAAACTGATTTTGAATCTCTTTTACACAAGAACTCCCTTTGACATACAAAGGTATATGTGTTTCAAAATATGTATATACTTGACTTTGAAAGTTGAAATATAATTTCTCTTATTTATATCTTATGGACACAAAACTGGACAAATATTTGTAGAAAAATAAAATTTGTTTTTTCAAGACAATATTCCTCATTGCCAGAGTCATAGTTGTTTAGACAAGGCTCTACAAGATTGGTGTACACTATAGAAAAATTCGGAATAAAGTACAGCGTATCTCATATCTGATTGTGAATTCTCTTGATCCTGACAATCCATCTTTTCTCCTGAATCCACAATCAGATCCTTTGGTGTGATAAAGCTAGAGCTCCCAACTGAGCTCAACGGATAATCATGAATTCTCTTTCCTAATGTCCCGTCTTTTCTTTTGAACCCACGATTAGGTCCTTTGGTGTAATAATGCTGAAGCTCTCAGCTGAGCTTAATGGACAATCGTGAATTCTCTTTCCTAATGTTCCATCTTTTCTCTTGAACCCACGATCAGGTCCTTTGGTGTGATAATGCTGGAGCTCTCCACTGCAGCGGACAGACCCTATCCCGACCTGAGCGACGAGCAAGTCTTGAAGCAGGTCGTCATGGACCAGGATATCAAGCTCGACAAACCCAACCTGGACCTCAAGTATGCAGAAAGATGGTGAGTGCTGCCTTTGGTGGCCAGGACTGGAGGACTTCCATTTCAAGGCTTTCTGCCGAAATAGGCCATTTTATTGTGTTTTCTGGTTGTCTGTCTGTCCATACATCCGTACGTCTCATCGATGGATTACCGCTAAAATTGGGTCATGTATGTATCTTGCAAAGCTTATGCACTGATTAGATTTTGGGGTCACAAAGTCAAACGTCATGCAGAGGGCTCATTATGTATGCAAAAATAGCTTGTGATCGCGTTATCTCAAGAACCGATTGATGGATTACTGCCAATCTTGAGTCGTGTATGGTTCTTGCATAGCCAATGAACTGATAAGATTTTGGGGTCATGAGGTCAAAGGTCAAAGGTCATGAGGCTCATTATGTATGCAAAAATAGCTTGTGAAAGCATTGTCAATACTGACGGATGGATTACTATCAAAATCGGGACGTGTATGTATCTTGCAGAGCCAAAGCACTAATTAGATTTTAGGGTTATACACGTTTATGAAAAATAGCTTGTAATCATGATAATCTGAGAACCTGTTAATGGATTACAATCACAATTGAATTTTTTAAATTGCTTCTGTTTTGGTTTGAACAATCGCTCTACGGCGGAGGCATCATTTTCGGCTGCTTGCAGTCGAACATCCATCTAGTTCGTAATGTAATCAATTTTAATGCATAAATCTTTGTAAAGTGCCATGTTACAAATAATTGGATTCACTTGTTACAAATAATTGTATTTTAATAGTCAGAATTCAAATTGATTACATTAACTGTTGCTAGGTAGAACAAACATTATGGTACCAACGAGCCTCATCTTGAGAATCAATTGGACTCTATAACACAAAGTTTTTCTCTTTGATCAGGATTTTGGGACGGTCTTGCTATAGAAGGTTTTAAGAAATTGGGATTGTGACAACGTTTTACTTCACTGCAAAAAATACCTGAATGACCAATTATCTTTAAATTGATATCTCAGAAAACCATGTTATAATAAAAATTGTTATCCTCTCTGAATACTCACACTGGATAAAGTTTAAACATGTTTCTAATATGCAATAACTTTAGCAGAGGAAGCGAACCCGACTATGTTTCACTACAATGTCTATTCCTTCGTTTGTAGGTTTGAGATCATGATGTTCTGTTGGATGGACAGTGACACCAGACCAACAGTCAAAGAAGTCCATGAGCTCCTGACTCACCTGAAAAATAACATAGATAGGTTCCATATGGAAGACTTCGAAACAAAATGGAACGCCCTCAAGCCGGCCATGGCCAACCAGAGTTCATCGGAATGCAGCGAGACCTCCCAGGAAACACCGCAGCAGGAGATATCACTTGAGATTGGTGGTGGGGATCCTCTGTCCATTGGCGTGGCTAAAGGGGATCCTTTGTCAGTGGTCAGTGACATGTCTCAGAACCAGACACAGCAAGTGGTCAGCGTGGATGTGACAGGTCCATCACTCGGCCAGACTGATCATGAGGATCAGCTGTTTGACGACCTTTCCAAGAAGGGACAAGGACAAGAAAAGAATCAGCCTTTTGAAATCTCTTTTGATGAACCAGAACAAGAAGCACCTACGAATATGCCGGAAACCGAAACTGTTTCTGAAATCATACCAAGCGTAGCGACACCACAAGCAAACATGGTACCTCCTGCAGGAGGGGACAGCACTCACGAACTCAGCTTTGAGGATGCCTTTGACACTCCTACACCTCAAGGAGATAGAAAGACTGATACTCTGTCTTTTGGACTGGATGATAGTGTTCCGAGTGCTGAGGTCACTCCGAATACCCCAGACTTCTTTTCGTCAGAGGATGTCAATCCTGTCGAAGCCAGTACTCCCTTTCCATCATCTCAACAACCCAATATGCAAGTTTCTATTGACACCAGTGTGTCAGCCGGAGGGTACAAAACAGCTGATGGCGGTCTCTTAGACGGGAACGATAGCACAGTCACGTTCACAGAGTCTTTCAACACCATGTCAAGTAACCCTTTCAGTAGTAGCACTTCGTCGGAACCCAGTGGCTTTGTCTCGGCCGTTGAGTCCGCAGGTGATACGTCTATGGAAGACAGTCGGGATCATGAGAACAATGGGTTTGGGGAGTTTGAGAGTTCCATGGGACTATCATTCGGGACTCCATCGGAAGGTGATCTATCCTCTGTTCGGGAGACACCAACACCTGGTGGACAGAACTCGACGTCCTCAGACTTGTTTGGTGATCTGTCTCAACCTTCAAATCCATTTGATAGCTCAGCGGCGTCCGTGAGCTTTGGTGTTGGTGTGGAGAGTCCGGCCATGAAGGAGGTCTCTTTTGACCAGCTGGCACAGAATGGAGAGGACAAGAAAGACCTTCACAGCTTTAGTGCTATAACATTAAAAGGTAGGATCAAGTTTTTTTTAATGATTATACACACATCTTTCCTCACATCAAGTAAAGGTAGCAAAATCATATCACTGGAAACTAAACCAATGAGTGAATGAATCTTCCATTGTATTGATGTTTACATAAACATAGTCTTTCTCTCTCCCCCCCCCCCCCTCTCTCTCTCTTTCTCTCTCACTCTCTCTCACTTTCTCTCTCTCTTTTTTTCTCTCTCTCTCTCTCTCTCTCTCTCTCTTTCTCTTTCTCTCTTTTTTTCTCTCTCTCTCATTGTCCATTCACAATGCAGAGTTCTCATAGTCTATCTGTACTCCCCTCTCTTCTTTCCCATGTTGTGGGATAATCCTGATAGGGAGCAAAGTAAAAATTCTACTAGATGTGTGTTTTTAAGATTAGTTCTACCACAAAATGCAAAAACAATTTGCTTTGATACCAACTTATTGTTGTTATTTGTGACACTTACCCTCATTTGTTTTTGTTTTTATCGTGTAGAGCATGAAAAAGAGTCTACTGATGTTCCTCCAGTAGGCGACCATGAGATTACACCTCAAGGCTACGCAGAGGTGAGTGCTGCTGCCAAGAAGTCCTACGGCATGACCATGCTGACCGTCACATCAGGGAAGAAAAAGAAGTCTATTAAGATCCTCAAGGAGGAGAATGGGGAGGATGCAGGAGATGCCGCATCCCACGTTACCATGGTAACCAACGGCTCCAGCAAGATGGCGAAGGATGACGGCATCTCTATGGCACCTCCTGCTTCCGGTCCAGGACCTAATCTCCTGGATCTCGATATCCCTGTATCGGGTCTAGATCAAGGATCTGGACTGGCTCCTGGTCTAACACTTGGATTCGGCACCATAGAGGTGGAGGTGTCCAATGATGGAGGGGATGCGGTGGTGGTCCAATCGCAGAGCCCAGACTCGGTTGAGTTTGGCTCTTTTGAAGATGTCAGTAAAGAATTATAAAACTTGTTTATATTCAGTGTCTTTCTTTCAAAACCAAAATGTACATTATGCATAAAAAGTATATTATACCATGAAAAGTCAACAAGAGATTTATATACAAAAAATCCAATATATTTGCTTAATACTTTATTATTAGTGGTACAGTACATATAAATTGTTATGTAGAAGTACAATGTAGAACCGTATCTGAAAGATATTGTTTGGTTTGCATTTTTGGTATACATGAATATTTCTAATTCTACCAGTAGTCAATTATCAGAGGAAAATCCAGTTTATTATTAGGAAGGGTTTTTGTACTCGGCGTACAGAGTATATTGCAAGAACATGAATTATGTTGATTAATGTTCTAACAAATTTGCCAACTACATGTCTGATTTACTTTATTTAGCTTACAATGTGTGTGTGTTAGTTTGAGGGAGGGAGAGGTACTGGAGCTGCTATTGATGCAAATTTGATTGATGCTAATTTTATTTTTGCCATAAGATTTACAAAATGAAATTAGAAATGTCAAGGATTAATTTCTAACTGAGTTAAAAATTCAATTTTATCTGGTATTCATCTCTTTCTGTAGGTATTCATCAAATGCTAGGAATCTTTCAGTTAACAAAGTATCATCTGATAAAAAAAGACAATTGGATATTCTTATTTGCTTTTTTGCTGCCAAATGTTGTATGATTCATAGTTACATTTCGAGAAAGAGACACCCAGTTTACAAAAAAGAAAGAAAGAAGACTTTCCAAAATATTCAAATTCTCTTTTTATTTGAAAATATTGTTATTTTGATCTTTGGTGCAAATGTGATTCAGTAATTATTATTCAGGAAAGGGAATACTACTTCAACTCGGCCAAAATAAATGTTGGGGACATTAATTTTGTGCTGTAAATATTACTTGTCTTTAATTAATATTGTCATGACTTTGAAAAACAGTATGTTATTACAAAGTACTACCGCCAAATCTAATTGACCATCACAAAATAGAGCAAATGAAATAAAGGTCATGCACTATGTGATGATGTTTTCCTTTTATTAGTGATTATATGAGATTATGAGCAACTGAGATTAATGAAATAAGACTTTTTCCGGTACTCTGAAAGTGGGACAGTACTAAGCTGAGGCAGAATATCCTCAATTGCAAAGAAATGATTTGATAGTTATTTAATATTTGCTGAACAGTCAGTGAAAAGTGCTGCAGAACTATACCTCTGCTTTCTTTTCAGCATAAATTGTGCACACATTGCATGAGTTCTCTAATAAACAGTACTAGCAGTTCTATTTAATTAATTGGTATTCTAATGGTGTATTCATACTGTAACACATAATATGTTAGCAGAGGTGTTGCCTTTCCTTTCAACTTGAAATATTTCAATAAATTTATGAAAAAACAAAGGAGTCATCAATATGTCAAATAATCACTGCTTGTCTTGCAATAATATTAGCAGCACAATGAATTGTTCAAAAACTATTTCTCTTGCAATTTATGCACATTCAAAGGAAAAATTAATTAGATTTTTGAAAGTATGTACAAATAAGATGTTAGAACTCTGTAATACTTCTAATATTGTTGCTTTAAAGAAGCAAATCAAAATGCCATTAAATCTCGACCAAGAAATAACTATATGTACTTGGTTAATTCGCTATAAACACTGAAGGACAGGTGATTTGTTGTTTAACACACGCCAAACTGTAGCAAGTAACACTTGTAACAAATAGTGCTAGTATATATAACCATTAACATAAAAAGCAGTTATCACGTTACATTTGGTTGATCTTTTTTTTTCCTCTGGGTATCTTGCCTGTATAATCCCTCTTTGCCATACAAGTTCATCTTGTTCATGCCCTCTTATTAAAAATTCTTTGCAATTTAGCCAGAATTGCCATATGCCCATCATACAAGTAGACATGGGTTCTGCATTCCACATTGGTTAAAGCAATAGGTTCATAGGTTATGGTACAAAACGGTAGCTCAAAGTTGCAGATTAATATCATATTTTGAATCATTTAATGATTTATATTCTAAATTGAGTTGAAAAATTAATAATCCACTCTTGTGTCTAAATTGACATGTTGCATGTAATACATTTGGGGATTTGCAGTCATATAGATCTTTAATTTGAATGTTTATCGTATTCTTCAAAGGTATTAGTATCCAACTTTGTTGAAATTAGTCTTCTCAATGCATGTCTTCTTCTCTATGCTTCACTAATGGTTATCCTTTATTAAATGATACTTAAGTGTATATATTTAATGGACATAGTACTTGTATCCTATGAAATATTGTTGCCCATTACAAATAATCATTTGGGTTTGATTACTAATTGGATGATGTAATAAATAAAAGCACAGTGCTGGCTAATTTTTGAGGTGTTAAGTACTAGCATTCAGGCTAATGAACTTTGAAATTACAGTATAGTATTCACGTTATATTTTTGTTTCTAATTTGTATTCTGATAGGTAAAATAGTGAATGGTATGCTGTGATTTAAAAAATGTGAATGATGAAATATTGCACAATGAAGTGTTATTCAATTACAAAAAGCTAGATGTATCAATTTTAATTACATACTTCAAGAATGTGTCTTACATATATAAAGGTATAAGTGACCTTTCTCCTGATATTTTGAATATTGTATAAAAAATAATTGTATTTTTTTTCTTTAAACGATGAACATTTACTTCACTTTGAAATTTATGTTTAAAGGTAGACTTTGTACATTTTCGTTTTGAATAACAATTTGTGATTGTTACGGTATTCAGTTTTGAATAAGTTAGATGGACAGTTGTGTGATTCCTGTTTTGCATGTATTCAGAACAAGTACAAACAATGGATTGTTAAATATGAATTACAATTAGCTTTAAAATGAAGGTTCAAATTTGAATCGATTCAGTATATATATTAGATCATTTCATTATAGAGACATACAAATTTAATATAGTTATATCGAAACAATATGAAGAAAAGAATTGTATATGATTGCTATTTTTGCTATGAAAAAGGTGTGATGTTTAATTTACAATCAACTCTTTAATGTGTGTGTCTGCTGTGAATTTATAATCAATATTTTGTCTAGAATATTGAGTTAAGAGGATATTTTTGGTACCTATATGCTCCTGTTGCTTTCTATTTTAATCATGGGTAGGGGGGGGCACTTTGGCATGTGGTATAAGTTGAAATCAGAATGTTTTATTAAAAAAAGAACCACTTTTTTACATGGGACATGAAAATTCAGAATTAAGGGGCAACCAGTAATTTTTTAGAAACTCAAGATATAAAGAGTATAATTTGAAGCAAATAATGTCAAAATGATAAAGTTCAAGAAATTTCATTGCATACAGAGATATTGTGAGAGAATGATCAAATTGATTGAATTTTACAAGAAACTACATGGCAGCATTAATTTTGATACAATTGTATAATTGATAATATTTGTGTAAATGTGTCATCACTCTCACAGCAACAGTTTTTACTAATATGAATTTGATAATGCTTCCTAGGTATATTTGCCTCTTCATAATATTTAAGAACAAAGTTTCAGTTGACGATAGGCCAGTTTTAAGTTTGATAATTTATCAAGTACCAAGCAAGCATGAGAATTGACTATAGGATATTTGAGAAATGTTTGACTATGAAAAAGTACTTTCATAGATAGGACATACATAAAGCTACTTAGTAGTAAATGTGCTATGCATGGAATCATTACAGTGCTATGGTTTGTCTATGTAAAGTCAGACAGGGGTTCGTATTTCAAAATATATATTCATTTTCATTGTAATATGAGACAGGATATAGTATCTCAAAATATTGTACAATTTGTGATTTCTTACTTTGTACGTGAATAAATCTAGGGTCATTTGATACAGCCGGAGGCTGACAAAAGTAAGGCTAGGCCCAAATCTTTAAACAATATTTGTTCAATATCAAATACGGTCTGTGCCTGCAGACTACTTATCAAGCCTAAAAAATCAGTAATTTTATATTACTGCATATATTATAGAAAAGGATTAGAAAAAAAGCATTATTCATTATTAAAGTGTTGTAACCATTTATGGATGTGAATTCTTCCTGTGTTAAACCATATTATATATTTCAAAGATGCCTGCAATTAATTTAGCTCAGTATACCAAAGCATTTTAAAGATTAGTATGTAGTGAAAACAAAGTAATAGATTTTGGGTACATCTCTGATATGCATTTTCAACTTCAATTATTTCTCTTATGAAGTACTTAAGTATCTGAAATATTTGATTAAATAACCACTTCATAATTAGGGCTGTATTTTCTCTCCTTTGTGTTCATTGACTCGTATCAACCCAAATTGAAGAGAATTATTTTGGATTTTATTTTTTGATATGAGGAATAGAATAGAATAGGTTAATTTCTGTTTTGGAAATTTACTTTGATACTTGTTAATTGATTATTTACCACATCAACATTGTATTCATTGAAATTGATTTATTATTTTTGTATATGTTGAAGTATCTGATATTAAGTCAGGATTTTACTTTAAATTGATAAGAATCTGTCATTCTTGTAGAAGAATAAAATATCCCTATCATCAAAAGAGGCAATCAGTGTATATATAACATTTTCTTTTTATGAGTGACTTTCAGCAGTTTTCAAAGTGAAAATATTTGTTGGTTTATTTATTTATAATTTCTATTTTACCTATCTTTCTATCTGTCTATCTATTTATCTATCTGTCTATCTATTTATTTAAATCTCTCTATCTCTCTCTCTCTCTCTCTCTCTCTCTCTCTCTCTCTCTTTCGCTCTCTCTATCTATATATATATATATATATCTATCTCTAAATATATACATGTTTCTATTTATCTTTCTATCTACCGGTACATATTTATCTATCCATCTATCTATCCATCTATCTACCTATCTATCTATTGTTGTGTACTGTATGTCATTTTTTTTAAATTAAATATTTTGTTTGGTGGGGGGGGGGGGGGGGATTTCAGCACGTATACTAATTCTCATCTTCAGGAATAGGAAATTTTAAATATGCTAATCAAAACGGGTGAAGAACCCAAAGCTCTTCAGTTATTGAATACTAAACCTGAGATAGCTACAGCTATGCTCTGTTGAGAGTGTGTTATCTCAAAATAAAATTGTACTTCGCAGGTTGATGGTGAAGCCCAGCAGCTCATTTTAAGGTTCTTGCTCCATTTGAGAAAAAACAACTACAGCACACACACAAAAAAAAAAATCACGACACAAACATGCTTGTTATCAACCCAGTACCCTAAAAGGTCAAACAAAAGACATTTCATGCATTGTGAGATTATGTTATGATTTCGCCTTTATGCTAAGTAATGGTATTGCACTTTGCTTGACGACTGAAAAATTGAAGTTTAAATTTAATATATGAATGCGCTGATGAGTAAATGCATACATTTCCATCATACTGAATGAATGAATGTATGATTTTCTTTTGGCAGCTAGAGTGATATTAACTCTATGTAAAGGTGCGCAAGCAATGCCCTCTGTACTCTTAATGGACAAGGTATTGATTTAATGGCAATATATTAATTCATTTTAGGGCTATAAGGGGAAATATATTAAAATCATAATGGCAAGCTCAACAAAGACCCAAACACAAGAATTACACAGAGTAAAAGTTTCTGAACATGAAAGTTTGTAGAATATTACTATAATGGGAAATAGGATATGGGAATAGGCAAAAAACATCAATCCAACGAAACAAAGACATGACCAAAGTAAAGTAATCATTAAGATGTATTTGAAACTTGCCAAGTTGAGGCTGCATAGAATTTTGGGGGCATAATTCAAATAGTGTACCCGGTAATCAAAACTTTTACTCCAGTTTTTTCCTCAACAAAAAGATTAAAAAGTACCAGGATATAAAAGTGAATTGAAGCATGATTGATGCAGATTTTAGAACTTGGTCAATTAGGCCTATCCGGCATTTTGATCGACAAATCTTCCAAGGGTACTCTGAAACTCTCTTATTCAAATTTCTAGATCTTCATATAATTATGTAGATCTTGTTAAACAAGCAAAATCTTCTGAAATAGAATTAGTTTAATTTTTTTTCACCCACAAACTTGTGTTACAATTATTTCCTCATTACAACAGTATTATGGCATGTGATGCAGAACTTCTCAAAATCTCATAACTTGATTACATAGTTCCAAAACACAAGAAACCGCCAAGATAGAGAAACTTGCGTTTTACTCTGATGCCCAAAGCGTTTGGGGAAGAAATGCGGGGGAGAAAAGGGGGAGTCCCCTGACCTTGAGCAAGCTCGCTCCGCCTCACCTCGCAAGATTGCCCTCGCGCCAGCAAATTCAATGCTCGTAGATCCCATTTCCACTCATTCTCAATCAGCGCTGTTGAGTTGGATACTCAAGCTCAGGTTTTATGTGCGTACGTTCATGCGTTCTCGCGCCGTACACACCTGTACTATTTTTGCATATGCAGTGCAGAGCTAGCAGAGTTGGGATTTAAATTGGCGAACAACATCTCAATATTTTTTGAATTTATCAGCGAAATACTCAAGATAACAAAATGGAAGGAAATGCATATGGAGCTGGGATGGCTGGAAAGCCATTTGATGTTTTAGACTATATCAAGAAACCTTCTGTAATACTGAGATTCATCAGTTGGGTAAGAACTTGTTCTTTACTTTGCCTCGACTCTTTTTGATTTGCATTAGGCCTACTGACTGTGACTGTGACTCGGTGGTGCATTTTGGTGTGTTGAAATATGTCTCATGACGATGACCAACGCACTGATTGGGCTTGTTGTGTTGTAACAAAACCGATATAACGTTAGACCCTACTTTAGAGTCTACAGAGTGCATCCAGATGAGATTTCTCATTTAAAAAACAGATGAATTATCATGTTTGGCCTTGGGTGACCACTAAAATAAAGTAGATCTAAAAAGACAGTAGTAAAGACTCACACATGTTATAAATTTTGTGCTTGAAAGTTGAGGAGTTAAGGGGAAATCCACCAAGATATAAATATGGTAATTGAACTTTGAAGCATACAAATAAATAAAGAAAGAAAACAAACTGGTCAGTACTAATAGTTGAGCAAAAAATAATGAAAAAGAAGAAAGTTATGAATATCGAATGTGTGATCAGTCAATTTTTCTTTAGTTTAAGAACATTTTCAATCGTACATCAGTAGGGGCGCTGCTCTGAGATTGAGGAATGTCTGCATTAATGAGGATATCCTCTTGAACGCGGACAAATAGCGTCCTTAAAAATAAGGATCATCCCCTCTTTTGTCTTCGGTGCTCTGTGGGTTGTAGGATTCCTGATCGATCCGCCTGCTGGCAATGCAAAAAACAGATTCCTTGTAATAAAATGCCCCCAGTTCACTGTCTACTTTTATGGGTAGTCGGTCTTCCCGAGAATTTATCGCTCAGATTACGTGAAAGTCTCTGTACGAAGTCATTGTGAAATGCATCAAGAAGATCATCGCGGAATCCGCTTTTCGCATTGCCAATGCGCGGATCTAATTAAGGATCGTCAGCGAAAATGGGGATGATCCTTATTTTTTAGGACGCGTCTGTCAGCGTTTACGAAGACGGTCCTTGTTTATGCGAACGATTTTTATTCTCGGATCAGCGCCCCTACTGTACATTCACACTAAATATAACCCCTGTATGAAACGAGTCTATTCCGTCATCAATCAATGATTGAGAACATGACATTTTCTGTACAGAGCCAATTCGAGATGATCTGAGCTGGCAAGATGCATCACACTCACAGTGTTGCCAATTTGTGTTTCACTGATGACAACTTTTAAAACTCATAACTTTCCTATTTTTAATCGGATATTGCTCAAAGTAAACTTTCACTATTTTTTCACTCATTTTTCTGCTTACAAGTATTAAAACCAAGATAACATCAGGGTCGACTTCCCCTTTAAGAATTTTACTCATGGTTTTGTTTGTTTAGGCAGTTAAGAATCAAAATGTAGAGCAAAAGATGAACTTTATCTTGTGATATACCGGTAGACTCAGATAGCTCTCCAATTTGAATGTTCATGTTAGCTGCAAAGCTTTATGAAAGAAAAGACTCAGTACTTGACTTGTGAGATGGGTGCATTAACACAAAGCAGTTCAGTGTCTCCTTTTAAATGTACATGTACAATGTTCTTGTTTTAGTGACTTTTAAAAATATAATTTGATCTAGAATTCTAGGAATTACAGATTGTACATGTACAATGTACATGAGCACAAAGAGCAAAATCTGAGAACATTTTGCATCCATGTTTCTAATGCAGGACACAATGGCGATCATGAATGAGAACAATTTGATTGTACGTAATCATAACAGTTTCTTACTTGACAACATGGTGTAAAATTTGAAAAACTGGACATTTTTAAAGGATTAATGGGATTATTAAAAACATTTTTTTACCAAAAACAAAAAGTATTTTCAACCATGTTATATTTTAATAACAAAATATGAACATGTCCAATGTACTGTACACACTGTACATGTAATGTTGTCCAATGATAGTAGCTGGGATAAAACTGTCCAATTATCCAAAGAGGGAGATTTTGACTGGTCCAAAATACTTTCCTCTGGTTTATTCTGATAAAAGAATTTAATGAGGGAAATGGAAATTCAGCAAAAGTCAGAATCAACTATTTACATGTACATGTACATACATATAAACAAAAGTGATATTAAGATATAGGCAGGTGAATGTAATGTACTTGTTAAAAGAAGAAAACCGGGAATAATTTGGTAAAATGTGTTTGGAAACTTGAAATTAATTTTTTTTATTTACAATTGGTCATGTTCTTTATAGTTTAATGTGTAAGGCTTACAAATTTCTCTGCTATTTACATGTACAGTACATTGTTGTAAAACAATTTCAGTTTTAAGCTTCATTTTCATGAATGCAAGCCCTTGGTGTGATAATGTATTTTTGTCATATTTTATACAGTGCAAGTTATAAATTCAGTCAGATTGTTTACATGTATATTCCCTCTTACGACAATTGGTCAGATTGCCTCGGTGGCCGAGAGCACTGCGTTTACCCTTTTGAGAAAATGTATGCAGAAATGGAGCTGGAGCAGTGTTATTTTAGCGGTGCACTATCCTTCCATAGCTCTATCTCTCTCTCTCTCTTACTACTGTATTTGATATATGCGGGGGATAGCAAGGTGCATATTGATCGGGTGCCCGTGGCATCTTAGGGAACTGGTATCCACACATCTCTTATTGATTGTTGGGTGCCTGTACTGGTTCCCATCATCACATTCTCTCTCTCAGTACTTTTATACTGAGATGGCCATACAGTGGGCAAGCGTATGTACAGCTAATTAGGTGGTAATCCCATAAAAAGCCATTTATGGGACTAAAGATTCAGTGTGTTTGTATTTGTGTACTTTTGCTTATTCATACATATTTACATACATGTACATGTACAGTATGAGCATGATAATACAGAATGATGATGCATACAAATGTAAATGTACAAAAGAGAGAGAGAGAGAGAGAGAGAGAGAGAGAGAGAGAGAGAGAGAGAGAGAGAGAGATAGAGAGGGAGGGGGTGGGGAGAGAGATATTAGGGAGCGAGATAAAGAGATTATCCTGGACTTTGACTATTATTCATAATGATGTAATGCATTATTCATAGAGGTATTAGCTAATTTGTAACCACAATGGATCTCGTTAAAATTTGAATAACTACTATTTGAGGCAGAGTTTCTTTGATTGGGACTGCATTCATGGTTCATTTATTTTGAGGATGTTTGCAGAGTTGAAGGAAAAAACAACAACCCATTTTTAATCAAATGTTGTAGAGTGATTCATGTACAGGGCAAATACATGTTGGATACTTTAAAAGCAGAAACAAACAATAACAAACCATAGACCTTCAATATACATGTACATGTACATGTTTTTCTTGAACTGTGCGTTTGAAAACAAGGAATTAAGTCATTTAATCATTTAATTATAATACACAATTTGTTGATATCCTCAAGGTTTTACAATTCACAAAGATTCAGTGTTGAGTCCATTATTATTCAACTATTTCATAGCATGGAATTCATCAAAGCTATTAAAACCACTCAAGAAATTTGCAAATATTTTATATCCATGCACAGTTTATGGTTTTCAGTACCTTTACCATGATCACATGATTTGAGTGAAAAGCAAATTATTATTATTTCATTTTCACTTATGGGTATCAACCAAAGTGTTCTTGAGCATGTACATGTACATGTACATTACAAATCATAGTCATGTTGTTTGAAAGTGCATTGCGTCACCTGACAATCCTACAATCAATTATTAGTACAATGTGTTTACTCATGACTGTAGCTGAAATAATTGAATTTTACCTAGTACAAACACAAGTGTGATTGAATGGGAGCAGGCAATGAATGAATCGAGTGGTACATCATGTACGTGATAAAGCCACTGTGTAAGGCATACATGTACATGTATGCATGGGCAGGCAGCTGCAGGCAGGCGTACCGCTGCTCATGTTAATATATCATGATTGATAGGAAACCTGGCCCAGGTATACGATCATCGCACAGCTGATGATAGTTGCATGCACCATGTCCTCTCCTTGTCATATGAGTGGTTTTATTTGCACAATCCCCTTTACAACATGCATAATGAGGTCAAAATCCTTCCAGCGCCAAAGGGAAATCAAAGTACGCAGGGCCTGGCAGGGTACCGGGAGCGACTCATGATTATCTAATGACTCGAAGGTGACCAGAATAGTTTGTGGGAAAAGTGTGCGGTGTGGTATTTCTGACTGGATGCTGGAAAAAAGAAATAACAATATCAAACAAAAGCAACAACAACGCCTAAAATGGTTTAAATTATACTTCATAGTGCAGGCCTTAAATTTCAATATTTTTGGGGCAAGGCCACTTTTCTGTAGGGCACATTCCTATATTACAGCACAAATAGGAAGAATTGAAAAGGGCACAAAAAATCTCCAAGACCAGTGAGAGGGGCATTAAGGCCAAGCAAAGGGGCATCCACGGCCATGGCCTTGGTGGCCTTGGATTAATTTAAGCCCTGATAGTGTCATATATTGGTCAGATTATTAGTTTTTCAGGGATAAGGATATTTTGATGGATAGAAAGAGATCAATTATAATAATAATAATAATGGTGGCTTCTTACAATGTATATAGCGCACATGTCCGTCACGTTGTGACGCTGGCTTTAGCACTTTTGTTTTACTTTTAGCTGACAGGAGTAAGCACTGTGTTGTGTTGTTTTGTTAATTCATTTAAGCTAATAAATCTAATTAGAAACTTCAGTGGGGAATAGTCTGTGAACTTGATGAAGTCTTGAATAGTCTCTTTAGTATTACCCTGGAACGATTGGACAGGAAATTCCTTTTTGGCACTTTTGTATACATTTTGACTGGATGGAAATCATTTATAATGAGGGGGGGGGGGGGATCATTAATTAGAATTAAATCAGCAGCCACTTGTTAAACACATTCAATTGGGTAAAGATGGAAGAGCATAACCAGGGTGAAAATAATTTGATATCAAGTCTTGCATAAAGATAACTTCAGTTACAACAATATGTAACTACATGTAGCCTATTCAAAATTTGCTTGTAGACATATGTAAATGTCATAGTGCAATATTATTCTGTTATAAATGTTAAAATGCAATATTACTTTACAGAATTGTATTGATTTTGAAACCTAACGTCTCAAAAATAATTTCAAGTGATAAGACATCGTTATATGCTTATAATCTACAATTTCAAGAAGCATCTAGACAGTGTTGAAAATTAACCAAACTTTATTTTAAAAGGACCTTTTGGCTTCAAACCATAATAAGTAATACACGTATTGTAGCCCATTTTGATATTTACCGGTAGGTCGCCACCCCAATAAACAGCCAAAAGTTTTGTTTCGATGCTACCAATTTTCTCTTCTTCTTTTGAATTTCAGGTATTTGCCATCATCGTGTTTGCGTGTATATCGGCTGAAAAAGAATACAGTTTTGGTAGCTACGTGGCTTGTCCATATGGAGGAGACAGCGGTGCATGTGGTTTTGGAATCTTCGTTGGGGTGATAGCTTTCTTAGCGTGCATGGTTTTTCTTGTCATGGATGCAATGTTCGACAACTGGAGCAATGTGCAGCACAGAAAGATGGCCGTCATGGCTGACCTTATCTTCTCAGGTAAATTCAAACAATATTTGAAATCTTGACTTGAACCTAAACACTTTACATTTACATGTATGTGCACCATCTCCAATGACGAATGGCCCGGTAAAATGAAAGATGGCTGTCATGGCTGATCTTATCATAGGTAATTCAAACAATATTTGAAATCTTGACTTGAACCTAAACACTTTACATGTATGTGCACCATCTCCAATGACGAATGGCCCAGTGAAAAGAAAGGATGTGGGCTGTGTCTGAGAGGGAATTACAATGTACCTCAAGAAATTGCTTTATTTCATAAATGAGAAAAAGTCACTGTAAATAAAGAAACTCCATAAAATGGTACACGTAAAGATCTCTCTATTTGTCAAGATGCATAAATATGGAATTTGAGGTTTACTTGAACGTGGCCCATTTAAAGAATTTCAATTTTTTTCCTTTTCATTCTGGACCCTCAAGTTGGCTTATTATTTCTGTTAGAGATTTAAAAACCCCACATACAATGGTGTAGAATGGAGGCCCTGTCACTAACATACAAATACACTTTAAATGAGCACTAGCACATTTCCAAAATCACAAGACATCAACCTTGTCTACTACATGTAGATGGAAAATGAAGATGACAAGTCCATTTTAAATAGTGCCTCTCACAAGAACAAAGTTTCAAGGTCATGTGGTAAAAAGAAGTAAGATATGTACAGCTTCATGTACACTGTATCTGTCTCAGCAAGAATCATCAGTGAATGTTAAATTGTGATCTGAAAAAGGAAGACGCAAAAATCATGTTTGTGGCAGTGTTAGAGAGGAACATTAGCTAGCTTTATATGCATCGATATGATGTGATTTACCCAATTACAATTCCAAAAATAGAAACAAAAACAAAACATGTTGGGGAATTCCATGTCACATGTACCTCAAATGCATGTACCGTTACATCTCTTTTGCAGAGATACAGCTCAGCACAATGTTGATATCGAACAATATGTCATGAGTGGTTTCATTACAAATCGGATCACAGTTATTGGCAATGAGCCAAACACAGTCCTTACCTGATCATGGGATCTGTAGAGTTGTTGTTGATAGTATTGTGATGCATAAATGAAACAATTATTACACATGTATATATATTTGGATGAATTTAACCGCAAAAACACACTTACTTTTAATAACAGAATGAGAAAATTATAAAATAAGTATGTAACAATTCAGTACATTTTATAGTTTGTAATGTTTTTAACTACCCACATTTAAAATTACATTTTTCACAAACAGTGTTTCTATACTACTAAAAAGTAGGATTTGTGTACATGTATTTCAGAATTGATAATTTGTTTCATTTAAATATATTTTTGTGACCAAAAGCTTTTTTTCAGTAGTGATATACAGTGTATATATTTTTTTTCTTCATTTTTTTAATAATTATTATTATTATCATTATTATTATTATTTTTTTTTAAATAATTGTTATAATTTTTATTTTTTATTTTATTTTATTTATTTATTTATTTTATTTTTTATTTTTTTTTTGGGGGGGGGGGGGGCGGGTAGATTGCACATACATTGTACAAGTTTCTCTATAATTTGCATATTAAGCAGAATCCTATGTCAATGTCTTCTTCTTGATGATTTATGGATATGATAAAGAACATTGCTTTCTCCCTTCTTTGTTTTCAGGTATTTGGACCTTCATGTATTTTGTGTGCTTCTGCTACCTAACAAATAAATGGGTCGGCACAACAAACACAATAAAGAATGGACCCGGAGTAAGCTCGGTACAAGCAGCTATCGCATTCTCCTTTTTCTCAATAATAACTTGGGTGAGTAGTCATTTTTAATGAAAATGAATATTAATTTGAAAAACAAGAGCTTATCAAATTTTGTGTATTTGGAATTATGTCACCATTCATTGTGGTGAATGAGTGTTTACAACTTTACATATTTATTTTGGATGTTTGCTTTGAGTTAATAACTGACTGAATGACTGAAGCCTGGTTTGGATATTACGTGGCAAAACCACGGCAATATTCTTTTATGTTGAAGCTGTAACATGTAACTGTATTACTGTAATATGTGTCACCAACATTGTATCTGTGTCTTATCAAACACAGAGGTTAGTGGATACGTACAGGACATACATGTACATTGTACATGCACATGTACATGTAGCATTTACGTGCGTTTAAAAGAAAAATAACGTGGCAGTTTACATGTACTGCGTGATATCTGAACAAGTCTTTATTGAATGACTGATAGAAAAATTTACTGATTGAATGATTAAATAGCTGCATTTTATGAATTGACTGACAGATGGAAGGATTGATTTATAGCTGACCAGATTATTGTTTGTTTGTAGTTTGAAGCTACTGTACATGACAGTGTGCATGTGATCTTGAATATTGGTGGTGGTACTGCGTCATTTCAAGAAGAAGAAGCTTATTATAATTCTGAATTATTTATCATTCAGTAAACCCATGACTTGGATCAGCAACTGAGAAAATTAATAATTAATGAAAATTTGATAGAATTCCTTTCACTGAAACCATGTACTTTGCATCATGAGTGATCATGTACTAGTAAAAGCTTGATTTTCGTACCTCCCTTTGCTCATTATTTGGCTATACAACTGTACTACCGGTAGTTATTTTACACGAAACTCTTGTGAAAGGCTACAACATCATAAACACTGCATTTCTAGTATTACAAATTATATTTGGTTCTGGAAATGATATCTGTTAAGTTCTATTTTCTATTATTACCTTTAATTGAATGACATTAATTAAATGATGGGTGGAACGATTGATTGAATAATGGACTGAATGACTGACTAGTAATAAACGAAATGACTAATAAAGTGACTGAACTTGGGTTGCTTGAGCCGTTGATTTTGACGGACTGATGACTAACTGAAAAATGGACTAATTGGTAGCATGATTGACTAATTGATGGACTGAGTTACTGATGAAATGATTCATTTACAAAGAGAAGGTTGAGTTCTGGGAAGAGGTGAAAAATAATTTGAGAGCGTTATCATTGTACAGTACATGTACATGTATTATAAAATGCAAGTGTGGAATAACATCAGATAAAAAATGTTCCCTGGAAAGCATGGCTCTTCAAATGCCTTACTATTCTAAATATGGCATGTACGTAACATCATACAAATCGTGACAGATTTTTATGCCACATGTTTGTGTAGTCCCATATATCATGTACATCTTTCTGTACATTGCTTGTACTTTATTACTTTACCAAGACTGGGCCAAATTTCTTATCATTTTGAATGATTCCAGAACCTTGCAGTACACACCAATACTGATCAACTTTTTCTGATCGATTCCACAACAATTCTTTCGCAATGCAATCGCATGTCCAGACCTCAACTTTATCTTTAAGGTCTAGCTGAAATAAAAGACAGCATGATTTGTTTAATGTTACTGTAAACCAATCAGATGTATATGTATGCTAAAGTTGATCAGATCCAAGTTCAACAACATTTATCTGTAAGATTTAAACTTGAGGTGAGCAGAAATGTGACCTTTGCTCATGATGATTTTTAATTTTTTTTTAAACTCCATGGAGTCTGTTTAATAATGTATTTGAGAATGGTACCGGTATGTTTTACTCTACATCTATGGTTCTGTTTAGAAAAATGATGTTCAAAAACAGTTCAATGATGAACACTCTTTTTCTGATTGGATTCTGATAGAAAATGGGTTATGGTTTGGTATGTACAGTGTAGATGTGATTGATGTCTGGTCAGGTCCCTTTAAAAATAGAAATCTTGGGGTGATCACATAATTCATCCAATTTATTAAAGGTGATTGTCTTTGCAAACATTCTTCAGTAGGGATGGTACTTGGTAGAAGACACAAATCTTTCTTTCCTCACTTCAAATACCATTCAAGAATCCTTTTTATACAATGTACATGTACATGTACAGTATAGTTGTTGGAAATTTACTAAATATTAATGCAAGGATGCAACTGATGTACATGTACATTGTACGTGTACAGTTGTGATCTCAATTATAAGAGACATGATACATTCTAATGTGATGATGAAAAAAGAACATTCTACCTCACTATGATATCATGTAAGAATAGTCTAATAGTCACTGAATATTGCTGAATGCTGATGCAGTTCGTGCTGAAGGTTTTCATACAATTAAAAAATAAGGTCTGAATAGCTGTTTTATGGCCTATATTTACAAGTTTGATCTCGATCACTATTCACTATATCCTATTTTGGATAACCAAAGATTTTTTTTACACTGCTTCACAAGAATACTTAATTGTAGTAAATATAATTTACTGCAAGTTTGATCTCAATCACTACGGTAGATCTATATCTTATTTTGGAAGACCAAATATATATTTTTTTACACCGCCTCACGGGTATACTTACCGAAAGTTGTAGTAAAATGACTAAATGCTTGATGCAGCTCTTGCTGAAAAATTAAAATTTTACGTAGTTAAAGACGAAGGCGTGAAGAGCTGTCTCTTCGTTACATGTCCATGTATGATCTCAATGGCTGTACCTAATAGGATGGCAGATCAGATTACCACTTACCCAATCAAGACCCTCATGAGAATGTAGTCTGAAAGACTCAGCATTTACCGTTAATCAGAGCTATATGTAGGGCAAGGGACTTTGTTTTTCTAATTTCAAATTATAGATTTCTTAATTTTTGATGCAGTCACATTGATTTTCAACTCTAAGAGGAAAAAAAAATACATCATGTAAATTGTGTTTACGGTAAATCTTTTAACTGTTCCATATCGACATACATGTAGTACTAAAGCAAGGAGGCCACATATCACTCGTATGAGTACAAAGCTGTTTTTTCTCTTATTTTGATACTTCATTAACAACTAAATTATTCTTTCTCCTTGTAAATTTCTTGTTTTTTGTGTTATTCCTACAAACTCAAGAATGAAAGGTAAACTTGCTGAATTAGGGCCTTTGTTGAATACTTTTAAGATGTAAGCCTTAATGTCATTTACTCAAGAAACATAAATGGGGACAAATCATTTTTTTTTGTATACATACAATGTACATGTATGTTAAAATGGCAAAACTTGGTAATAGGGTATGAATAATTTAGTTGTTTATGCAATTGGCTGAATCACATCATACCAGAGGAAATCATACATGTGACAATGTAGTGTATTAAAAAACAATATATCCCTCACAATACCAATGTGTGATCTGAAGTACCTTCATGTTTTAGAAACCAGATCTGTCAAAAGTAATGACATGGGAAGACGAGAAATGGTTCATATATTTTCCTACACATGTTTTGCCACGGTAAGAGATTTCCAAAATCACAATGTTGCTTGCCCTTTGGAAGAAGGAAAATGACCAGAACTCCCCCCCCCCCCCCCAATGAAAATATATATGTGTTGTCCTTATTATGAGGTGAAATAATATTCCATACTTGTTCTAGATATCATCCACCAGCACTAGAAGTGTGTTGTATTCATGTCATGAAACACAATCAAATCAAAGTGCTTGGGAGTGAGTTCACAAATAAGATTTCTAGATGGCAGGCAATTCAATTTCTGATAGTCATTTGTGTAACATATGAATGGTTTTTGTGTTGGCCCAGCTACCTGTATAATAAATATAAATGTATATACCGGTAGGAGGAGGATTGAGTCATAGACTGGAATTGAAATGGGAAGGATTCTTCGAAAGTCAAATTGTGGGGAAAACGAGGAGCCCATGCATGCAGTGAGCCGTTACAGCTGCCTGTGCAATGCGTGGAGGGAGAGTGAAGTTCAACTAATTAGAAATGTCTTGTGTTTGCTTCATTAGTTGCTACACGTTGCGTGCAATGCGAGTGCGAGCGAGTGTGTGTGTGTACGTGTGACGTGAGCCGTGCTGTATCGTGGCAGTACGTGGCTGCTGCCCTCGCGGGTTCTCTTATCTTTCACTACCTCTCAATCACTCCAATCAATGAAGGCTAGCGAGCGAGTAGCGTTACGAGCCGACCGACCGAACGAAGGAACGGTGGATGATTTATAAGCTGGTCTATTTGGGTTCTCTCGGGGTCTACGAGGGTCGGTAATTAGTTTAGCCGGTACCCTATACTGTGTCTATATGACTTATATTGAGTGGCGCTGTGTTCTCAAGAAGAGCTTCAGTAGATGATTCAGTATTCTAATGATGTACTTGTGCACTGCAATGTTTTGCCCCTTCTTGTTCCTTCCTTTTTTTTGGGGGGGGGGGGGGGGGTAGGGAGGGGTTGTAGTGGTTGATATTAATTTTTTTCTATGAAAATATATAAGGTGCACTAGCTTAGTGTTCATGTAAATGTACAGTTCATGTACATATTTGACTACTTTAAGCTTTGGGGGACTTGAGTACGGCAGTAGGCATTTACAACCATTTTCATACGGCTTAATTTTTTGTTAGATTTGATCCATGGGTACATCGACATGTGTGTATATTTGTAGTTTGTACTTTATCACAATGAAGATAAGGAACCCAATGTACTTATAAATGTCATGATAAATCCTGAAACATAATGGATAAAATTACCTCCAGACATATGTGCAAAATCCTTTTTCTCTATCATGTCTTAAAGAGAAGGTTGAGTTCTGGGAAGAGGTGAAAAAATTTTGTGAGCGTTATCATTCTTATTATGCAAGTGTGGAAGAACATCAGAAAAGACATGTTCCCTGAAAAGCATGGCTCTTCAAATGCCTTTATATTCTAAATATGTCATGTAACTCGTAAAACTCGGGGGGGGGGGGGGGGTAGGTTTTTTACGCCACGTGTTCATGTAGTCCCATATACATCTTTCTGTGTACAGTGTTTGTAACTTTACCAAGACTTGGCCAAATTTCTTATCATTTTGATGATTCCAGAACCTTGCAATACACACAAATTCTTATATGCTAGATGATCAACCTTTCTAGTCGATTTCACACCGTTTCTTTCACAACTCAACTTCACAACTCAGAACTCAACTTCATCTTTAAAGGCTGTTCTATGTGGGGGCTGAGCCAAAAGTTATTCAAAGAGCGTGCTGTAAAATGAATATATTGCCAGTGTGTTGTTATTTTTGGGGAAACTATTCATTTCGACTTGAAAGTAGCTTTTATTATATTAAGATTAAGAAATTATTATACTGCATGTAGACTTAAAATCTCAGACCAGATTTTGATTAATCAACCATTCAAGTTTAACAAGAAATGCATTGAAATACATGTCAGTGTTACTGTATGAACACAACCATACTATTTTGCAATAGTTGCAATGATCTTTGACCTCATTACCTGTACTTCAATTGCAATATACATGTACCTGAACTTTGAGCTAGCAAGAGTGGATGAGTTGTTTCTGATTGGTCATTGTTTAAAGGGGCAACACGAAGAGGCACATTTGCCAGCTTTTCAAGTTTATACTATATTATTATACCCGGTATGTCCCTTTTGTAGGCCAAAAATGAAAAGAATTCCACCGGGATTGGAATGAAAATACTAATTCAGAACTTCCCTCAAAATGAAAGGGCTTGAAAATGGCTATTAGTGGGAAAATAACGACCATTAGTTGTCAGATCAACTTTAGTGATTGCAATCACCTAAGTAATAGTCTGATTTTCAGACCCTTTTACTGAAGTGCCGTACGCTTTTTGCTGCACAAAGATTCAATCAATTTAATTTTGGCCATTACTAGAAGTTGGTTATTGATGTAGACAAATGCTCATGTACCTAGCAAATTTTATGTACATGTATGTTCTTACCAAAGAAAAAAAGATGTCACTTCCCTTCGTTAACCATGTGTTTCTTTCTCTCCCAAACTTTACAGGCTCTTCTCAGTGGGCTGGCATTCATGAAGTTCAGGCAGGGTTCCGCATCTGCCTTTGCCCCCAGCTTTGAGCCCAGTGATCAACCCACCCCCTACCCCGGCACCACGGCAACCAGCGTGGGCAACGACTCCTACCAGCAGCCCCCGTTCGATCCCACTACCACCAAGTCCGGCGATCCAGGCTTTTCGGCCCCGCCCTCACAAGCACAGTACCAGGCTCCATCGTACTAACTAGCGGCTGGCATGGAGACCCCCCTCAGTGTCAAGAGGAGCTTACATGCGGTGTTACGTATATCCGCGATGCAGACTAATACATGTAGATATATGGTCAATCTTCCTTTTGTAGAAGTGTTATTAGTGTATGAGACAAGGTGTTCCATTATTCCAACTTGTGTTGGTTAGGAAAAGAAAAAAAAATTTGAGGCAGAGGAAATTATCAGGAAGCTGTTCTAAGAAATGAAAGGTATATATGACAGAGGATTTGAATCATTCTAGATTGTATTTCAATTGCATTTTGATTATCCTGAGCGTCGTGTAAATGTGTTGCAAACACCAAAGTCTGTTGTAAATGTGAGTCGTATGATAATAATAATTTGATGTGATGCTGACAGTAAATTAGAATGATGCCCCATCCATAGTGGTATTAAAAGCTAGGCCATGTTTATTGGGAGATAGCCTAACCATGTAGCGATTCCCCCATGTCTTGAATGCTAGAGTGAACGTATGTGACGGTGTGTGTGTGTGAGGTATTGATATTACCCCCTCAGTGGCCTGCTGTAAATTGAAACCCAATCAGGAGACGAATGATGTATGCAGCAGACGCCAAACGCCACCGCTCACTTCGCTTCGAATCGTCTTGTTACGTCATTATCTAGCAGTCATGGGATACGCATGTGGCCGCCGTGTATACGTATCGTAATATTTATCACTTTGTCTTTCAAATTAAACAGACCGATTCGTCCAGCAAATTTCAATTATGTAGATCAGCTTCTACTCACTACTCTTTTGTAATTAATTATCATCTCTGATTCTTTTAACCAAAAATTCACAACCGCTATACATCAGTGTTTCCTAAAGTTGTCTTGTAGTACATGTATACTAACCTGTAAGAATTCCAGAAACTCAAGGTTATCTTAAACTGACTCTCTGTAGTAAATGCCACATGTAATTTATATTTTCCAGATAACTTTTCTTTTTCATGTTAGAACAGACTCTGTATGATTTCTCATTGTAATTGTTAGTAGTGAGACATGGTTGTGAGGAATGCTTGCGTACATGTGTCGCTTTTGAATCCTACTGTATGTCAAATACTTTGATCGTTGAAACAAGCCAACACCTAAAATCCCTGATATTAAAGCATACCAGCATGTTGGTGTTCATATCCGAAGACTTACGACATTCGTTCTCGAGAGTTATCAATTCAAGTGATATTAAGATCAGCTTAGTATCCATAAGAGGTTAGATGACTGAGGGAGAAAAGGAAATTGAAAAAAAAAAGGGATCAAATTCTCTTGTGTATCATATTGTGCTGAACATGAATTTGAAATTTATATAACTTTCTTGAGGAAATGTACGACATGAGGAGAAAAACCTCAGGCTTTGTCTTATTATTGTAAATCCTGGGACTAGCTATTCACAATGTCGCCATTTCTTGTAGTACATGAACAAGACTTCACAATTTCCATCACCGCAAACAAAGTAAAACCTATTTGAGCTTTGGGGGATTTCCTTTAAAGAGAAGTGGGATTTCCACATACCGGTAGCAATTCTTGATATCTCAGTTATTTTTCAATAGCTCTTGTAGAGATTTCTGGAGCTCAATTGCTTTCTAATCATGCATTTCCCCCCCTTGAATCCATATGAATATTTAGAGGAATCAAATTTTTAAACAATCATCAGTCGATCAGTAAATGACACTTAAAAAGAAGAAAACAAACGTAGATCAAAATTCGTTATATGTACACGAACCTGTACTCCCTTGCAAAAATGAAAGGGTGTCCCCTATAATTTTAAACAGTTCTCACTGTATGCCTGCATACCGGTAATTGGTAAGTGGACGGGCGTTGCAGAATAAGAATAACAAGATTAAAAAATCTGCTTTTCTTCTCTCGTGAACACCGTGACACATTTATTTGTGATGGTTACATGAGGATGTTTCTATGATGATGAAGGTGTAGAGTTTTAAGCATTGTGCTCAAACTAATGAATGAAGGAAATATTACAAATTTCTACTAAACTTGACCTTTGTAGAAAGACTGCAGAGGAGGTAAATAGGATTGGTGGTCTTTCTAGACAGGTTATATAGCTTTCTAGGATGGTTTAGCTGTGTATTGGAAAATTTACTACAGTACAGGCTTGTTTGTATACAATGTATATAGGCAAAAATTCATGAAGTGATACGAAATATATACATGTATATATGGCGCAGCTTCAGGTGCTATATGATAAGTATAAAATGGGAATAAGGGGGTAGATATGTTGTAATTGCTTGTCCTTTATATGAAATGTAAATGATGTTGCATTTAACATGTTTGTCATTGATCATGGATGTGGGACTTTTCTGCTGCTTCAAATTCACAAAATGCTGTTCTTTTTTCTTCTATCTTGCCTAATTCTACTGAATTATACATACATGGATTGACATTTCTCTCTCTCGCATTTTCAAATGGCAAATGGCATTTTTTACAGTATCCTACACACGCACCATGTGTAAATTATTCATCATCTTGCGCAATAGGTACATGTACGTGTATGCACTTTATTTGTAGGGATAAATATTAAAAAGGATTCATTCTATGACAATAACCAACCCCTCTCTCTCTCTCTGTCTCTTTGTCTCTCTCTCCCTCTGTCTCTCTCTCTCTCTGTCTCTCACTCTCTCTGTCTCTCTCTCTGTCTCTCACTCTGTCTCTCTCTCTTTCTCTGCCACTCTCTCTCTCTCTCTTTCTCACTCTCTCTCACTCTATCTCTCTCTGTCTGTCTGTCTCTGTCTCTTTCCCTCTATCTCTCTCTATATCTCTCTTTTTCTCCCTCTCTCTCTCCCTCTCCCTCTGTCACTCTCTTTTGACTGTCCTATCCCATCAATCATCCTCTTTTATATTCCATCTCTCATGTATTCATCAATTCTTTAGTTGAACAATGCTGCTGCAATCACCTTCATTTATATGACAATGGAGTAAATGTTCATTTATGCCTGTAACACCACTAGTCGTGAAGCAAATGGGTGGCTAGCTAGCTTCATGCACATGTACTGTACATGTATACCAGTATACACCTGTAGGTCTAGCAATTATGCACTCCTAGGCAATTGCATATATTTCATGATTCTTTTTCTTTTAAAGTCTACATCAGCCTCTATAACTCTAAAAATGCCAGTCGTAAATCCTCTTGATGCTGCAGCTTTATACAGCACACCTATTTTACTTATTTAAACCCTGCTCATCCATCATGGTATCATACTAGAAAAGTTTCTACGATAGATGATGTTGGTTGGACATAGTATATTAAAGTTGATTTTTTTTTTGTTTTAAATTGGAGAAGTGAACAGACTTAATGACAATATGAAATTAATAACTTAACTGGGTTACCAACTGGTGTCTGGCAGCTGAAAAGTTATCATATCCAAAATGTTTTAAAAGATAGTTGTTACTTGGGCATCTAAGTTAGATTTCATGCAATTCAGACTGTCATCTCCTTTCCCATTAAGCAATCTTTATTCATCTTTTTATAATGCAAAATCGAAAAAGCTTATGAAAGTCAAATTTGTTTGTTTAAAAAAAAAAAATCAGTTTGATCAATGTAAGAATACACAACCTTGCAATAGGATACTGTGCCAACAGAAATACACTTGTGTGTAATTTGTTACTTGTGATACTCTGTACATGTACTTCTGGATACATATTCAATGCCTTCTCTTAACCTGTGAAAATCAACATCCTTTTGAATGGTGCAGAAATGGAAACAGAAAAATTTATGCAAACTTCAAATACATTCTTTATTTTATTGGTGAGTTTTTTTTCTAGGGATGCATTGAATTTTGTTACTAACAAATTATTTTATGATTGGGGAGATGGTACATATGGTACAACTTGTGTGTTAGTATTAATAATGGAGCATTTGGTTAAATAGGGGAAGAAATTCTTAGATGGAGAACAAAAATGGAGGTGTAAAACATGTGGTATTTAGAGCAGTTTCCTTTTGTATCTCATTCATGTGGAATTTTAAATGCTGTTCATTCCCTAGACCTGACGGTTAAATATTATGAATATATAGCTCTGACAGTGTTTTATCTTTTGAGATTGTTTGCCTGGCTCATATCCAGCATCCCCCCCCCCCCCCCAAAAAAAAGGAAGATAAAAAAAATTGTAAGACAAAACTATCATGGCATCCTGGTATTGGAACTTCCTTGACTTTTAGCAAAATGTTCCAGCTCCCTCTTGTGTTGAGAGCTTTACAGTCACAATGCTATAGGAACTGTGCATTGAGCCATCTACATGGGTCAAAGAAATTTGTTTGGGAAATAAAAGAGAGTCCTTTGTAGTGATTGAATATTAATTGATTTATGTTGGTGTTGGAAAAGGCAAGAAACTTGTGTCAAGTTGCTGTACCATGTGTCATTACTACATTCCACAATGTGATAAAGCAGTGAAATACCGTAATAGTGCGGAGGGAAAAAGGTGGTTGTATAGTTATGTAAAGAGATCGATATATTATACACTGTATGTATGGGTTTACTTTAAATATATATGTATTGTGAAAAGTATAAGCATGTTACGAGTTCGACATGAAATATTTAATACGAAATATGCCAAGGGCTTGAATGAGGCACAACAGAAATTAGTGTCCTCTGTTATAAATGTGAATACGAGTGTTGAAAACAAAACAAAAAATGAAATAAAAATGATTTTTCAGTTTTATGGTGTATTGAACCATAGAAATACAGTGTTTGTTACAATTCTAGGGAGGTAGATGATTAGGTTTTGGTGTATTCATTGATTATTGTTGAAATAGAATTTGTTATCAGGTACACAATGTAACATTTGAATCCATCCCTATACGCGACGTTAATTTCGTATTTTTAAAGGCAAGTGCATTTTTCATACAAGCGAATTAGTAGTAGATTGTTTTTCCTTTTTTGTCTTATGTAGATAAAATAATGACTTCTCTAGCAAGTTTCAACCTACCGTAGTTCATTTGAAAGAACCCCCTTTTTTGCTGGGGGGGGGGGGGGGGCAAGGTAAAGGATAACACTTATTGATAAATTTTGGAAGATTATTGATTAGTTCATATCTTGAGTGCATTTTTAAATACTCTTCAACTGTATTATTAGAATAAAAGGTCACAGCTATAGCAGTTATTTATTGATGTTTCAGTTGGGATATTATTGTGCGAGAGTTATTGGATGTTTGTTGACCCAGGTGCAACTATAGAGAGTAGTCGATACCAGTTGTCGGTTTAGGGCTGAAGGGGTGCTAAATGTCTGTACATATATCAAAATGTCAAACCTTTAACACCCTTTTCAATCTAATCAGATGATTTTTTTTGAGTGCAAGGTGGTTGTAACTTGTAATCCCGTAAGTCAGTTGGTTTTATTGAGTGGATAATGTCAAAGTTATAAAGTATGTTTGTTTTATTTGATGGGAGTATATTTTATGTGATATGAGACGTGTTTAATAGACCCCTTCCACATTATAGAGTGTGTATGTCAGTGTAAGTTCCCCTAAGACAATGTGTAGGATATATGTCTTTGTTCTGTACCAGTCAGGAATATGTTAGATCTGAATTTTTTCAAAGTTAATCCATATACCCCATTTATCAGTTTGATTCAATAGACCCGTTTACAAACATATTCAAATTTACAGATGTTTCCTAAGCGAGGACCTAGTGACAAGTAATCCATTAACTTGTTAGTAATGAATGAACTACAAATACTTGATATCCAGTCCACACATTACCTGTTGCTATGTTGGGCAAGCCTCAAACCAGCTATCAGGTTTCCGAGAACAACGTTAACAAGTATGCATAAAATTTGAATATGTTAGTAAACCGATCTCTAAGAAAAAGGTTTGATTAATAATCAACATTGCGTCATATGTGCATTTGACTCTTGGATGTCTGTTTCATTTAATACTTCCCCTATCCTAGCATAATAATTTTTTTTATTTAATGCACCTTTTCTAATGAATTCACCCTAGAAGAATGAGGAATTTTTGTTTATTCTGCAAGCAAGAGAATTGCAAACATTCTATAGATACATCACATTCAAAAGGTATTTCAATTTTTAAAATGTTTACCTAGCAACAAGTTATCATATTACAGTCACCCGGTACATGTTTTTGCATCTTACGTTCTCTTTTCTTGTTATATCTCTCAATGCATTTGCATCATTTTTTGGCCCTTGCAAAAAAAGGTTCAGCAAAATTGATAAAGTAAGAGATGTATAAAACTGAGAAGTCGGTATACCACTTGATTGCAATATTCAATATGGGAAGAAATTT